TTGCTAATACTTCTGTTTCATTAGGGGAAGAAATAGCAGAATTAAAGCGAGAAAATAAAGACTTATACCAAAGGTTAAATGCCTTAAATGAAGCCAGGATTGCAAAGGAATTGAAATGAGTAGAACCTATTCAAACAGTTAAGCAAGCCAAAGAAGCTATTAAAAGAACCTTAGAAAAAGTGGTTAAAAGATGAAAAGAACATTTTTTAGGAATAAAAATTGATGAAATTTTAGTTACCCGCGTGGATACTTCCGAGAAAAAAATTAGAGCTAAACAAATTTTAATTTTAATGCTCCAAACTCTAACTAGTGAGGATTACGAACAGTTAGTAAATGAATGAAGTGGAAGTAAAGCCTGATTAACTATTCCGTGAGAAGAATTTTCTCACCCTGAGGACTATGATTTTACTCTAAGTAATCTAGTTCATCACTTACATAATCTAAGAGATTTAGAAAAAGAATCACCTAACTATGAATCAAGACCATAACCAACCAGAATTGAACGAGCAAGAAGTAAGCAAACTTGCTAAGGAAACCAAAGAAACTGCTCCTACCCAAGAATTTTTTAAAGAAATAGTTCAAGGATTACCCGAAGAAAAAGTAAAAAAGGAAATTCCTAACTTGGATAAAGCTTCTAAAAATGATACGATTGAACCAGTTAAAACCGCCACTGACCAAGAGAAAATAGATGCTTATGATAAATTAAAAGTTAAAGACTTACCGGAGGATTGAAAAGCTCAATTGCTTCGCTTAAAACATTTAGAAGGTCAATTAGCAGATTATACTCAAATTAGAGAGACTTTAAAAGGTTGAACTGATACTTTTAAGGAAAAAAACCCTCAGGAAGTTCAAGCAGAAATTACTCAACTAGCAGAAAAACAAGTAGCGACGGAAACTAATTATCAACAAAAAGTAAATGAATTAGCAGCAGATTTAGATAAATCAGTTAGAGAAAATCAAAAGAATTCACTTAATTTAGGTCAAAGAATTAGAGAATTGGAACAAGAAATTAACCAATGAAAAAGCACTTGAAAAGGACAAGAACTAGAAAAAGTTAAAGAAGAATGAAAACTTTTAAAGCAAAGACCTGATCTTTCTATTTCTGAAAAGGATTTTTATGATGATTTCGCCCAAAGACCAACTCTTACTGATAATGAAAAATTAAAGCAAGAATTAGTCAAAGAACAAGATAAGGTTCAACAATTACAAGAAAAAATTAAAAGTTTAAAAGGAACTATTAATCAGTTTATTGAAAATGAAAAGACTAAAAAATATGTTTTAGCTAATCCAATAGTCAATCCTCAGCAAGTTAACCAAGCCATCCCTAAATTACTAGAAGATGTTGAGAAAAGATGAAACAATTATTTAAGTCAAGAAGGCAGTCCAGCGGAACAAGATCATAAATTAGCTTTTATTTTTCAAGAGGAAGAAAATCGAAAAAGAGCAAGTTATATTTTAGAATCAATCAAAGAAGCCCAAGAAAGTAAAGATTACCAAACTCTTTTTGAAAAGTGAAATAACGGAGAAAAGGAATTTAATAAAAAAAATGATTTCGATGGAAGTCTTAATTTATTAGATAAATGATTAAAAGTCAAAGATGAATAAAGAAAATTCTGAAGTTCTAAAAGAAAAAGCCAAGTCCGACCCTACTTATATTGAAGATGAGGGATATATTAGTGACAATGAAGAAAATTATACTTCTACTCCTTCTTCTGAGATGATTGCTCCGAAAAAGGAAAATGATGAGGGAATTGTTGATAATTTAGATAAATTACCACCTTCTGTTGTTCAAAAGATAAAAGATTTAGAAAATAGCGTAAATAATAAGGATTTAGAGATTAAAGAGTTGAAAAATACTATTCAAGAATTAAAAAAAGAGAAAAAATCTATTAATAATCAAACACAAAACCTTTTAAGTACTGATGGCTTAGTTAAAACAAAGAGCAGTTGGCGTTCCAAAAGAGATAATGTTCTTAAAGTATTAAATGATAATTTTACTCCCGAAGAGATTAAAAAAGAGTTTGGTGATATTTATAAAGGTTGAGAAAGTGATGTTTTAGTAGAAGTTAAAAGTGAAAAAGATAAAAAAAAACTTGCTGAATATGATAAACTAGTTAGCGAGAAAGAAAAAAATAATCTAATTAATTCTAAAAATAAAGAAAAAGAATTAACTAGTTTATTTTTAAAACCTAAAAAAGAGAAATTATTTACTTTCATTTGCGACATTTGCGAGCAAGAAAAAACGAGTAAATTACACCAATTTAGAATTAATGGGATAGGTTTCGATCCTAAAAAATATCAAAAAATTTGTGATTATTGCATTAATAGGGTTGACTGAATCAAAGAAGAAGAAGATTTTTTTTAATTAAAAATGGCTAAAATTATTGATAAATTCCCTACTTATAACGATTTTTGGAATGAATACCGAAAAAACTTTCTCGAAACTAAAACAGAACCTATTATTCTGGCTTCGCATACAATTATTTCCCGTGATGTTTACTATTATTATCGGGAAAGTAATTATTTTGATAATGAAAACGCTTTTTACGGACAATTGTTTAGTAAAATTAACACTGATTCTATTTCTTATGCTAAATCACAACAAATATTTACTAATTTAATTGAACCTTTAAAGATTAAAGACAAAGAATTATTTATCATTGAAAAAAAAGTTGAGCATAGTAAGGTAAACGAAAAAATTACTGAAAGTCCTCAAACTACTGATTTTGTTAATATTCCCTATACTCAAGGAGAAACCATGGAAACTGGTGGAACTTATGGAAGAGCAACAATCTTAAAGCAACAAAAAAAAGAATTAAAAAACTTTACTAAAGATGTTATTAAAGGTCGTCGCATAACTAATGAAGATGGCAGTGTTACTTACAAAGATACTTATGATATTGAAACAATAAAAGGTGAGAAAACATGGTTAGGTAGATTGATTAATGCTTTACAGCATGTTAAGTATGATATTTCAGAAATTGTTCAATCTTACTATACATTATTTGATACTTACTGTTCTCCGCCTTCGGGATATTTTATTACTTTATCCTCTGGAAAAAGAAAATGAGTTATTCAGGAAGAAGAAGAGGAGGAGGAAGAAAATGTTTCTTTTAAACCTAAGAAAAAAAAGACTACTGATATAGATGATATTACTTGAGATGAATGGGTTGCCATTTGTGAAAAAAAAAGAGTAGAACCTAATGATGAAAATTTTTATTTGGAATGTATAACTCGTTATCGAGCGAGAAAAGAAAAAGAAAAGGCACCAGCAGGAAGTTTAACAGCCTTGGCGCTAGATAAACAAAAAGAATTAGCCGACGGATTAATTAAAGCTTGAGAAAGTCCAAAAGTTATTCCTAATTTAGAAAGATTTGATGCGGTAATGGATGGAGGAAAATGGAATGAAAAAAAGTATAATGGATTGTTAGGTTTTAAAGAATTTAAACGCAAACTAAGAAAGTATATAGTTAACTTAGAAGATGATATGACTCAAGGAAAAAAAACTAAGCAAACTATTAATGCTTTGTTGGGACCGCCAGGAGTAGGTAAATCTCATGTTTGTGAAGTGCTTAGTGAAGCAATGGGCTGACCTCTAGTAAAAATTGATTTAGGAGGTAGAAGTGATACAGGAATATTTGAAGGAGTTAGTCCATCTACCAAAGCTCCTTTTGCTGGAAGATTATGTGAAGGTTTAGCTAGGAGCAAACAAAGAAATGTCATAGTTTTACTGGATGAGCCTGATAAAATTCAAGGTGAAGGCTTAAGAAATATGATGGGGAATGTTTTAGATGTTAATTTGAATAAAGAATGAAGAGATTTATTCTTAGAATACCATGTTGATTTATCTCATTGTATATTTATTATGGCTATGAATTATAAAGAAGGGATACCTGATTTTATCTTTGACCGAGTTACTTTCATTGATCTTCCAATTTACACTTATAAGGAAAGGGAGGATTATGTAGTATCAACTCTAAGCAAATTACTTGATAGCGATGAAAAAACTAAACGCTATGCTGATCAAATCAAGGATAATAAAGATTTCTGTAAATATATCATTACAGAAGCGTGGGGATTAAGACAAGTCAATGCTAACATTGATGAAATCTTCAAAAGTTTAAGATATTATGTGAATATGGAAAGTAAAGGTTATGAAAAAAGCATTGGAGATTTTACTAAACCAACTAAGGTGGAAACAACTAAAAATCGTTTCAATTTGATATATAAAGAAGGTCAAGAAATTAATCTTAATCGCGTTAGGACTTTTTCTAGAGTGGAAGATAATGTAACCAAAAAAGAAAAACTGATTACTGTTTGAACCGAACTAGAATGACCTAATTATCAATTTTCAATCGAACCACAATTAGTAGAAACTAAATAGATATGACGAATATAGCCCCTAGTCCTGTAATCAAAAGAGAAGATATTTATGTTAATCCTGAATTATGAATACAAAAAATATCAGTAATTCTTTTTAATGATCCACAAGGAAAAAATTATTGAAACAAAAATTATAAATTTATCCCTCATTATCAAAGATACAACGAAGCAGTTAAATGAATAAGAACTAATTCTGCTCCTTTTAAGAATGAAAAAGGCGAAAAAGTTCCTCCGCCGCCTACTGCTTTTCCTGAATATAATTGTAGGATAGTGATGAATGCTAATAATGAAATAGAAATAGTTACTAAAAATTTCTTTGGGAAAGAAAGAGAACTAGAAGATAAATGAAACGAAATAATAGGAAAAATAAAGAAAAAGGTCATCAAGGAATTAAACATTTCTGATGAACCGAAATATCAAGAAGAATTAATTAAATTTTTTCGCTGTAAAACCTATGAAGATTATTCCAAACTTCTTTCTATGAATATTTTATTCAATGAAGAATTAGAAGAATTAAAACAAATAGAAATTGTTAAAGGTAAACTTACTGAAACTGGTGTTTCTTATGATTTTGATCGCCCTGATTTAGCAATAATTTGAAGAAAACAGTTGTATTTTATTACTAGTTTTAGTTATATTAGTAATTATCGTTTATCATTGAGAATATGGGCTAAGAAATGTCCTTTGTACTTGTATTATTGGAATTGAATGAGGATGAGAGGAGCGGGATATTTGGAAGAAGGATCAGTAATTAACGATAAAAATCATCGAATGCATTATGAGTTCTGTAATGATTTAGGAATTAAAAAGGTCTATCACAGAGCTTTTCAATCTTACCAACCAAAACTAACTATTTTTAAAGCAGTAAATAAAGGACAAGCCGGACTTAGGACTGATGTTCACGAAGAAACAGAAGATGGTGGAACTGGAGGAATTACTTCAGCTAAAACCAAAGATGAATTCTACTATCCGAATGATGTGTTGTTATCGCCTTTTAAAGAAAGAGATGTTGAAGAATTGGCTAACAATGATTCGATTCTTAGTATAGACTCCTTAATTAGACCTTGAAGTATCGTTTCAAAAATTGCGAAAAAAATTTTTGCCAACTCTTTGTTTTTGACTATTGGGTGTAAAGAACACGAGCAAACTTTCAAAAAAGATTTGGCAAGTTTGGTTAGAGATGTTGTAAGTGATCCAATAGGTTTGCTAACTAATCCAATTGGGTTGTCAATGTTCAAAAAAGAGTGAAGCGGTGAAGAAATATTGTTTGATAATCCTGCGGGTCAAGAAATAATTAGATGAATTAAGAATCAACCTCATTTAATGGATCATATAACTTTTCATTTTTATTTTTTACAAGAACTCAATTTGCCTGCTAATGCTTCATTTTTAGGAATTAAAGAAAGGTGTGTTAATTGTCAAGGAATAATTAATGGAAGGACAAAGAAGATTCCTAAATGTGAGTGTTCTAAAAAGGAAATCGGAGGTTACGTTTTGCCTTACAAAATTTTTTTAACTAGTGCTCCGGGTTCGGTTTGCTATCGAATAGAATTTAGTCACTTAGCCTTAGTAGCTGAAATTAAAAATAGCGAAAGTTACGAAAAGTCTTCTTCTCTCTTTAATGTTCTAAATGGTTTTAATATTAAACTTAGTGGCAAAGTTCTTGGAACTGGTGCAAGTGGTGGATTAGGTTTGGATTGACCTCAGTTTTCCAAAACAGAAACAAAGATGAAAGAGAAGAATAAAAGCAAAAAAGAAACAACTAACACTCGTGAAAAACAACCTTTCGAATTTCAAAGAATTTTAGATTCATTCAATCCAGCTCATCACAACTCAACTAATTATCATTATTCTTTTTCTGATTTTCTTCACCGAATGACTAGAGAAATACTATTTTACCGAGTTTATGTCAGCGAATTACTATATAACCGCTTAAACTGAGCTAATGACAAACAAGTAAAGAAAAATTTACCAGTTCATTGAAACAATTATGGAAGTTTTGCTCAAAAAATAGGAAAATGAAAATGAAAAGATGTTTATTTAGAAAACGACATTAACGGCTTTTTTACTGGAATAATGACTGATGGCTATCATTTAGATGATGGAAGTAAATGAACTAATCCGAATTTTGATTACACGAGTTTCGCAAATTATACGCAAACTTCTGGAAATCCTTTTGACATTTATTTCGCCGAAGAGTTAAAAGAACTAGAAACAGAAAAAGTTAAAGAGGATTTACTAGATGCGAATATGGAAAATGCTGATTATTCGAATGTCGACTATATTGGTTCTCCTGATAGTGCTTTATGAAGTCAAATGTTGAGTCAAATGCCTTACGGAAAATCTTTTTCAGGTGGAATCTCTATTCTTCATCAAGGAACTATTCCAATCCCTAATCAATGTTTAGGTTGTTTGTGTGCCGGAGGAAGTCATGGCAAAAGCGACTATGATTTCAGTTTTGTTTTTAACTTAACTGTCGGAGGAATTATTCATTTAAAAACTCGTGGTAGTGGTTTACAAATTTGTGAAATACCTCCTTGAGGAGGAAAATTAACTTTTAAAGTTAAAGGTAGTTTAGGAACGCTTAGTTTGGAATATGATAAGAAAACTTGAAAATCTAGGTTTAAAGAAGCTAAATTAGCTACTTCTCAAGAAATAGATCAAGAAGAATTAGAAATTCAAGAGGGAGAAAATGAAATAATCGAAGAAAATGAATTAGATACTGAAAAAGTAGAAAAAGAAACTGGCGAAGGTGGCATTGGCGAAAAAGGTAGTAAAGAAAAAGAACAAGAGCATGAAGAAGAAGATGAAATGGAAGATGAAAGTGAAGACGAGCAAGAAGATGAAAATGAGAAAGAAACTGAATCAGAAAAAGAGAGAGAAAAGGAGCAAGAGCGGGAAAAAGAAAAAGAACAATTGGAATATTTAGTAAGTCATGAAAAAGATTTAAACGATGCGGGAATTGCATTATTAGAAAAATTGAAAGAAAAATATCCAGAACTTTATAGAGAACTATTGGAGAAACGCGAACAAGAAAATGAAAATGAAGGAGAGGGCGAAGACGAAACAGAACAATAGAAAAAATTAATATTATGGAAGTAAAGTGATGTGATTTCAAAATTGAAACGGGAGAAATGTTTAGAGAAAGAAACTTTATAGTATCGGCTAGTAAAAAATTTATTGATGAATTTGGTGAAGAAATTTTTATTATGGAACATGCTTTACCAGATCTTTATCAACAAGCCGATGCTTATTTTGGCAAAGGTAATTGAAACAGAACTAATTTTGACTCTTATTGAAAAGAAAAGTCTTATTTTGTCAATATTATTTGTTGCGAAAAAACTCCTAAAAAAAACTAGATAGAGAGAGTTATGACGAAGGAATGCCCCCAGTGTCCTCCAGGATTTGGAGATTGACAAGAAAGGAAATATTCTGCTAGATGTGATAGTTGCGGTTATGAAGAAGATAAGAGAAAACAAATTCCTCTTCAAGTTCCTAGTTCTTTTAATTATAATAAAGAATATAGAGCGGAAACTGTTGATGAAAAATATGGCTACAATTTTTATTTCAAAGAAGGTGAGTCAAAAATGTTTGGTAAAGAACCTCATGTCCATATTAGAGGTCATGGTCGAGAAATTCAATATTTTCTTTCTCCTTTCCGACTAAAAAAGAAAATTCCTAAAAATTTCCCGCAAGGAGAGGAAAGCAAGTTAGAAAGACATGCTTATGAAAGAAGACATAAATATTTAATTAAATGGGAAGAGTCAAAAAATAGATAAAATATTTATAATATTTCATGACAAGATTAAAGAAACATGAATCATCAAGCGAACTAAAAAGAGTGAAGGTAGGAGAATTTTGTTTTCATCCCAACTTACTTAAACTAGAGGTGAATAAAGAAGAATTAACAGCCTTTTTAAGTGATGGAAGGAAAACCAGTATCCCAATTAATTGATTCATAAAATGAGGTCATAAAAATATTAATTCTGAGCAATTAAAAAAATATGAGATTTGAGAAGGTAAAACTATTTATTTTCCTTTAATAGATGCTCATGTAGGAGTAGAAGTATTTATTGAAGGACCAGAAAGAATTTGTGCTGATTGTCATTAATAATTTATGAATACTTTAAACAAATACCTAGATGGTAATCAAATTAAACTCAACTTAAACAAAGGAGAATTATTGGAATTAAAAGAATTAATTGAAAAACAAGAAAATAATTTTTTTTCTAATAGAAGTAAAGAATGCTACTTATTTGAAATAAATAACAAACTTAACAATAAAAATTAATGTTCGTGTCTAGGAGTTACGGTAATTGTAATTTCTCTGCTATGTTTTTCACAAACATGGCAGTCTTTTTTTAGTTGTTTTAATGCTTTTTTCATATTTCTAAATTGAGTATAAGTTTATTTTAGTCCATCTTTTTTTTATTTTTATTTGTAAAAAGTAACTTTACAATTAGGACAAGAAAAATTTACTGTTTCTCCTTTTTGTTCTTTAAGCAAATAATATCTTTCTTTAGCTTTTTGTTTAAGATAATTCTTTCGTTCAGGTCTTTGATTGTATTTTTTGAAATAATCACTGCGACTGGTCATTATTAATAAAAATTTTAAGGTTTAGAAGTAAAATATAATAAAATAAATAATCAATAAATTAGGATTAATTGTCTGAAAACAAATCATCTCAATCAAAAGCTATTTCTCAAGCTTTTCTTACTTTTTCCATTAATTCATTACTTATTTTTCCTAAAAGATAACCATTTTTTAGACGTTTTTTGTGAACCACACGAGGATAATTAAGGAGAATTTTGCTGTTTTCTTCTAAACCATTCTCAGCAGTTTTTTCAACTAGCACCTCAAAGAGTTCAATTTTTTCTAATTCTTTGGTCGTTATTATTGCTACGATCACCCTTTTGCTAAGTAAATTCTGAAAGTTGTTACTAATTATTAAGCAAGGGCGAATGTTTTTTTGGTCTTCGGCTGTTCTTTTAAATTTCAATAACCATATCTCTCCTCTCTTGGGTTTTATGTCAGAATATTCCTCATTACTATTCATCATCTTCTAATTCGTCCCAAATTTCTAACTCTTTTTGTAATTCTTGGCTTGCTTCGACTCTTTTATAACCGGTAATTAAGTTCTCTCTCAACTCTTTAATTTTTCCTCCTAATTCTTCTCATCATTTAATCACTAAAAAACGTTTTACCCCTTTTTCGTTAGATTTAACTAAGGCAAAAGTCAAACCATCGATCTCACTTCTACTTAATGAATTGGTTGCAATTCTATTTTGAAGTTCTTCTACCAGTTCTTTGTTGCTACGAACTTGTCGATTTAGTGCCATAATTCTTTTTTGTTTTTTTTATATACTATATTTTAAACTATTTATTAGTTTATTTAGGTAATTTCACTTTACCACAGACTTTTTTATTTTTAAACTTAATTTTATTTAAACTTATTGATACTACTATTTTCTTATAAAATTTCACGTTGCACGCATATGATAATATATAAAATGAAATACAAAATTAACAAAAAAAATTAGGCAGAACGAACCTAACATTGCGAAAAAAAATGAAAAAAAGAAAAAATGAATGAAAAAAAGACTAAAAATATCCAAGTAATAAACGGAGGATATAATTGTTGTTATTCCATTTACAATATAAGTGAAGAGCATTTTAATTTAATTTTCCCCCATCAAGAGCAAAATATTGAATTTGTCAGCGATTTCATTTCCCGAGAAGGTAAGAAGGTAGGTGAACAAGTTTTAAAAAGGTTATGAAAAAATGAAATAGATAGGAAGTCAATAAAAGGCATTCATGGAACATTATTCGATGATTACGAAAATTGCAGTTGTGGTGAAGATATAAAAAAAAGAAAAAAGTATTATCTTAGTAAAAATTGAGAAGAAGTGTCGAAAGGAAAGATAAAAAAATAAATTACCTTCTCAATGTTTCCTAACTTTACCATCTTTACCAACATGTTCATGATCGCCGTTAGGATACTGAACTTCCCAACCAGGACCACCGTGTTGATGATCATCAGGAACCCAAACACTTCCATCTTTATGAGGATATCCTCTTTTTTTGCTTTTATCGTTAGGAACCTTTTTCTTTTCGCCATCCCAACCTCGTGGAGGTTCCCATTTACGTTCCCAACCAGGTTCGTTCACGGGAGGTTTGCCTACTTTTGCTTCACAACGGATGGTAGAGGAAGGAGAAGAAGTGGGGAAAGAGGTATCGGAACCCCTAGTAGCTGCATCAATAACCGTTCCAACCGTTCGAACTCCTACATAAGTGGTGGTTGCCACGGCTCCTACTACCGCGACCGTTTCCAAGACCTCGGTTAGAGTGAGAAAGACCGGAACAAAAATAAGAAAAGGCATGTTTTCTAAAAATTAAAAAAGAAAAAGATTTAGAAAAAATAAATTTAGAAAAAAAAGAAGTGATATTCATACTTACTAGAAAATACGATTTAAAAACTTAAAAAAAACTTATTTTTTTGACCGTAGAGGTGAGGAAAAAGAAAACAAACCAACCTGTATTTATAAGAAATTCAAATTCCTATTAAATTACGACAGCAATTATGTAATCTTTCTAAAAAGTTCTAAAAGTTTCCATGGAAAGTTAAAGAACGATTACGAATGCCATCACACCATTTTGCCAAGAGATAAGCAATTATTGCCAATCTAAAAAAAGTAGCCTTAAAATGCCAAGTTTTACGACCATAAACAAAGAAAACGGTTAAATTATCTCCAATCGGTTTATCAATTTGCCTATCACTTGTGCCAAGCAGACAATCATTTAACCGACACCTATAAAAGGTTTATCAATGAAAATCATTTATGTCTATGACATAATTAACAGATAACCCTTACTTTTTATGGATTTATTGTTTATCGTATGATTTTGCCAAGCAAAAGAATTATCTATATTGGCAATCTTTACATCTCGATATTTCTTTTATTCATAAATCTTTCTTAGTAGTTTGCTTACAAATACAACAGATCCTTAGTTGCTTTTGTTTTTCGCTAACTTTATTATAGTTCATTTATAGACTATATTTTTTTCATAGACTAAGCGAACAAGCATTATTGGTGCAATAGTAAAAATTACCAGTTTTACCGACGGAGTTTGCTGTTTTACAAAAACTACACTTATTTATTATTTCCTCTACTACTTTTTTTTCTTTATAATAACTTGGTTTTTTAAAAGTCATATTATTATTTATTTTATTTATTTAGGCTTTTTAATCTCTTTTAGAAATATAATCTTTAATTTGTTCGTATTGTTTTTGTCCTCCAATCTCTTTAATTTTATCTAAACATTGTCAAATTTTTTGCTTGTATTTTAAGGTTTTTGTTGAACAATTTACACAATCCTTACAATAGTAAATGTAACCCGTGTGAATTTCTTTTATTTCACCAGTTTTAGTATCCTTAAAGTCTTGGTAAACTTTTTCCCTTCCTACATTTGTGGAGCTACATTTTTTACAAGGTTTTTGGCTTTCCTTTCAATTTTTTTTCTTAGTCATAAACAATTATTTATCCCGATAATATAGATAAAAAGCTTTGATAACTTGTTTTTCGTCTGATTGTCAGTCTTCAGTTATTCTTCATTTTCGTTCCTCATAACCATTATAAGCCCTCAATTCATAAAAGTATGAACGACTTGGGCTTAAAATTTTTAGAAGTTGCTGACCTAATTCACTATCATAATTAACAATAAGATTATTTAAATGTCTAGTAGCAAACCATTTATCCCATCAAGTTTTTTCCTTATACAATTCAGTAATTAAAAATTCTATACCAGTTTGAAAGTTATCCAGATTTATACTTCTAAGACTAGTAAGGGTTTTAGGGAACAGATCTTTTCATTTTTTAATCGCAGAATTCTTGTCAGGAGAGATAGTTGGATTTGTTAAATCCGCACGAACTTCAATTAATAAACGTACCAAGTTAATTAACCAAGTTTTTTCTTCATCATTTAAGAGTTTTGCTTTTAAATCAGTAATCTGGGTCTCACTTTTATTTAAAAGTTCGGTAATCCTTTGGATTTCCTTATCTTTATCGGCTAATTCTTTATCTCGTAAAGTTTTATTATTTTGTTCTGCTTGTTGTAGTTCGGTAATTCTTTGCTCTAATTCTTGTTTTTGGGTTTCTAAACTAGTAATATCCTCTTGTAAATGTTGAGCTTGTTCTTGGCTAATATTTTTATCGCTAATTTCTTGTTCTAACTTATTTTTAAGTTGCTCCACATAATTGTGCTGCTTATTAAAAATATTAGCCGTGCCTTTAAAAAGTTTCTCTAATTGGAAAAGACGATTATTTTTTTCTTCTAATTCAGTTCTGGCTTCATTTCTCTCTAATTTATAGCGATTTTTAGAGTTGACTGTCGCTTCAATATTAGCACTTAGTTGAAAAAGATTGTCCGCCTTTCATTTATTAAGGTAAAAATTAATTTCTTTGGTTTGGTTGGTTAGTTCTTGGGTTAAATTTTCACTTTTTTCTTCAAAAACTCCTAATCTTTTAATTTCGTTTTCCTGCTGCTTAGTTTTAGTTAATAATTTTTCTTTTTCATTGGTTAAATTCTGAAAATCATATCAGCGATAAGGATTTATATGCTGTTCTTTTGGTTTTGGCGAAAGAATGAAAGCTAAATTTTTTTGATAATCTTTGGTTCGGTCAGCCCATTCTAAATCCTCTTTTAAAGGTTTAGATTTTTTTTTATTTTCTTCCTCCTGAGGAATAGGGGTAGCACCATGAATTCAACATTTAGGCATATTTTTTAGGGGTTTGGTTGATTTGTTTTAGTAGTTGGATCATTTTTCTTTGTTTGGGAAATTTCATCTATCTTGGTTAATCATCCTAAACAATTCTGACAAAGTTTATTTTCTTTTTTTAAAATAGCGAACAAAGAAGGAATAAAAATATCCAGCATAGCAAAACAATGCTCGCCATAGGGTAAAACTTTATTTTCTTGAAAGTTTTTTTGAAGAAGTTTTTTTACATTAAGTGCATAATAAAGTATTTGACAGCAGCCCACTAAATTCAAATTAATTACCCCTTTATTATTTCGCCGCACTAACTCTTTGACAAATTCTTTATTATCTATTGTTTGTAGGTAAGACATTATTCAAGGTTTAGTTCGCTATTTCTATTTTCTAAAATTTCAATCTTTTTTTCTAAATCAGTATCAGTTAATTGTCATTTATTTAATTCTGCTAAAACTTGGCGACTATGGCTTAAATTTTCGTTAATTTTTTTAATTATTTTGTTCTTATCTTCTGAAACTTTTCTCGGAAAGAAAATAATTTTTCAAGCTTGAAAATCTCCGCCAACTTTTTTTAATTTTTCTTCGTAAACAGTGCCTTTACCTTTTATTTTCTCTAATGTTTCTAAATCTTCTAAACCTTCTTTAAGATTTGGATTATAAGAGATATCTAATTCTGTTAAGTTTTCTAAAACTTTTAAATCCTTTAAGGAACCCGTTCATTGCGAAGGATATTCCGCACTATATCCTTTTAAAACTAGTTTTTTTAAATTAGTTAATTCCGCAAATTTTCCTAAGTCTAGTTTTTCCGGACAATTAGTTAAAATTAGTTTGGTTAGACTTGCGGGTAAATCAATGTTGGTAAGGTAATTAGAATTAGTATATTTTCTTCCTCAGGGGCAATCCATATTTACAGTTAATTCTTCTAAATTATCAAACTCGGATAAGTCTAAACTTCCGCGTAATCCTTTTTGAGTTAAATCTAGTTTAGTGGTTTTTTGCTTCTCTTCGGATATAATTTCAATTAGCCTTTCTTCAATCGGAGTATAGGCAAGAACTTCAACTCTGTTTTCAGTTTTCAAAAAAACACCTTGGGGAACTTCTTTCTTTAAAATTTCCGCTAGGGTTAAATCAAAACTAGTAAGAATTTTTAATTGGCGATGATATCATACGCGCTCTAATTTAGGAAATTCTTCATAAGTTAAAATTAATTCACCTTCTAATTCTTCACTATCTAAATACAAGTCGGTGATATTTTTTGCTTTTTCGGTGGGATAATTGTCGTTTAGTCAATTTATTATTTCTGTCATATTTTTGGTTTATTCTTCATTATTTAAAAAAATTTGATTAGGCTGATTAAGTTGATTTTGTTGTTGGACTAAGGCTAAGGGCTGAATTTTATTATTTTCAATTAGGAGAGTTGGTAGACTGCCGAATTGGTAACTATATTTTCCGCCTCCCCATTCCTTTCCTTGAAAATCTAAAATGCCTTGGGTTATTCCTTCTTGATATTTAATTTCTCACGCATCAAAATAAGACTGTCCGCTGGTTACTTCGGGATTATTTTGTCTTTCTTCCTTAGCAAAAGGATTGTGCCTAATGCCTAATTTTAAAAAGAAACGGCTTTCTACTTCCCGATAATCTTTTCATAATTGTTGCCTCTCGACCGTATTTTTAGGTTCAAAATGCTCTCATTTTTTAATGGGGTTAGTAAGGGTTTTAGGGGCAATAATTCCGATAAAACCAGTCTCGCTTTCATAATTACTAATTACGTTTTTTCAACCTTCTTTACCGGGATCTCTTTCAAATTCAACGGTAATTCTTTTCTTACTTTTATCTTGGTCTCAACCAATCAGTCCTTTTAAATGTCACATTTCTAAAACATCGTGATTATAATTTGCTAAACTAAAAATTTCTCCTCCTCCTCACGTAAAAATAACAAAACTTCCTTCGGTAGGAATAAATTCTTCACCCTCTTTATCCCCGAAATACAAAAATTTTAACTTTTTTCAACCCGTTTGCGAAAAATATCCCTCTACAATTTGGGCTAATAAAAGATATTTTCCGCAACTCACCACTGCCACTTTTCCAAAATCAATTAAATATTTAATGAGATCAAAAAAAATGGTTAATAGTTTCCCTTCTCCCCTTAATTTACAAGCAATACCAAAATAATGGGTTTTTACTATCTCTTCTAAATTATTCTTAAAGTTGGTAAAACAGTCTGAATCACCATAAATATTTTGCGGAGTCATTTTCTAAATCAAGATTTATCCTTTACCTCCTCATTAATTATATTTTTAGTATTATTCTTTTTCAGTCGGTTATTCCCTACCTTTTTATCTGTCTAAAAGGGGAGAATTAACGCCTTTTCAACCCCGTCTAAATGAGGCTTATTTCCCACCTTTTAAACACTCTAAAAACCTCTATTGCCTATTAGACGGGTTCTAAACGATATTTAGAGAAATTCAACATTTTAAAAAGTGCTTTGTCGCCCTTGCTACAAGGGAGATATATTCCTCCCCATTTGGTTTTTAGGGTAAAATTGCTGATAGTGATTTTATCGAGAGTTTGAGGGGGATTAACGAATTTATGAATATTCTATAATTTAGGGAGTTTAGGAATTAGAGAGAAGAATTGTTATTCAGAAAAAGAACTAAGATTTAGGACTTTTTTAATTTAGTTTTTAAGTTTTTTTTACGATTATAATCGGGATCTTCTAGAATTCTTTTTAAGTAATAGTATTTATTGTATTTAGAAATATAATCATTATATTTTAAACGATGTAAACGTTTTTTCTCCTTAATTTGTTCGGAGGTAACATATTTTTTAGGTCTACCTACCATTTATTAATTAGTTGCTGGCTTTCTTTTTGATTCATTTTGCTCGCGATTAATTACTAGCAATTCATATTCGGGGGTTAATTTTTCTAAATAATTCATTAGACGAGACACCGAAAAATCATTGATTTTACCCCGGCAAATATCGTATAACTCTTCTTCAGAAATGGCTAAACTTTCGGCCATTTTTTCAAAGGGCAGTTTATTTTTTAGTTGGTAAACCAAAATTGATTTACAGAGTTTATATTTAGTCCTTTCTTCCAAAGTAGGATTTTCGGGTAAACCAATGTTCCCCCCTTCGTAATTATCACTCTCCAAGCGAGCAATTATTTCTTTTTCAGATAATTTATTAAAGTCTTTATTTCTTTTCATGATTACTTTTATATTTCTTTTTGGTGGGGTGGCAAGTTCTAATTCAAAGACAGTTATCATTATCTTTTAAGTATCAAACTAACTTATAACTTTTTCCTTGGTCTCAGGCTGGTTCTAACTTAAAAAATACTTTATCATCTTTTCTTCCTTCCGAGACAAAAGGACCTTCCACTTCTAACTTGCGGGCTAATCTTTCAATTAGTTCAGAGTTAACCATTTGGCGACCTTTCTTTTTTCAAATATGATCGCTGATTTGAATACCAACTAAACTTCTTTCGTTAATAAACAATTTGTAAGCCCGAAAGTTAAAATTTTCTTTCTCTTTTGGTGAACTTTGAGAACTTCTCATCACTTTTTTTATACTTTATTATTTTTTATTAATTTAAACTATTCTAAACCTTTATTCTCCTCTTATAAATATATTTTATATACTTTACTAAACAAAACCGCAAAAAATAAGCTTTAAAAATAATTAAATAGCGTATAATAGGAGCATTTATGAGATTTATTTTTTTTAAAAATACTTCCCAAAATTAGGTAAAAATGGTTATTTTTTAGAATTTAATTTCCTCGTAATTGGTCAATAAATCAATCTCTAGCCCGAAAATCAGTAAAAAATAACTCTTCTTCTTTTAACATATTTACTCAGCGATTAGTCCACTCTTTTTGGTCTTTGATAAGGCAATTAACAAATTTACTGTTGGCTTTATCTGGTAAATTTCAACAAATATTAAGTAATTCACTATCAACTTCCTTTTTATTTTTAGTTCAGTGCATAAAAAAATATTGTTTGTTTTTCTCTCGCTCTCCTAATTCACAAAAGAAAAAATCTCCCACCGCATGTTCAATTTGATACTTTTTTAAATTTCCGCTTTTAGTTACTAATGGAATCATGAAATCATCTCAATTTCTTCTAAATGGATTAACTTTTTCTTCTAAGGCGGCTGATTGAGCATCGTATTCTCCTTCAATAAGATTAACATAAAGAAGTCAATCAACTTTTCCTTCTTTCTTATCTTTTTCTCTAATATCTTGTCAAGTAACAACTTTTAAAATACCGTTATTATCCTCTTTTTCCTTATAATTTATAGCATCCTGTTTAATTCTTAATAATTTTCCGCTATCTTCATCAAAAATATCTAAAAATCAAGCACTTCAAAAATAATCGTTAGCGAGAAAAGTTATTTTAACATTTCCACTTTTCCTTTTTAAACTACCTAATAAATCTCTGAAAATTCATTGTTCGTCTTTTTCTCCTAATCTTAAAAATTCTTGGTCAATCGGGATAGCTTCGTCAAAAACTAATTCTTCAAATCTAACCAAGGCAACTGCTCCTCTTTTTTTCTGAAACGAAAATAAATCGATAAAATGAATTCGGCGAATTCCTTGATATCAAACACCCGTTTCTTTTATTTCCCAATCACCAAGTTTAGATTTATTGTTTTCGCAAAACGCAAGAATATTGTCTTGAAAAAGAGGGATAGAACAATTAGCACTATCTTTCCAACGACGGCGAAGTCAGCAATATAAAACATCCTTACCATCCTCATATTTCTTATTATTAAAAATATTGGTTAAGAATGTTTGAACTTTATGGTCTGTTTTACCTCTCTTTCTCGGAGTTAAATAAACTTGAAAAGGAGCAGGATTTGAGTTAATACTTACTCAATCAATCGGATTTTTAATCATTAGTAATTATACCCCCCTCTTTAAATCAATTATTTTTGGTTAGTGATTTTTATTTCTTTAAATTCAGCCATTTTCCCATGTCCTTTTTCGGCATGTTCTACTAATGCTCTAAATTGGTTATAATTTAAATCATTGGTAATATTTCGGATTTCTCCATCTTGGTAAGTAATTGTTAAGTTTAGCATATACAATATAATTTTACTTTTTTTTATTCTCAAATTTCCTATTACTTGGGTTGATTTTCGTAACAATCCAAACAAACCATTCGAGTATGTTTATCTTGGCAAGGAATTTTAACCTTTTTATAATCATTTTCAGTTTGATAAATCTTATTAGGGCAATCTTTAACTCAACATTTATCTAAGCCTTTTTCTTTATAGAAGTTTTCTTTGAATTTATCATTAACTTTTTCTCAGACTTTACCATCATCTCAAAAAACTGAGATATCATTGTCTTCAATATTTAAAGTAAAAAGATATATTCTTCCACTATCTTTACTTTCTAAATAAAGTTTATTGTCTTCATCCTCAAAATGAAATGTTAATTCTCCACTGTCTAATTTCTTAATGAGATTAAATAATAATTCTTTATTTTCCATTATATTTTTCTTGATTTTAACCTCTCCTAGCAAATATTCTATCTACTTCCATTTCTTTTAAAATATTTGCCAATTCTATTATTGCTAATGCTAATTCTCTAATATCTGTGGCTTTTGCTTCTATATCTAAAAATTTCTTGGCACATAATTCAATCATCCTTTCTTTAATCTCTTGCAATTTGCCATAGGTTTAACTTATTTCTTTGGCTTCTATTATTCTTTGTTCTTTTGAACAATATTTGTCTAATCCGCATTTCATACTATTTACTATTATTCTTTTCGTTCATTCTAAGTTTGGCTTTTAAATATTCAGCCATAATTTCATCACTCAGCTTTAATTCACATTGACCTTGCTCAGCTTTATTTATTAATTTTTCTACTTCTTCAATTGAATGTTCTTCGCAATGTATTCCACAACATATATCAATGCTTACTCCACTGCCACAAGAACAAGGAGGAATGACCTCTCACCCCACTTTAAAGGTGTGACCCTTTTTACACCTTACTTGCACCATATACTTCTTTAATTTTTATCATTCTTAAAATCCTCTATTTTTAAATTACTTACTTCTTGCTTTACTAGCAAAATTCTTTCATCATGCTGACTTTCTATGGTTGGATAATGAGGGGTTAGGACTTTAATTTCTGAAAAAGGTATACTAACTCCTCCCAAACTTCTTAATACATCTCTACAAATATAAGGATTATCATCTATCACAATATCAAAATCAGAAGCATTTTCTTTTATTCAATCAGCTTTGGATTGTCCTTTTTCCTCACTTTCAAAAGGGATTGGTCGTAAATAACAGGAAATTTTATACATGTTTTTAACTTCAACAAATGTCTGTTTAAATATTTGTGCTTTTCTCTCATCTCCATTAGGAAATTTCCTTTTATCGTAAGCAGATAAGAAGATTAATTTTTCTACTTTATCCTCCTTGATTAGTTTCAGTAAATCCTCAGCAATAGTTAAAAAGGGGGCTTCTTGGTAGAAGTTAGGGGAGTTTTTTCAGATTTGTTGGTCTTCAAATTTATCTTCCTTAAATGCTTTATCAACATGTTGTTCAACTCCATCCGAATATTTCAGAAAAGAACTATAAGGAGAATATCCGACTGTTAAAAAACTCCATTTTCAAAAATACTTAAAGTAATCTGAAAAGGTTTCAAAGCCAGCCTTTCGAAAATCCGTTGGTTGCATTCGAGTATGCATTAGTCGTGGTTCGTCTTTCTTTATTTTTCAAGAAGCATAAGACTCACAAGCTTGAATTACTTCATCCCAATCACAGATTATTTTTAGTTTTTTGGGTGTGTTTTTATAAATTTCATAGAGGGAATTTATTTGTTTATTCATTTTCGTTTAAAATTTCTTTGTTTTCTAAAATTCCACAACTGCAAGGATTATCCCCGCAAAGCATTTCAGGGCAGGTCTTATAAATAATTTCAACCTTTTCTTTAATCGGAGGTGCTTCGTTATATTCTATAATCTCTTGAACTATCTTTTTAAAAGATTTCTTTATGAGTTCTTCCTCTTTTTTGCTTAAATTAGTAGCATTGTTTCAAAAACTCTCACTTTTTTCTTCATCATCAGGAATGATAATTATGTCAGTGAAATAATACTTAGCAATCCCTCTCTCATCACATTCAGGATGAGGCACTTTAACATTAGCATATTTTTCTATTTTGCCATCAACTATTCTAGTAAATTTCCTTACTACCGCAGTAATTTCTACATGCTCTTGGATTTTTTGTTCTAAATTATTCATAATTAAAAATCTTTTCTACCATCTTGGTTATTATTAAGAATTTGTCTAATGAGAGCTACTTCTTTTTGGTTATTGGTAATAGAAGCTAGCAATTGCTTAACTTTTAGCATATTCCAAGCATCTAGTTTAATATTTACCTCTTTTGGAATACTACCGGGAACATAACTAGAATAACCTTCTGTTTTTTTGCTACAACCTTTTCTCTGACAAGTTTTTATAGTTCAAATATTATCTCAGAAGTCTTTGCTATCTTGATAATGTCATTGATGGGGTTTAGCAGTATATTTATTGTTGATAATACAATAATCAAAAAAAGGTTCAAAAGGATTAAATTTTTTACCTTTTAATTTTTCTACCGCTTGTCTTTCTTTTTCTTTAAGTTCTAAAATTTTTTCAAAACCAATACCTGTTTCTTGGTTTTTTATACTTTTTTTATTGTTCATGATTTTTTAATTCTTTTCTAATATCCTCTAAATCTTGGGGATGGTGTGTTTCGATATTGGAAGATCCAGGTCCTCATTCTGAAACAGGTCTAAGAATATAACGAGAGTGTTTAAAACAAGTATAGAAAATATCTCTTTCTTTTTTTTCTCCATCTACTTCTAGGAGTTTTTTAGCTAATACTAAATCTTTTTCGGTCTTATCTAAACAAATCACAGCACATTCTTTACACTCACCCTTTTCAAGAATAGAGGGAAACTCAGCTACTTCTATTTCAACAGTTCAATTACGTTGCTCTTGGCTAAATTTGATTATTCTTTTCATATTGCTTATATTCTCTTAAATGTTGTTGATAGTGAGGACAAATATACTTTTCTGCTGGATCTTCATGAGATCTTTTACAACCTCAACAACCATTTTTAAAAATTATTGGTATTTGGTTCATAATTAGTTAGTTCTTTTTTGTTGGCAATTATTGTCACAAAAATATTCATTACTGGTAAACTTCTCACTATCCCACTCTTGATATTTCATTTCCGTTTTAGGTTTGATAGTTCGACAACGATAAAAATCACACATTTTTAACCCATACTGGTCTAAAATGGAGATAATTCACTTTTCAGTTTCTTTCATCCTCTCTTCATTCCATGCTAGTTGATTTTTCAAGAGATTATATTGCTTTTCAATCACTTCTTTACTTTCTCGATATCACTCTAAACTATGACCGATATGGTCTTTTTGTTCTCTAATGAGGGCTATTTCTTGCTTGATTTTTTTAATTTCTAATAAGTCTTTGGTTTTCATAATTAGTTAAAATTCTTTCTTTTGTCCTCAGATAAATAAACGAGGACGATTATGTTTAATTTCCAAATCTTTGGGATTGAGAATTGAAATTTGGCAGTGATAATTCTTTAAAAGAGGTAATAAATTTCCTCTGCCACAGCACGGATCAAAAATTATACTATTTTTGGGAATTTTATCTTTAAGGAGATTAAAAAGAAAATTGCTAACTTCTAGGGGTGTTTGAATATTAGAGTTCTTTTTCTTTAAATGGTAATTGTTTTTGGTTAGGTTATACATAATTATTCAATAAATTAAAAAATATCTTTTGTTTAGAAGGGTTAGAAACTCAGTTGATTTTCATATTCATAAAAAGCGGAGCTTGAACTTCCATAAAAACACTGCCGTTTGAACAAAAAGAAAAGTTCAGTTGTCGTAAAGCGAAAAAGAGAGTAGCAGTGGTTAATTCATTAGAACTATTAATTTGTCAAATGTGTTCTCCTAAAAAAAATTGAGTAAGGCTGGATTTTACTCAAACCAACCTTTCCTTATCAGTATTAACATTAGAAAATACAACACTGTTGGATTGAGCTAGTAATAAAGGATACTCAAGGCGGGCTTTTTCAGTAATCATTTTGCTTGGTTTGGTTTCCTCAGTTAAAAAATAAAGATTGGTTAAGGCTCCGCCGTTTAGCCAAGGTAGAGTTCCATTTTCGTAATATTCCGGATTTTTGGTGGGTGGAGTTTTGCCTCTAACCAATTTAAAATGGTCCTTGATTTTAATTTGGCTGTCTTGGTATTTTTGAAAAAGTAAGTCGCCTATTCTTAGTTTAAAATCTCTTATTTTTTCTAACATTCTTCTTTACTATCTTTAAAATATTTCTCTAACATTAAATCTTGGATTTTTTTCTGTAAATACTCAATTCTTTCTCTTTCTCCCAATAAATTAGCCAGCGGAGCATCCCTTTCTTGGTTTTCCATTTCCTCAAATTTATCCAAATTCAGTAACTTATTATAAGCATCCGCAATTAGTAAATGTAAAGAATAGCGTAATTCGTAAGCACATCGAACTAACTTTTTATCAATTTCTTCGGGAGAAAGATTTGACTCGGTTGATTTTTCATATCTGCTAGGAACTAATATGAAATTGCTCTCTTTAATTTGTTCATAACTGACTAAATTTCAATTATCTTTATTACAAATCTGCTGAATATTTTCAACACTTAAAAATCTTTGCTTATTTTTCAACTCACTAAATCTTTCCGCATTTAAAAAATAAATGTCTTTACTGGTTTTGTCTTTGTTTATCAGTCATAAACAAGGGGCAATTCCAGTCTTATTAAATAAATGGCTGGGGAGTTGGCAAACTAATTCTAACACTCCACTTTCAATAATTTTCACTCTTTCAGCAACTAGTTTAGGATTTAAAGCAGAATTTACGCCACTGGGTAAGATTATTAAGGCTTTTTTTCTTGTCTGGGCGATTATTTTATTAATTCAGCAATAATTTTCATCTACTAAATTACAGTGAGATTTCTTAATATTGAACGGAATATTAGCAATAATGTAATCATGTTCTTTATCTTCACTTTTTAAATAATCAGAACTAGTAAATTCAAAGGGTAATTCGCCTAAATCAGTGGCAATATCATTCCCGCTAATTTTTAAACTTTCATCTTTTGCTTTGGCTTTCAGTAAAAAAGAACCTAAACCACAGCAAGGATCAAATAATTCGCCTTTTGGTTGCAAAAGTTCCAAACATAACTCTACTAAACATTCGGGAGTATAGAATTGCCCTAATTTTAAACTTTGTTCTTGGGCTTTTTCTCAGTAAGCCCGATAAGGGTTATTATTCATGGGCTAAATTATTTTCTGAGGTTGGTTTTTTTCGATTAAGGCGATTATTTAATTTCTCTATTTCACTGTCAATACTTCATAAACGCTTTTGGAGATTATTTTCTTTATCTTCTAACTTTTTTAAAATCATTTCTTTAAAAAGTTCCAAAGCCTGATAATAAATATCGAACTCAGTTTTTTCTCTAACTTCATGTTCTAACCACCAAAACTCTTTTTCTCCATCTTTTTTAATTCGTTCCCGAGCTGCTTTTATGCGATAATTTCAAAAATCAATGGTAAAACCTCTTGTTTCATAAAGAATTTCAGAATATTGCTCAGCTTTTTTCAGTTTTTCAGTTCAAAAGACTAAACCTTTTTCAACTTGAACTCTTTCGAGATTAAGTTCTTCTATTTTGGTTTGGGTAATGCTTTTTTTATTCATATTCTCCATTCTCTGCCCTGTAGCCATGATATTCACAATATCACGATCTAACTCCTAGTTTAGGAGAAAGTAATACCGCCGGTTTAGAGCAGAAACGACAGTTTCTTTGTTCGTCTATTTTATTATGGTTGTTCATATTTTTTCTTGCGCTTTTTTCGATAACTTTCCCGCGTAGTAAGGGGATTTTTAAAACTTCTTTTCTTTTTCATTTAAAAATAATTAACCGCTCCTAAACCTCTTGTAGATAAGGAAAAAAAAGGGAGCGGTTGCATTATGCTAAAACTCTGCTTCTTTATATTCCTAGAATTAAATGTAAATAAAAACAATTTCTTTACTGGCGAGAGTTTTAATTTAGAGGAACCAGTAGGTAGTGCTTTTGTACACTACGAAGAATCTTTTTCAATTTCCATTTCAATAACTTTTTCTAGTTGTTGGTTTTTGCGAATGGTAAGCATTGCTATTCTTCCTTTTAAATCATTAGCAAAATTTATCAGTAAAGAAAGAGTTTTGTGAGATAAACCTCAATCACTTGAAAAAGCTAAATAAGTCTTATCCGCAAATTCTCCGTGGCGAGTTTTAATAATCCAATAGTCTTTTTTATTTTTATCTACTCTATAGGCTATGTGGGGTTTATTGAAATTAATTTCGTTCATATCTTTTAATAATTTGGTGGGTTTCATCAAAGGTAATTTCTCGACTTTTTAATCTTATTTCCAGTTGGTTTAGAAATTCCTTTTTGGTTAGTTCATTAGCAATTTCTTTTTGATTTTGTAACTCGATTAATTCAACTTCTTTCTCAATCGTTTCTAACAATCTTTCTTTTTCTTTGGGAGTTATCTTTAATAATTCCGGCTGGTAATTAGCTCGCATGATGCTTTTTCAGAGCAAATATGCTTCTAAATACTTACCTTCTAACTTTTCTAATCTTTCTAACTCGACCACTTCGTAATACTGTTGGTATAATAGTCTGCTTAAATTCTTGCTTCTTTCTCCTAATCTAGTAGCAAAGTTAATTAGTTTCTGCAATTTTTCTTTTAATTCTTTTACTTCCATTTCTCTTTCTTATTTCAAAGGTAATATACCAAGTAAGCATCTAATTTATGGACCGATATTTTTTCTTCCCCATAAAATCATCCAACTCCATTTTTAAAACTTATTCCCTCAATCCGTTCTTTATGGTGTAAAATTCGTTTCCTTAACGTTTTAATTCGAACCGAAGGAATGCTTTTTATTTGAGTAATAAAAGGAAAAGCAAATCTTAAACACTCAATTGCTCCAAACAACTTAAACAAATTACCCGTATTATCGGCAAGGTTGTTTATATACTGAATACTTTCATAAATAATATTGGTTGGTTGCTTCTCTTTAACCAATTCATATAAACTAGTCAATTGTTGTTCATAAACCGTAGTTTTTATCTCTCCAAAAAATACTTGTCCATCTTTAATAAGAAAGTAACCAGTAGTACCATTGCTTGAAGGGTCAATTGTTAAAGTGCTATTCATTTTTTATTAGTTCTAAAAATTTTTTTCACGCGTATACATATGTATGTAAGGGCGAAGTAGGCAAGCTGGGGGTAGGAGTGAAACGAATAGCACAGCGAAGCCTTTTTTAATAAAAAAAAGTGCTTCAGCTAGTTGACCATTCAGTTTCTCCTCCCCACGCTTTAGCCTAGTGCTTGGGTGGGGTCATCTGATTTTTTTTCATTTAGTTTACTTTGTAAACTATTGTCGGAATTATTGCTTGCTTCATCTTTTTTAGGGTCATCATTTCTATAAGGAATAAAGTCGATTATTTGGTTGTCTTTCCCCCTTTTTTTATACTTAAAGACCAATTTTTGTCCCAAAATAGCGAATTTTTGAATCATTTCTCACTTTTTAGGGTCTAAATTCTCTTTCCAACATTCGAATATCTCATTTTCCATTTTCAAGATATATTTAGTCTGTCCCATTCTCCTACCTTCTTTAAATTTCTTCTCTACTATATCAGAAACTGAATCAACGGAACCAATAAAATTGTAAACAGTGGAATTATTATTAACATCAAACGGATCTCTGCCGTAGTAAGAAAAAATCCTTTTAGTTAATTCTGATAAAAGATTAGTTTGGACTTCGTCAACTGGATTTCCTCATTGCTTTTGTAAAAAGTCATTGAGGTTTTGTTTACTAGAAAAATCTACTTTTTTTAAATTTTCTCAAAAATTATTCATTTTTACTTTTGCTGATTATTTTATCGGTCATTTTTTCTATTCACAATTCTTTACTTCCATAGCTTTTAATTTCTAATTCTTTTTCTCTAAATTCTTCTACATCACACAATTTTCAGCGTAATTCTTTAAGGGTTTTCACTTCCACCTCATTAAAGGCTCATGTTAAAATTTTCTTTACAAATTCTTTATTTTTTTCATTCATAATTAGTGGTTAAATATTAAATACAATCATCAACTTTATCCTCACATTGACAAGGATTGTGTTGGCAATCCTCGCAAGTTTTTGATTTATGTTTTTGTTCGTGTTTTTCTAGTTCCTCACTATTTTGGGTAGTGAAAGAGCAGAAAAGCGAAAAACAGGTTAATTTACTAGTTTCATTCATTATTGAATCTCTTCTTTTTTAGAATTTCGAAAAACTAATAAACAGCCCAGCATTAAAAAGGAAACTATCCCTAATAATAAACTAGCATAACCTACCAAATTATTATTTTCGGGTTTAACTTCCTTTTTTAGTTCATCAATTTTATTAGTTACCGCAGTTAAGTCGACTACATAATTAACTCCTTTGGTTTTTAGTTCGTCAATCACGGTTTTTACTTCATCAATCTTGTTCGGACTAGCTTCTAAGGCGGCTAGCAAAGCCGTAGTTAATTTATCGCCCACTTCCTCAGTTTTCTTTTTCAGACTTTCCTCGGCAGTTTGCTTGGCAATTTCAGCCGTGGCTAATTGAGTTCTTAAAGTATTTATCTGACCTTGGAAAAAAGTTCCAATATCATCGTATTTTTCTGCTTCGGTCTTACTTATTTCTTTATCATCCCCGTTATTTTTATAATTATTAATTCTAGTTTCGTAATCGGCTTTCTCGGTTCCATCATAAGTAGTTCCGGCATCCACCTTACCTTTATAAAAGTCAATTATTTCCTCTAATTCTTGGAGTGTTTTTTTAATATTTACTTTTGACATGGTTTTTATTCTTTAATTTCTTTCATAATAAAATTGCTCAATCTCTCCTAATTCTTTCAAGGACTAACTTTAAAAGTACAGAGAAAACCTACTCACCTTTTTAGAATATAAAATTAATTTGTTGATAAAGTTTTTTGTTTTTCTTTTCTTTTTTGCGGGTTTTTTGTTTTCTCTTTTAGAAAGTAATTAACTAGACAAGAAAGAGAAGGACAAGAGCAATTTTTAAAAGTACTAACATTTGAACCAAGCAAAATATTTGCTAGTCCAAACGTTAGTTGGATTTCAAAGTTTCAATTAGATTTTTCAACTTTAAAATAATGGGCGGATTTTTTGCGTTAAGCAAAAATTGCCCCACCCTAGGCAAAATTAAACCTAAAAATTAGTTTCTATATTTCACCTTAAAAAAGTGAATTAAAAAAATCCTAAATATTTTTAGGCAAAAAGCGTTGAATTACGATCAACCATTCCTTATCTAAGGGAATAGGAATTCAATTTAACCTCTCTACCAATTAGGGAATTGGTAAGTAACTTGCAACCACTATTGGGCATTGGAGTTTTACGCTTTCTAAGGTCTATCGCCCGCATCTGTCATTCTCTTCATTCCCTTAAATGTTGAGAACATGTCCGCGTTATTTTCGCTCCCGCGAAATTAGCTAACTTTTTTCTCTTCTTCCCTAAATTAGTCGTTGAAGCAGTGAAATTATGGCTATAAAGACACTAAACAAACAAACTAATTAGAAAAAAAGAGTCAGAGGCAATTAATCTCTGAAAGTAAGGAATAGAGTTTATCAAATCTTTCCCGAGAAGATTTAGAAAAATTAACTAAAAAGTTTCCTGATTTTCTTTTGTTGAAAGATTATCAAAAGGTCAATTTTTTAACTAATTTTCAAGAACTAAAAAGTGAATTTATTTTACTTGACAACGTAGAAGAAATTGACTACTAAATTAGATTATTTGTTTTTTAGATAAAAAAAGACTCCAATAATAATTATCAAAAAAAGAAAAGAAATACCAAATAATCAATAATAAAGATTCTTAATTTTTTTTTCTATCCCCTCCAACTCCTCAACTACCAATTTCTTGACTTCTAATTTATTTTTTTTTACTGAATCACTTAATTGCTCTTCCAACTTCTCTTTCAAATTATCAAGAAAAGATTTTGTTTTTTCTATCTCCATAAGTTTTTTGTTGCTTTTAAATAGTACCTTATTTGATAACTAATGTTCTACTATATTATTAATTTTCCAATCTTTTCAAAGTTTTTGCTAAAGTTTGATAGTAAATTTTCCCTTTGCTAATTTCAGGAAGGTTCTCCGCAATATCTTTAACCTTGAAAAAAATCGTTTGGAGCGAACCAGCAATAGCACAAACTTTCACAAATTCTGTTACCTCAAAACTTCTTCGAACACTAAAAACGAAACAAAAAAGAATACCAAGGCCAGGGATAACTAAATAAGAAAGGGAAGAAAAAGCTTTTTTTCAAAAAAAGTGACTAGTTTGATGAAAATTCTTGTCGATCACCTTTTCAATACTCTGTGGATTTCCTCGCTTTTGCAAGTGTTCTTGAAACAAAGAATTTTCTTGACGACGAAATTTGCTTTCTCTTTGACCTATTTTAGACTGAGTCCGGTAAGAAAAAAAAACCAACGCAATAAGAACTAGAGAAATGATTGAAACAAAATAGGCAGTAAAATTATTATCATTGCTTTGTAAATCAGTCAAAAAGAAAAAATTAAAAATAATACTTGCAACTGCACTAAAAATTCTTTGAGGAACCAAGGTAAAAATTGGAGCAAATAACTCTATTTCAGTGGAAAAATTATTTAAAACTTCCTTTTGATACTCTTTAGTTTTCTTAGGATTATTTTTACTACGAACTAGAATTAATCTTCTTAAATGAAAGCGGCACAATTCCAAAGAATAATTCTTTAAATACTCACAAACGATGCTAATAGATAAATAAACCAAAAAGAAGGTCAAAAATAGATATCAAATTAATCCGGCTCGAGAATTAATTTTTCAAAAGAAGATGTTAAAAGGAAATTTAGCCTCTTTATATCCTCAAAATTGCTTTAAACCATAACTAGTTATTTGATAATAAAAATAAAAGGAAGCAAAAGTAAGCAGATACCAAAGAAATAACCTTTTTCGGAGTTTTTTTAATAGTCAGAAACAAAGAGAAAATTTTTGACTTCGAGATTTAGACATGAAACTATTTTATTAATTTCTAATTTTAGCATTTGCTTTTGCTATGCCTTTTTTATCTATCTTGCATCTCTATACTGCAATAAAAAAAGATAAAAAGAGTAAAATTGTGAGATTTTTTTGTAACTTAGAAATTATACAAAAAATTACAATTTTTGGCACTGTGGACAAAAAAAGGTTCCTCTACCATTAACTTCCTTACTCTCAATTAATGTAGCGCAAACCACACAGGGTTTTTTAGTTCGAGCATAAACTTTCAATTTGGTTTGATAATTACCTTTTTGAGCCAAAGGATTAATGAAGTCAAAAGCCGAAGTTCCTCCTAATTTCAAGGCTTCTTTTAAAATAGACTGGGCTGCTGAAACTATTTTTTCTACCTCAGAATAAGTAAGTTCGTTAGTTTTCTTTAAAGGATGGATTTTGGTAACAAAAAGTATTTCCGAAGCGTAAATATTGCCAATTCCACTAATAACATCTTGCTCTAACAAAGCAATTTTAATAGGAATTTTACGTTTTTGGTAATGACTAAAAAGAAATTTTGCCTCTACTGGTTCACTAAGTAAATCAATTCCAATATCTTTGTAAGGCTTTAGTTGTTGATAATCAGTTAGATTTTGTAAGCGAAAACTCCCGAATCGACGAGCATCACAATGAATTAACTTTTGTCCATTTCCTAGGTGAAAAATTAAACTAACTGCTTCTTTTTGTTCTAAAGAGAGCAGACTTTCATTCACAAAATATTTTCCGGTCATTCCTAAATGACTGATTAAGACATGTGTATCAAGCATAAAAAATAACCACTTACCTTTTCTTTCTAATTTATGAATAGTTTGTCCTAATAATAGGTCAACAAATTCTTTTTCGTTTATTTCCTTAATTAATTTACTACTGTAAATTTCCACTTTTTGAATAGTTTGATTAACTATTCCCGAACTTATTAAAATTTGTCGGACAGTTTCGACTTCAGGCAATTCAGGCATAATTAATTTTTTTAGTTGTTCTTATTTTTAAGACCCTGAATAAATTCTTTAATTCCTATTACTATCCAAGCACCGCCTGCAAAAACTCCCACTATGGCTAGTGATTTAGTATAAATACCGGCAGATTGTTTTTCAATTTCTTGGCTTTGTTCTACTAATTTGTCATTAAGTTCTTTTAGTTCTTTAATTTCAGTTTTTAAATTTTCCATTTCAGCATTAATTTCATCCAAAAGTGGACTTATTTCTTTTTCCTCCGCTGTTTTCTTATTGTTTATTAACTCATTGGCTTTGCCTAGTGCTTCATTAGATTTTTTGAGTTCTCTTATTATGTTTTCGTTTTTATCCTTTAAATTGATGTTTGTCTTTTTTAAAGCATTTATTTCACTATATCTATTTCCAATCTCTTTCTTTAATCTCTCCAATTCTTTTTTTAGTTCAACTACCACTCGCCAAAAGAATTATGGATTGTGGTTGGTATATTAAAGAAAGAAAGAAAGTAGAGAGAGAGAGAGAGAGAGAGAGAGAGAGAGAGCAAAAATTAACATAACATTAAAGTATAATATTATTTTAAAAATATTTGGTCTTTTAAGAATATTCCTTTTTTTGACAAAAGTTCCATTGGTATCCCTTTTATGATTTAAATTTTTATGAGTACAACTTTAAAATTAGTTAAAGTAAAAGTCTTAATAACAACAAAACTAAAACGATACAATAAGATATTAATGAAAAATCTAAAAAATAAAATTTTTTCTTTATTGAGCATCGCAACTTTGTTACATTTATTTTCTCTCCTTTGCTCAGTTTATCGTGATACTTATCGGTTACCAAAGGGCTGTTATAAAGAAGCAAACTACTGATTTAGTTTTGCTAGTTGATGGTGTACTCAAGCCTCCTTAATTACCATTACTTATTTTATTTACAAATTTTTCAAGAAATCCAAATACAGTTATTTTGACAAGGTGTTTGACTTAATTGTGATTAACGCCAATATTATTACTATCAGTATTTTTACTGTTAGTATTGTTTTGCATTTTTGTGGAATTCCTACTTTGCCTTTGCCCAGAAGCAATGAAATTATTCATTTTTTTTCCTGAGAAATTAGTTCCAAGAGTTTCTGGTGATTTTATGCCGTTATTTGACACTACTTAGCCCCGATTTTAACAATTACTTATTTTGTCCGGCGAAAAATTAGTTTAGCCCAAACCTATTTTGGTCGAAAGCAGTTATTTTGGTATAGTTTTTTACATCCACTTTTTTATTTTATTTTTGTCCTTGCTCGCCCTTCTATTCCAGGAGCAGAAAACTATCCCTTTGGAAGATCTCAATATCCTTACTTTTTTTTTGATTGGGTAACAGGCGATGATTTTCGCTATGCCGCATGAGGTTTGGTCGTGATTCTAGTCATCCTCTTTTGACTGGTTATTTTTTGACTTTCTACTCTGTTTTTTTGAAAATATGCTAACTTTAAAATAGAAAACGGAAAATTTTTGCTCAAAAAAAAAAAAAAAAAAACTTAATGAATAAAAAAGATACAACCTTCACTACACTATTTTAAGAAAAAACAATTATGAAACTAATTATCTGGTGATGAGCACTGTTAGTAATATTACCATTACTTTATCTTGGATGGTGAAAAAAGGGGTTAAGACTAATCTTAGGAGTTACCATAACCGCGATCCTAATAGCTAGTTACTTCATTCCTGGAGAAGTATTTTCTTCATTAACACACAAAGAAATAACAAGAGAAATAAAGAATAAAATAAAAAAAATAGACGAACTTATTCGCGAGGCTTCTACACGACAGATTGACTCAGTAAACAAAATAAAAGTTGAAAGCGCAAAACGAATCATTGATTTAGAAGAAAAAGGCAAAAAACTACACGAGGAACTAGAAGAACTAAAAAGGGAAGAAGGAAAACAAAGTATAAACTATCAATCCAAGCTTTACGAGCGACAAGAAAATACTGTTCAACTTAATGCTCATAAGCATCATTGAGCGGTTAATTGAAGCAAGGAAATTTCCTCTTCTTCTCTCCTCTTTTGCGGCGAAGAATTTAATTCCATCTTAACTACTAATGAGTATAAAATTGAAAGTAGGAAATTTAACCTTTCAGAAAATATTGTAAATTTTGATGAATATCAAGACAAAACTGTAGAAGAAGTAAAAGCAAAAATTTTAGAAATAATAAAGAAAGAAGAGTCAGCTTTCTACACAAAAGAATTTTCAGTTGCCTTTCTTAAAAATATTAATAAAGTTGTTAAACAAGGAGTAAAAAAATTGCTTTCGTCTCTTTTTGGACAAGAAGCAGATGCTGATTTATGGAAATACAAAGAAAGATTTAGGCAACAAGATGGGACCATTGAGGAGAGAGAAGTAACCCCTAACCTGTCCAACTTTGTCTTCATTGCTAGTAGTTCTAATTCCAACTCTGAAGAATTAGAAGACTTGCACAAGAACTTTCGAACAGTAGAAATACCTTTAAGCAGGAATAAATTAATGATTTTCGCTCTTTCAGGAGGGTTAGAAATAGTTATCTTTTTCTTTCTTATTAGGAGTAAAAGAAAATCCCAACACGAAAAGCTTCAGCAACTAGATGAATAACAAAAAACTCAATAAAATAAAAGTTTTTTACATTCTTCTTCTGCGAATTTCTCGTTCTTAGTCTTACCCAACTCTGACTTTTTTAAAAGCAACAAATAGGAAATATTAATATTAAATGTCGTGCTTACTATCTACTTAGTAAAATTAAGTAATGACTGCTCATTTGTGGCAAGTAAAGAAAAAGAAGTAATATGGAAATTAGTATAGGTAATTTAGTAAGGATAATAACAGGTAGTTTTTTAGCCGGAATGATGACTACCATGTTTTTACGTGGTCTAACTAAATGAATTTGGAGAATTATTCTGATCGGAGGAGTGTTATTACTCTTGTCTAAGTTAATTCCTTGAAATTAAAAGAATTTTCTGATTCAAAGATAATACTACTAATCATTTATGAGTTAGAAATTGTTATCCAATTGATTAATGGTGAAATCGTTCTTTATTTTTAGAGGGTTTTTTAAAGAGTTGGTGTTTCTCTATACTTGTTTATTGCAACTTAGAAACAGGAAGATATTCGCTAAAAATTAATTAATGAATAAAAGTCTGATTTTTCTCGAATCTGCGGTTAAGAAAAAAACTATTCAATCATTTTTAGGCGAGAATTATGTAATATTCGCCACCAGCGGTCACTTACAAGAATTAAAGAAATCAGGTATATACAATTTGGGAGTGAGTTTAGAAAGTTTTAAACCTACTTACGAAATAATTCCAGGAAAAGAAAATCTTATCACTTTTTGAAAAAAGTATCTCAAAAGAGAAAACATTTCTTCAATTTATTTGGCCACCGACCCAGATCGCGAAGGTGAAGCTATTGCTCAAGAGGTAGTTTTATTGTTAGAATTAAGTCCAGGACAATACCGACGCTTACTTTTTTACGAAATAACTCCTCGCAATATTAACGAAGCTTTAAGTAAACCATTAGAATTAAATGATGACTTAGTAGAAGCACAGGTTTCTCGACAAGTGCTAGATAGAATGATTGGTTTTTGTCTTAGCACAATGCTCCAAAAGAAATTACGGGCCCTGTCAGCCGGGAGAGTCCAATCGGTAGTTTTAAAATTGATTGTTGAAAGAGAATTTTTAATAAAAAATTATGAAAAGAAAAAAGACTATATTATCTGTGGTACTTGCCAAGTAAAGGAAAAAAAAATAATACTCAAACAAGTAAATGAGTCTGGAGAGTTGATTGTTTATAAAAACAAAATTGAGGCGGAGGAAGTTAAGAATAAACTTAGCACAGTTTTCCAACTAGTAAATAAAAAAGAAGAACAAAAATTTATTTTTCCTAAATCATCCTTAATTACTTCTTTGCTACTTTTTGAAGCCAAGTCACAACTAGGATTTTCAGTAGCCCAAACTACCCAGACCGCTCAAAAATTATACGAAGGTATCTGATTAGGTACGAAAAAAAAGCAAGTGGGCCTCATTACCTATCCTCGAACTGACTCTACTCGGATCAATAGTGGTTTTGTTAATAAGGCCTACAATTATATTCAAGAAAGATGAGGAAAAGACTATTGCAATTTTAAACCACTCTGGGAGAAAAAGGAAAAAAAAAATAATGTTCAAGATGCCCATGAATCTATACACCCTACCTACTTGGATTACCATCCTGAAGAAATAAAATCATCCTTGACCGAAGAAGAATATCAATTATATAAATTAATATTTAACCATACTCTAGCCAGTTTAATGAGTCCAGCTAAAGTAAACAAAATTACTTATACCTTTTCAAATAATAATTATCTCTTTGCCACTACCGAAAGAATTTGCCAATTTACAGGATTCCTTGATTGTTCTTTGGGAATCTATTTAACAATTTATAACGTGAAATTAAAAAGCGAAATAGCAGACCATTCTAAACTGGAAGCCAAAAAAATCGAAGTTCAAGAATACACTGACAACAAACCAGTACGTTATAATGAGGGAAGCATTGTCCAAGAACTAGAAAAACTAGGAATCGGCCGTCCTTCCACTTACAATACTTTTGGTCGTATTCTACTGAAAAGAAATTATGTTGAACAAGATAAAAAAGGACATTTTATCCCTACTGAATTAGGAATTGCAGTCAACAAATGACTTCAAGAAAATTTTGGATCATTAATTAACGAGAATTACACTGCTTCTTTAGAAAATGAATTAGACAAAATTAGCCAGGGAAAAAATAACTATTATGAGTTTATTAAAAACTTTTGGGAGAATTTTTCTTGTTCCTTGAAAAAACTTAATTAAAAAATTCAAGAAGAGTTTCACTAAGTAATACTTGAGCAAGGTTAAAAAGTGAAATTGTAAACAATTTTCATACTGCTACATGGCTACTCCTCTTGGCTATTTTCTAACTTCTTTAGTTCAATTTCTAAAGAAACTCTTTCTTTTCGAGCCTTCGCTAACTGCTTTTGTAATTCTTTAAACTTTTCTTGATCTACTCATTCTCTATATCATTCTTCCTCTTTAAAATCTTTCTGTTCAGTTAGAAGTTTTTCCCAATATCCTTTCTGTCATTGGGCGACTGCTTCTGAATTAGCGAGTTTTTTGAGATGTTGTGAAGAATTAAGTTCTTTTCGTAATCTTAAATGTTCTCTATAAAAAATTTCGACAGTTTGTTCGGATAAAGTGTTAATTGTGCCAATTCTGTAAACTGAGTCTTCTCCTAGCAATTGACGAACATAATTATGAGACTCTTTTTGGTATTCGCCTGAGAAATTAAGATCGATGTCAGGGGTCTTTTCCCCTTCTCAACCAAAGAATGTCTCAAAAGGCAAATTGTGTCCTTCCATGACTAGCGGAGAAAAACAGTGAGGACAATTTTCTAGTTCTCGATAATCATAACAAGAATAATTTCTATCTTTGGTTTTATGGACTTCAACATAGCAGCATTTGTGACAATATTTGTAAAAAGGTAGAGGATTTAAGTCCGTTATACTACAAAGGTAAGCAATAAGGGAAGAGCCAATTGAACCTCGTGAACCAACCAAATAACCATCGTGGTGAGTTTTTTGAACAACTTTATAAGCTAATCAATAAATAAAGACATATCTCCCTTTAATAATTTCTCACTCTTTTGCTATTCTTTCCTGTACGAATTTTGGCCATTTGCTACCAAACAATTTGTTGGCTTGCTGAGTATAAGCGTGTATTAGATCATTTTCTTCTCTCTTAATACTCTCAGTTGTTGAATAGTTAATAGGTGGTTGATGAATGGTGAATGTTTTCACTTTATTTACTAAGGCTTCGGGATATCTAAAAACAATTTTTTCTATTAACGCTTTATCATTTAGAAACAATCAATTACTTACCATCTCCTCTAGATCAAGCAAGTGTTGTGATGGTAAACAAGCAAAACGGTCCTCTTTTCCTTCTAGAGTCGCCTCACTATACAGATAATGCCTGACCCCATTCATCCCCTCATTAGCTATAATGATTTCCTTGAGAACTTTTTCTTTGCTTTCACAATAGTGAACATTATGAGAAGAGACTACGGGAATATTCATTTCTTCAGCTTTATTGAGAATTTTTTTAAGCATTCTTTTTAGATCAACTTCTGAAATTTTTCCGTTCAGTCATAGGTAACGAAAACTTTCTGGGCTATTTATTTCAATATAGTCATAAAAAGCCATTTTCTCTTGTTTTTTTTCTTCCGAAGTAAAAGCACTAAAAAGAGAAAATATTTCTCCTTCTCTTCCTCCTGCTGCCCCAATTAAAAGACCTTGACGATGCTTGATTAAATCGGAGCGAAAAATACAAGGAGTTCGGAATAGCCTTTTGGTGTGAGAAAGGGTGATTAAGTGATAAAGATTGCGTAAACCTTCTTGGTTGAAAACTAAAACTTTTATTTTTTTTCCTCGGTTGGGAAAGCGGTTGCCATTAATTAGTTCCTTTATTCCTATTCAATGTATAATTTTTTTTTCTTTGGCAGTTTTGATCAACTTTTCTAGTAACTCGGCTAATAACTTACTATCCTCTAGGGCTCGGTGAGTCTGAGAAACTTTTGCTCGTCCCGGAACTTGACTTAATCTTTCTAAACTGTAGGACTTTCGTTCGGGAAATAATATTCAAGCCAAAGGTAAAGTGTCAAGAATAGGATAAGGCAATTCTTCTTTAAAGTGTTCTTTTCACACCTTATTTAAAAATCCATAGTCGAAGTTTTGGGCATTGTGAGCAACTAATACGCATCCTTCTCAATCCTTCTTTAAAAGCGGCAAAACCTCGTTAACCTTTGGAGCTTTTTTTAATTCCTGTGGGTCAATGCTCGTATATCAAGCAGTTAAAACTTCTGTCGGAATTTCTTTTTCGGGGCAAATCAGATATTCTCCTTCTCGAATAATTTCTCCTTTCTGATAAATAACATATCCTATTTCAATGATTTCATTATACTCTGAGAAGAAGCCAGTAGTTTCTAAGTCAAATACGCAGTAAGTTAAATCATTTATTTTTTTAGTTAGAATTTCTTCTGAGTGATTAAAAACATAAGAAGGCAAATCATCTTCTAACATTTCCATTTCACAGCCATAAACAATTTTTAAATCACTTTTTTGACACTTATTAAATTCTGGGAAGGACTGAACATTATAATGATCGGTTACAGCTAATGCCGCATAATTTTTTTGCTGAGCACTTTTTACGTAATCAATTGGACTACTTATCCCATCCAAAGTGCTGAATCTCGTATGAATTCCCAACTCAAAGAGTTTTTTTCCTTTTCACTCTGATAATAAAGATGATTTGTCTAGTTTAGTTAAGGTAGTACTTAGCAAATTATCCTCTAAGTTTCCTTTATCACTATTGTCTTCTTCTCTTAACTTTTCTCGCTTTTTCAAAACAAAATGAAGATTAGGTAGACCTAACTTCTCTAATATTTCTTTTAAGGCAAGGATTTTAGGTCTTCAACCCTTTAAATCGTGTTGCCCAAAAAAGTACAAATAAATAAGATTATTTTGCCAAACAAAATTTTCTAATAAATCCTTTTGTTCACAAAAAAAAATTAGTTCTTCGGAATTTTTTCACAGAAAAGGAGCAGAAAAGAGCAAAGAAAAATATTCTTGGATAGTATTTGCACTTATTTCTAAATTATCTTTCTGTATTTTTATTTGATAATCAAGGTAATTAAAAAGATAATTTAATTTGTGATAAAGTCAATATAACAACTTCCCCAATAATTTTGCCGAAGGTAAACTAAAAGTAATAATTTCTAAATAATTAGGAGAAGCAAAAGAAAAATTAAACTTTTCAAGTCCATTAATTTCTTTCTCTTCTTCAAGTTCTTTCAAGAGTTTTGATGACATAGAAAGGAAGCGAAGATATAACAAAGATTTTATAAGGTTTGAAAAATTCTTTTAATAATTTTTGCTAGAAAAGAAAGAAAATCATCTTTTAAACTTTTTTCCTTTACAAATTTTACTTATCTATAATGACAAATTTAATTTTTTGGACAATAAACAACAAAAATAAATATAAGAAAATATTCACATGATTGTTCATAATTGCAAATACAAAAGAATTAAACTACCATACGAACTTAATGAATTAGAACCATATGTCTACTTCAAAACCATGTATTACCATTACGAAATACTCCATAAAAACTATGAAGTAAAATTGGGTGAAACATTACGCGGCACAGAAATTGAAAAACAGTTTGATACATTAGAAGAATTGATGCAAAATTTAGAAAATTTACCACCGGAAATAAAAAATGATGTTCGCTTCTTTGGCGGAGGATTGGTCAACCATAATTTCTTTTTCACTCACCTCCTTAAAAAAGATAACTTAGAAAAAAAAATCAGCAATGAACTTTTAGAGGCCATAAACAACGAATTTGGTAATTTAGATAATTTAAAAAAAAGAATGTTAGAAAATGCCTTAAAAATCCGCGGGAGCGGTTGAGCTTGACTAGTACTAGGAAAAAATAATGATCTTTCAGTAATTAATACTGCTAACCAAGACAGTCCATGGTCACTGCAACTACGCCCACTTATTTCTATCGATGTATGAGAACACGCTTATTTTCTTGATTACGGTGCGAATCGTGGAGAATACGTAAAAAGGTTAATTAATAATCTACTAAATTGAGAGCAAATTAGCCAGACTTATTCTCAGTATATTCTGCTTGACAAAATGGCTAATTTTTAAATTTTATTTTTTTGACCTGACGTGCTTTTTCAAAGGATCCCCGCTTTAATGGTATTAATTGCAAAGTCAATTATTCCACTACAAAAAATGATTAACTGAAACCCATAGGTATTACTTACTGAGAAAAAATGAGGTAAAGCAACATTTAAAAACAGACTAGTAATTATAATACTCAATCAACTTTTGGCTAGATAGTGTTTGATTTCTCTGAATTTCAATATCCGTTCTTGACGCAAAAACTCATTGCTTATATTAGAAAGTAAGAAGATAAAAATCATTGGTAAAACTCATCTTAACCAAGAAGAGGTTGCCGAATATTGAGAACTATTTCTATCAACAAAGCACGGATGAAACACGAAAAAAAAAGTTAGAACAATCATTAAATTATTAAAGATTCATCGCCACATTAAAGGAGAAGTCTCTTGTTTAATTTGCTCTTTCTCTTCCACACTTAAAGAAGGGTCTTGCATTTTTTCTAACCCTTTTGAGAAAGCTCCTGCTTCTGCTTCGGAATAACTAATAAAAAAAGCAAAAAACAACTTAACTACCAATAATTTAAAAATAATTTCTAACAAGAAAGGCTCTTGCAAATTCAATGACCTACTTAGAAATTTATTAGTCTTGTTAAGTGGAGAAATGAAGAAGAATTTTAGTGGATCATATCAAATTTTTTCTCATCATTCTCTTTGATCATCTAATTCATTAATGTCTAAGTCGCTGTCTTTTAATTGCTGTTGAATATTTTTGATAGTTTCTTCTTTGCCCTTTGTTAACTTTTCACAATATTCTTTTTTTTTTTCCTCGCTAGGATTAGGTATTTCTTTCAAACTCTCTAATTCAGGAAACCAGTTACTTGCTCACTCGCGTTTTAACCCACTCTTGTTACTTTTGCTCTCGATCTCTTTTAAAATTTTTTCTTCTATTTCTGCAATAGTTTGTTTATTATCTTTTCCGTATTCAACCGCTTCTTTATGAGTTTCTGCTTTATTTATGCTCTCATAAAAATTTGTGCAACCAGCATAATAAGTGAGAGAAATTCAGTGGAAAAAGGTAAATACACAAAATATTCGTAAAATTTTTCTAGTTAAGTTAATTAATCAGTTTATTTTTCCTATCATATAATATATTAAGTTAAAAACAATAATTTATATAAATTTTGCTGATTAACAGCAAAATCATTCGTTAAATAAGAATGACGAACAATGATAACAAGACTCCGGTGCTGATGAAGGCTTCTTATTTGACAACTATTATTATTTTTTTTCAAATGAAGAATTATCATGTTACGAATTTGACGCTTATAATAATTGCGATCAACAGCCCTTTTTACTAATCTTTGCGGCACGCTAATGCCAAACAAACAACTATCCATATTGTTTTCTACTGAAAATATAACAAAACTAGGATTAACTAACCTTTTACCTTCCTTAATTACTGCTTGAAACTGCCAATTCTTACGTAAGCGATAAGGTTTTCAAATCATTCTCGTTGATATATACTAAAATTATTTAATACGTAACAACATATTATGAAAAGAACTTGACAACCCTCAAAAATAAAAAGGGTCAGGAAGTGCGGATTTCGCAAAAGAATGAAAGAAAATTACTCAGTAATTTTAAAACGAAGAAAGAAAGGACGCTGAGAGTTAACAGTTTAGTAAATTAGCATAAAATATATTGTCTCACAATGAGTACAAAAGTTAAAGAAAAACAACCAAATAAAAGCAAAGAAGTTAAAATTATTAAAGAATTAAAAGCAAAAGTTGAAAAAATTGACAAAAAAGCACTTAAAAGAATTAACGAGCAATTTCGAAAATATTGGAAATACTTATTTAGTTTAATATTTATTTATGTTATTTCCTATGTGGTTTGAGTGTTATTATTTTCTGTTTTGACGAGAAAATTTTTGGAAAAAATTTTGGATAATCGAGGGTTAAGCAAAGGAAAAGAACTTCCGCTGGTAGTTTTAGTAGCCGGAATAGTTCAAGGCGTTTTATTTTGCATGGATGGATTTGTTTCGGCATTACTGAAATCTCCTTTCAACCAAATGTGTTATGCTATTAATAAAGCAGAGGGAATAAGTTATGAAAGAAGGGACCGGATAATAACTAAAGCTACCGAGTCAAACGAACATTGTAAAGAAACCCTAAAGAAATTTGGGATACTAACTATTAGTACAGAGATAATTAGAATTGTTGTTGAAGGAGCTAAACAAGCCGGAGACCATGAAAAACTCGGCAATTACTGGTATTTGCTAAATATAAGTTATCTCATCCCCTTAGCACTTGCCACCTATCGAGTTTGACAAATCCATAAAGAATTAGGTAAACTTAAAAAAATCAATGGAAAAAGAGTTAGTTAGAACTCGTTTTGCTCCTAGCCCAACCGGAGAATTACACGTCGGGGGAGCTCGGACAGCTCTTTTCTGCTATCTTTTTGCCAAGAACCACTATGGGCAATTTATTCTCCGTATTGAGGACACCGATACTAAAAGAAATCAGGAGGGATTTGTTAACAGTCTATACCAAGACTTACTATGGTTAGGAATAAAACCTGATGAAACAATTTTCCAGCCTGGTGCTTATGGACCTTATCGGCAAACGCAAAGATTAGACATTTACAAAAATTATATTAACAAATTAATTGAAGAAAAAAAGGTTTATTATTGTTTCTGTTCACCCGAAGAATTAGCCCAAGAAAAAGAAGAATACATAAAAAAAACTCGAAGAAGTAACTATCAATACTCAAGGAAATGCTTAAAAAGGTCAGGAAGTGAAGTCCATTCCTTTCTCCAAAAAAAAATTCCTTATGTGCTACGCTTGAAAGTTTCCCAAGAAAAAAATTATTCTTTTCGCGATTTAGTGAGAGGAGAAGTAGTTTTTCAAGGTCAAGACATTGAGGATTTTGTCCTTTTTCGGCAAAACGGCATCCCTAATTACAACTTTGTTTGCGCTGTTGACGACTATTTAATGAAAATTAGTCATGTTTTACGAGGCGAAGAGCATTTATCTAACACGGGGAAACAATTAGTTTTATACGAAGCCCTGGGATGAAATTCTCCTCTTTTTGGACACATTTCCATCATTTTAAATCAGCAAAGAAAAAAACTTTCCAAACGAGATAAAGAAACTAGTCAATGACAATTAATTAATCAATTAAGAGAAAAAGGATATCTGTCCCAAGCAATAACTAATTATTTATTACTTTTAGGTTGGCACCCCGGGACCACTCAGGAAATTTTTTCTTTATCCGAAGCAATTAAAGAATTTAAATTAGAAGGATTACATGCCCGTGGAGCAGTCTACGATTTAGAAAAACTTAATTGATACAATAATTACTATATTCAAAAATTAAGCGAGGAGGAGTTTGCCGAATATGCTTGAAAATTTTTAGGTCAAAAGTATACTTGCTGATTTAACTCTGAACGAGAAAAACGGGAATGAATTAAGCAGGTGGCGGTGCTTTTTCGCCCACAATTGAATTATTTCCAAGAACTAACTAATTTAACTACTTATTTTTTTCAACGACCCCAATTAAAAATTGAAGTGTCGAAAAACGAAATTTTATGACTAGAGGAATTACAAAAAGAATTAAGTCAACTAGAAAAATGAGAAGTTGAAAAAATTAAGAACAGTCTCAAAGAACTTTTTAACGATTTTCAAGAGAGAAAAAAAGAAATTTTTTTGTCACTAAGAAACATACTAACTGGAAAGGAGAAAGGTCCTGAATTACCAAAAATTATCTTCTTGCTAGGAAAAGATGAAACAATCGAAAGGTTAAAATCTAAAAAACTTTTCTACTAAAAATAATTTTGCTAACTTTCGATACTAAAAAAACTTATTATTATATTAAATCAGTAACCAATCTAAATGAATAAAAACAAAAGTTGAAAAAAAAATTCCCTTTTTACCTTTTTAATAATAGCGCTAGTAATATTTTTAGGAATTTTTTTGATTAAACATTTTTCCTCCCCAACTCCTAGGACTTTTCAGATTCGGAAAAGTGATGACGAAAAAAAGTTACTTATCAGCGGACTATCAGAAGAAGACGTATATAAAATAGACTGGCAAGCAGGCGCTAAGTGGGCTAGATATTATCGCGGAAATAAAAATCAACAGTATCTTTTAAGAAGCAAAGAAAATTTTTTTTGAAGTTTAATAAGAAAGCCTATTCCTTATACCACCACTACTGACCTACAATGGCACGAGATCAAAGACAAACCAATAGAGTTTGAAGGTCTTCCTGAAATAAAGGAAGATATAAGAATACCCAAAACTAAACTTGATATTGAAAATTCAGGCGACCTTTTCGCCGAAAGTTCATGAGATATTGGGAAATTATTTAACATAATAACTTCTATCATTATCATCCTCATCTCACTTTTTGTTTTTGACATGCTTTTTTCTACCAATTTTATTGGAATTATTTTTTCCCCTTTTAAAAACTGAAAAAGCAACACCCAAGAAAGTAAGGTATCTTCTTTAACCTTTAAGGATATTGGTGGACTACACGAAGCTAAAGAAGAATTAACTGAGATAGTAACTTATTTTCGCGATCCGCAAACTTTCTGACAACAAGGCGCCACTGTTCCTAAAGGAGTCCTATTAGTTGGACCGCCAGGCAATGGAAAAACTTTGTTAGCTAAAGCATTAGCAGGAGAATGCAAATTACCTTTCATCTTTCGTTCAGGATCAGACTTTGAAGAGATGGTAGTTGGACTAGGCTCACGTCGGGTGCGCGAACTTTTTCAACAAGCCCGTAACTACCAGCAAGGCTGCATTATTTTTATTGACGAGATCGATTCGATCGGTCGCAAGCGCTATTCAGGAAATAACCATGCCGAACTTACCCTCAATCAATTGTTAAATGAATTAGATGGCTTTCGTCCACGAGAAAATATTATTATTCTAGCTGCCACCAATTCCTTAAATGTTTTAGATAGTGCACTATTGCGTCCCGGGCGTTTTGATCGCCAAATCTACATCCCCTTACCAAATCAAAAAGGACGCCGGGAAATCATTATTTTAAAAATTCGAAAATTATCTTTAAGCAAAGACTTTGATTTAGAAGAAGTCATAGCATTGACTAAAGGACTAAGTGGAGCACAAATAGTAAATATGCTAAACGAAGCTTCAATTTTGAGCATCCGTCAAGGAAAAAGAGCAATTGATCAAGAGATGATCTTTGAAGCTTATGACCGAGTGCTGATGGGCCCTTCATTAAGTAGCCAAAATCTCACCCCCCAAAAGAAAAAAATAGTTGCTTACCACGAAGCTGGACATGCCATTATTGGAGCAAGTTTACCTGAAACTAAAGTAAGAAAGATTACTATTATTCCTCGTTTAATGGCGGGTGGTTATACTTGAGTTGATTTGCGAGACAATCAAGGCGATGACCATTTAATTAACAAAAGTCAAATGCTGGCTCATGTTATGTCATTTTTAGGAGGTCGTGCCAGCGAAGAACTAATTTTTGGAGCTGAAAATGTCACAGTCGGTGCTTATGATGATTTTAAGAAAGCTTCCGAAATAATTCGCGAGCTAATCTTTAGTTACGGAATGTCTGACTTAGGAATTATTCCTACCCAAGAATCCTTTTTCAAAAGCGAAGAAATTGCTACTGAGTTACCTGAAACCTCTAAACAAAAAATTGAAGCAGAAAGAGAAAAAATCCTCAATCAATGCTGGAAAAAAGTTAAAACCATGCTTCGACAAAAGAAGAAAACCTTATCGTTGCTAGCTGAAGTACTCCTAACAAAAAACTCTTTACGAAAAGAGGAAATTGAATTTATCTTTATCAACCAAATTTCTCCCTTTATTCCTTTGTTAAATTAAATAATGATGAAAAAAAAAGCAAGCCGGTCAGAAAAAAACAAATCTCAAGAAACTTATAACGTCTGAAGCCAGTACAATACATTTATTCGTAGCCTTTATCACAAAACAACTAGAAAAGAAACCGGTCGAGAGATAACTCTAAGATTCTTAAGCAAATTAGCAATTGTCTTCCTCGGCTCGCTGTTTACTACGCTTACTTTTTATTTTTTGATAGACCCTAATGGAATCTACAACAGTGGTCTGAACGGATTTTTGCAATCATTATCCAAACTGATTGTCGGAAAAAGCAGCGTAGGGTGAAATAACTATTATCTTATCTACTATGGACTTGGTCTACTAACCAACTTAATCTTTATTTTTTCCTTATGATTTTTTTTCAATGCTAAGTTAGAAATAATAAGCACTTCAATTTTTTATGTTTTTTCCCAAATTATTTGAACTCAACTCTTTAAATTTCTTAAATTACGAGAGTATATTTTTAATCGTTTCAATCCTGGCAGTTGGCAAGGATTAAGTGCTCAGAGTCAGTTATCTTTTACACTGCCTTACTACATAGTTATTGCTATAGTTGCAGCTATTGTCCATACCTATGGCTATAGCATGATTTTTCAAGCTCAGGCTACTCCTGGCGGATTAGAAATTTTCACCTCCCATTTTTCCTCCCAAAAAAAAAGCAAAATTTCAATTGGTGCTTTAATGAAAATATTTGGAATAGTCATTATTTTACTAGTTACTATATTCAATTTTCTTTGTATAGAAGACAGTCTTGAAATGAAAAAAAGTATTCTCCAAAAAGAAATTCAAGAAAAAAACCTAGCATCTGACAAGGGAGAAAAAATTGAAGACATCATTGATAAATGAAAGCAAACTACGGAATACGCTAACGAATTGGAAAAAAAAGGAAATTTAAAAGAAAGTTCTAGAATTAGGGAAAAAAACTATCCTATTACTATTCTCTTCAGAAACAATGTCAATGAAGCAAGCCTAGAAAAATATCCCCAAGAAATAGACTACTATTTATTAAGTGATAGGGAAAAAATAGGCGCTTTGGGCAGCGAGATAAAAACACTAGAAGTTCAAATCAATGAAAATCCAGAAATAGAAAACTTAGCAGCAAAACTACAACGAAAAAATAATTTAACAAAAAGGTCTGAAAAACTAGAAAAAGAAATAAACAGAAGCGGCTTAGCTAGATATTTAAGTTACATTAGCAACAATGAAAGACTGTGAGCAACCATGGTTTACATCTTCCTCTCATCCTTTTTGATTAGGCAAATTTTCCCTCGCGATCAAATGATTCTTCTTCGTCTTCATTCAACTACCGAAGAAAGCCGTGAAAAGGCCTTGAAATTACTGGAAAATTTTTCGCCGGTTTACCATACTGTCCATCGCAAAAAAGGAGAAATCCAAGAAGAAACTATCTTTGTCATACACTGCCGGCTTAGCAAATGAAATCATTATTTATTAAAACCTTATTTAAGGGAAATAGGAATAACCAATGTCCATGAAGAAGCTTAGAAAAATAATAGAAAGTATTAAAGAAACCCACTCTTTTCAACAGGCCTTTACTCATAGTTCTTATCTCAACGAAAATAATTTAGAGAAATTGGTTTCTTATGAAACATTAGAATTTTTAGGGGATAGCATATTAAACTTTTATGTTAGTTTGTTTATTTACCAAACTTTTCCCGAGTATTCCGAAGGAAAGATGAGTAAGTTAAAACAGTTGATGATTCAAGAAAGTACCTTAGCTTACCTCAGTAGAAAAATTAATCTAGGAGAGTTTCTTCGTTTAGGAACTGGAGAAAAGAAAAATCATGGAGATGATAAAGATAGTATATTAGCCGATATATTCGAATCTTTTATCGCCTCTCTTTACCTAGAAAAAGGGGGTAAAACTGTCTGAAAATTTCTTAATCTCACCCTTTTCCCTTGAAGTAAAGGAAAAGAAAACATGATCTGAGATTATAAAAGCCAACTTCAAGAATACTGCCAATCTCACAAGATAAAACTTTATTATCAACTAAAATTAGAAAAGAGAACTAAACACCAGCAATTATTTGTGGTCGAAGCAATTTTAGAAGACCGATCCTGGAGAGAAAATAATCAAATTACTAAAAAAAAAATAGTCTTCCAGGAAAGCGGAATAGGAAAAACTAAAAAAGAAGCCGAACAAGAAGCAGCAGCAAAAATACTGGCTAAAATAGTTCCGAAGCAAAAGAAATAAAATGTTGGACTTACAAAAATTCTTTAGCGACTTTGAAAACTTAGTTAATTTATTTAAAAATCGGGGAATAAGCAAGAGGATTTTAACACTTATTAAAGAAAAACTAACTAAGCGAAAAGAGTTAATCAAAACAATTAATATTCAAAGACAGAAAAGGAACCTTTTGAGTGAAGAGGGGCAAAAGAACGCAGAGAAAGTCAAAAAAATTAAAGAAGCGACTACTTTACTAGAAAAGGAGTTAAACTCACTAGAAAAGGAGTTAAATGACTTGATCAACCAACTCCCCAACCCACCTGCTTCTAACACTCCCACTAATGAAGAAGGAAATAGAATTATTGATAATACTAAATATCAGCACCATATTCAACACAATTCAACTCACGAAGAAATATTAAACAAACTAAAATTAATTGACGAGGAAAAAAATATACTCCTTTCTGGTAGTAAATTTGCCGTTTATCAAGGTTTAGGTAGTAAACTATTACATGCCCTTATCAACTTTATGCGAACAGAAAATAGCAAGCGTGGCTACCAATTATTTGACATACCCTATTTAGTAAATGATCACAACCCTTATAACACAGGTCAATTACCGAAGTTTAAAGAAGACATTTATAAAGTAGAAAATAGTAGATTTTATCTAATCCCCACTGCCGAAGTAAGTTTGGTTAACCTTTATCAAAATCAAATTTTAACTGAAGGAGAACTGCCTTTGAATTTATGCGCTTATAGTCCTTGTTTTCGGGCCGAGGCCGGAGCTGCAGGACAAGAAAATAAAGGTTTAATTCGTTTACACCAATTTCACAAAGTAGAATTAGTAAAAATTACTAAACCAGAAAAATCATACCAAGCGTTAGAAAAATTAGTAGAAGATGCACGAAATATTCTCCACTTACTAAAAATCACCCACCGGATAATCGAACTGTGCCACGCTGAATTAGGATTTAGCGCGGCTAAAACTTATGATATTGAAGTTTGATTACCAGTCAGCAAAAAATGATTAGAAATCTCTTCATGTAGCAACTGTGAAGAATTTCAAAGCCGCCGAGCCCAAATTAAAGTAAAGAATAAAGAAGGAAAAAATTATTTTCCTCATACCCTTAACGGGTCAGCTTTAGCAATTGATCGACTAATTATCACTCTCTGTGAATACTACTATAATGAAAAAGAAAATAAACTAGAAACGCCGCAAGTGTTAAAAAAATATTTCTTTTCCTAAAACCAAAAACAAACTAGTGAATACCTTTCTTGAATCAAAACTTTGTTCCTAATTCTTTAATTCTTAAAGCGATACCAAGAACAGGAACAACAACAATATCAAGCACAACAAGAAATTCCAACTAATAATTAACCATTATGACAAAAGATTTTTATGAAATATTAGAAGTAAATAAGACTGCCTCTTTCGAAGAAATTAAAAAAAATTATCGCAAGTTAGCCCAAAAATGACATCCGGATAAATGAAGTTCTAAAAGTGTAGAAGAACGTAAAAAGGCTAATGAAAAGATGCAAGAAGTGAATAAAGCTTTTGAGATTTTGGGTAACGAAGAACTAAGAGAAAGATATAATTTAGGGGAAACCGATTTTGCTCCTGAATTTGATTGAAATAGTTATTATGAAGCAGAAAAAGCAAGAATAAGTGCTGAATTAGAAAGGTTAGCTGCTCAAAGAGAAGAGTTGAAAATTATAACAAAAATGTTTTTTTATCAAGAACTGACAAGTGATATAAGTATTGAAATGTCTTTAGAAGAAATTTCGGCAGGTTATTTAGATAGTAATTTATGGGCTCCTTATGATTCTTGAGATGAAAAAGTGAGAAATTTAGAAATTATTATTGTAGATAATGGAAACACTTTGGAGGCAGATAAAGTTAACAGTCCAGCTTTTAAATTTAAGGAAGAAATGCTCGCTGCTATTAAGAAAAGAAAAGAGGAACTTAAAAAGGGAATAAATGACCCTTGGCTTGAGAAGGCTAGAGCTAATGCTATTGAAGCAATTGAAAGAAATCTAAGAGGAAAAAACTTGAAGGTGGAAGAGTTGGATGAAAAGTATCATAATTATCGAAAAAACTTAACAGTTTGATAAAAATTTATAAGGTTCGTGATTTTTCGGATGAAGTAATAGAAAATATTAATACTGTTAGTAGAAGAAAAAGTTACGAAGAATGAAATTCTCGTATAGAACAATCGCCTAAGGATTCTTCTTGGTGGATTTTTTTCGTAATAATAGTTAGTTTGTTTTTATTAGTAATATTAATAAAGTTTAAAAAAAAGGGTTAGGAGAAAGGTCAAAAAATAAATGTATTTTAGGGAGTTTAGCCACTCCCTCTAATAATTGGGACTAATCCCTTGAATTATTAGTTAAATTTTTTCGTTATCTTACTCCTTTTTAATTAAATTACTACTTAGTAGTTTGTCAAGAAAAAATTTCGTGGGCTTTTCTTTTATCTCCTAACAAAAAGTATAATTCGCCGGTTTTATTTTTACACTCGCCACTAATTTTAGATTAAATATAGTTTACTTAATCTCCTTTCTAAAACATTAAGAGGTAAAGCTCCGGATCCTAAAACAAACTGGTGAAACTTGCGAATGTCAAAAGTTTTTCCTAACTGCTTTTTGGCCTCTTTCCTAAGTTCTAAAATCTTTCTTTCCCCGATTTTATAAGCTAAAGCTTGAGCGGGCAAGACTATGTAGCGGTCCACCTCTACCACAATTTCATGCTTATCCATATAACTATTGCTTAAAAAATATTGAATGGCCTGGTCGCGACTCCAACCTAGTTCATGTATTCCAGTGTCTACTACTAATCTAACCGCTCGGAAAAGTTCAGTGTATAATTGACCAAACTGTGATCCCGCATCATTTTGGTAAATTCCTAACTCATAGCCTAATTTTTCAGCATAAAGACCTCAACCTTCCACATAAGCAGTGTAATCTACGTGTTTTCGAAATTCAGGAATATTTTCTATTTCTTGGGCTAGGGAAATTTGAAAATGATGCCCAGGAACGGCTTCGTGTAGGAATACCGCTTTCATTTCTCATTTGGGGCGCTTTTCAGGCTGATAAGTATTAGCAAAAAAAATCCCCGGTCTTTGGGTAGAGATGGTCCCTGGTACATAATAGGCCGCCGGGTTAGATTTTTCGGAATGTTCTGGCACGGGTTCTATTTTGTAGCCCAGTTGTGGAATTTTCTCAAAAAGCAAGGATAAATTAGGTTCAATTTTTTCAGCGAGTTTTTGATAACCTTGAATTATTTCTTCTCTTTTGGTATAAAAATATTCTGGTTCGCGGTGAAGTTTTTGCGCGTATTCTTGCCGAGTTCCAACAAAACCAGCAGATTTTAAAAGTTTATCCATTCTTTCGTGAATAGTTTTAACTTCTGCTAGTCCAATTTCGTGAATTTTGGGAGCGGTAAGGAAAGTAGTAGTCATTTTTTCAACCAAAAATTGATATCACTCCTGACCTTTTGGCAAAGTTTTTCAAGCAATTTCAGTTCGACAATTAGGAATATAATTGTGTGTTAGGAACTCACGTAGTTTCTCGTAGGCAGGGATTGTTTTTTTTCAAATAATACTTTTGGCCTCAGCAAGTACCCTTTCCCGGAATAATTTTGAAAAATTGGTAGTAGATAGTTGTTTAAAAGATGAAAAGAGCGGATTTTTCTGAAAATCTTTTATTGTATGTTCTTTAACCTGATCCGGAACATCTCGAAGGGTAATTTGAGGAGGAGTAATTTTCTTCTCTAAACCAATTTGTAACAAATTAATAGTTTGATCTATTAAAAGAGGTAGTGAATTTAAGCGTTGGAGACGATTTTCTCAATCTTTTTCCGTTTGTTGGGGCATTATTAATAGAATGCGAGCAACATCCTGTTGAACACCTGACATTTGGTCGATTGGTAAATATTGACTTTTAAAAGAATAAGATTTTATTCCATTATTTAGTTGTTGCTGGAATAAATCATAACTTAACTGTTCAGAAGCCTCAAGTTCATTATAAGGGATGCCGATAAGCGTTTTTAATTTAATTTGATTTTTTTGGTGGTATTCCTGCAATTTGGCCTCAGAAAGGTCAGTTCAGCGGTGGTCATAATCTCTTACTCCTAAATAAGTTGCAAGTTCAGGAAAATCTTGCAAATCTTCTTTTCAAGATAGGTCAAATAACTCCTGCAAACAAGAAGAAGCTGATTTTCCTTGAGTATTTTCAGAGATTAATTTACATTTATTAGCGAAATTTTTGGTAAAGTTAGAATAATGGTTCATATTTTGAAGGTTAGTAATGGTATATTAAATCATCTAAAAAGCAGTGACTAAGTTCTAAACTAGTCCTTTTTTTCTCTTTTTCTATCTGAGTAGTAAACAAGCAGTAATATTAAAGTTAAAAAGACAAGTACAGAAGCAATTAATGCATGGTAAAAATATTTATCTCAAAAAAATTGTTTGGGTTGAGCGGTATCTACATTTATGCAGTCTAAGCGTGACATAAGCGGATTAGGTATTTTTCCTACCTCTTTGCCCTTGCTAGTAGCAATTAAAAGAAATTGGGTTAAATTAACTCCTTTGGATAAAGAAGAATTTTGAGCAGGGTCAAACACCGGCAATAAAGCCTTTTCCAAAGCAGAATCTTTTTTTATTTGGTCAATATTTTTAAACCAAATAATCGGGAAATTTTCCTCTTGAATAAGTTGTTTATTTTGGGAACTATCATAAATTTCTTTAATTTTTTTTTCCAAAAATTCTTTGTTTTCATTACTTATCTTTTCACAGTCAATGAGATTTATTCGATCCTTAATTTCTGAGTTTTGATCTAGTTCTTGATTATATTCTTCCCCCGCAAAGAATGAAGGCCAAGAAAAATTTTTTAATTTTTCAGCCCCTTTCTTCTCCTTTCTAACCGCCTCTTTCTTATTTATTTCCTTTATTATTTGTTGTTTAATAGTTTCGTTCATGGTTCCTAGTTTCTTTCATTGTTATTTTCTTCATCTTTTTCCTCTGGCTCATTTTTCAATATAAATCTCCGAAAAATTCAACTTGCTAAAAGCACGAAATTGACCCCCAAAAGGAGGAAAAGCAAATAATGTTTTCAACCAGCCTTAAATTCCTCCTGGTAAGGAAAAACATTTTTTTTTATTCAGGCTGAGGGATTTTCCGTAAAATCAAACTTTTCGCCCTTATTTTTGGAATAAATATATCCCTTTTCAATTTTATACAAAACTCTTTCGGCCTGTCTAACTCCCACCTCTTGAAGCTGGTCTAGGATTTTCTCGATAGTTTGGTCCGAAATAGTTAATCCTTGACATTTTTCTTGTATATCATTGGCTTTCATCCGCAAGATCCGTTTTTTTTCGTCGCGGGTAAAATCTGTTAATTCGTTTACTTCAATTTCTTCTTTTATTTTTTGGTCTAAATCATCGATTCAGTTTATCGTCGCAAAAAAAGTAATCTGTCCCAATTCTATTTCTTTTTGAAAATACTGGTCCGTGAACTTTTCTTTATTTTTATATTTCTTAAAAAGTTCCAGTAACTCTTTTTGAATCTTGGGGTCCTCAGCCTTTTCTAACTCATCGAGTAAAATAACAGGGTTTTTACAACCATTTTTCTTAATGGCTCAAGCCACCAGACTGGGTTTGTTTTGGTCGCCTAAAATTGAGTATTCACTAGTTTCTTGAAATCCAGCTAGCGATATTGTTTCATAACTTCGACCCATAGCCTCAGCCAAAGTGGTTACGAAAGTCGTTTTCCCCATCCCCGGAGCACTATAATAACAAATCACTTTTTCGGCTGGTCAGAAATTTCCACCAGTCATTTTGTATACTTTAATATGATTAAGAAAAATTTCCTTTTCCTCGCCAAATCCAATATGTTTCGCTAGTTTTTTTTCGGCTTCCTCAACACTATCAGTAATCTTCAAGTTATTAAGGGCTCTCTCTAATTCTTTTAATTCTTGGTCTTTATTCATATTATTAGGTAAAATTTAATTTGTATTGTTACTTAATTCTTTCAGTAAATCAAGGAGTAATTATAGCAATAGTTAAGCCAACTATAAATATGATTAATCACAATAATCAAGTCTTTTTATAATATTCCTTTTTTGATACTTTAACCATTTCTAAAGAAGCATCACGTTCAGGGTTAGCGTGGCCTAAATTAGACGCAATCATTCGGGACATAATCATTAAATAAAACCCATAAAGCAGGGTTTTGCGGGAAATGCTGGCTAAAATTGGAACTATCTGGCGAAATAGAGGACCAACAAAACCGAGAACGATAGCTAAAACAAAAAAAACCACAAACAAAACCGGAATAATGTAGAAGCGAGCATAAGGAGAACCAAGGTTTAGGAATTCAAGCGGAATCTTTAATTTCATGGCTTGTAAAATGTTAAAGGTAGTAGCAATCAAGGTTCAACTGACGATAAGCGGAACAATTTTTATAACTGATTTGATTAAAGTTTCAATAACATTTAAAGAGTTCAATAAACAAATAATTATTGCTCCAATGGTATATCAATAAGTTAATTGCCTGGCTTTTCATTCACCAAACTTTCCTCAAAAACTCTCTTCTTTTTCTGTGACTTGGGCTATTTCCATTTCATTTTTTTCTCCTTTCCCAATTTTCACCTTTCCTAATTCAGTGTATTCATTTTCAGAATTTAGTTTTTCATTGGTTATTCAACTAGGAGTATTCTCAGCAATGTTTTTCGTTTTACCAGCAAATCAATTAATCGACCCTAAAATTCCAATCAAAACAAAGAAAAATGTTAAAAATAGAGTAAGTTTACGCTTTCAGTTAAAAATCGGTGCTTCGGAAGAATTTTTTTCGGGAACTTTTTGGAGGTTTTGAGAGGACTGACAGGAAATTTTATTGCAGTATCAAACGTTAAACAAAACCACAATAGTAGTAAAGACTATTCAGCAAAGGATACTAAAAGGTAAAGCGTCGACCGCTGTAAATTTAGTGGCTCCGGAATATTTATTGACATACATTTTTAGTAAAAGCGGTCTACTAGTAGGATTTAAATTGGCTAATGTCCCTACCGCATATCCGCCATAAAGACAGAGAAAGGGAGAAAAGACATCAAATCCCATGGTTAAAAAGAGAGGAATTAGTAAGGGATAAAAATGGATAAATTCACTTCCTCAACCAACTACGGAGGTTAAAAAAGAGGCCATAACCGTAATCATAATCACGGTGGTAAAGCGTCGTTTTTGTAGTCATTTTTTCTTGGAGGTCAATAAGGACTGCACACTTTGACTTTGGAAGAGGGCGTAAGTAAGAAAAGCCATGACAATCATCAAATATCCGGAACCACCTTCTTGGAACGAAAACATTTCTTCCAAGGATTTTCATATCATTGGGAAAATGTCAGCCAACCCAACTTTGCCAGCACAAAAATTACCAAAAATTCATCAGCCGGAAAGGTTAGATATAGCCGCGAGCAAAAAAAATGCTACTATAAGTATAAGGTAAAACATAAAGTTTAGTGTTAGTTACAAGTTTTAAAATGAGTTTAGTTAAAAGTTTTATATTTTTTAAAGTTAAAGTTAAGAAAATTAGTTTTTGCCACCCAAAAGTGGCTTGTTTTGGTTTAAAGAATATATTGTTTTCGGCCACGAGAGCCATAGAATTAAAAAAAAATATTGCCTTTCTTCTGTTAAAAAAGAATTAGTTGTTTTTTCAACTTTAAGTAATATTTCTTGAAAATTCATAATTTATTATTATTTTATATAGTTGAGAACAATTCGATTAAAGTTTTTACCATAATGTCTGTTACTTGCTTAGCCTTAGTTTTTTAAGCCATTCCGGCAATGTCGCAATGAATAAGTAGTAAAATTTCAACAAAATCTTGTAAAAAAGCATCACTATTGGAAACTCCTATATATCGACTACTACTTATGTTGTCGAGATCAGAATAATTACTCCTATTACTAAAATAAGGGACATTGCCTTTCAGTATTATTTTCTATTTCTTTATATTGCTGGTAAAATTTAGAATTTTTGTTAACATATTTTTCTCCTCAACTTCCAATATCCTTTGATCACCTTTCTGTGGTAATTTCTAAGTACTCGGCTGGGGGATGTTTGGGTGGATCACGATCACAACATCATATAATACAATTCCATTAGTAATGGTAGTGAATTAATATTTTTCTTGGAATTTAAGCCAATTTCCACTAATTACTTTTCCTTTGACTTTTTTTCACTTGTACCAAACTTCTCTAAACGGAAATTTACCAGTAAATAGAAAATAAACAATTTATACCAAAGGCATAAACGTCAGCAGGTCCTTTATACCGGTCTAAGAGTAAACACTCTGCTTACTTAAACAGATTATTAAGAATTCAGGTAGTAAAACCCATCGCACTTTATTGCCTTTACCATGAATTCTTAACCAAGCATTTTAATCCTTACTCTCGTGATTATTTATTCTTAACCAGCAAGGGCAATAAACTCACTAAAGAACAGATTAGAAGAAACATTAAAAGAAAAGCCAAACAAGCCGGAATTAAGAAAAATATTTCACCGCATTCTTTTAGAAGAAGTTTAGCCACTAATTTATATAATCTAGGTGGGAAATTAGAAACTATTCAGAAACAACTAGGTCATGCTAGTTTAGATACTACCTTAGGATATATTCATAATGATTACCAGACTTTGTATGCTGATTATAGTAAATTGTGAAGTAATGTCAAAATTTAAATAAATTAAACCAAAAACCTAATCAGAATTAATGTTTTTTCCAATCTTCTTCTATTTCCTTAGCAAGACTCTTAGTTTTTTTAGTTATCTTTTCAAGAGTTTCTCTTTTGACAACACTAATATCTCCTATACTAGCGGATGTCTCATGCTCATTATTATCAATTTCGCTATTTTCAAGGTTATCGGCCACTCAAGAAAGATTTTTACAAAATTCTATCAAGAAATTTATTTCCTTTGATTGTTCATAGTAATTGCTTGTTTTGTTATTCATAATTTAATTTTTCTGATTATTTTTTAAGTTAAATTAATGTTGTTTGTAATTGTTAATAATTAAAATTAAGTATTATGGTAAAGGCTAAACAAAAAGAAACATTTACTGTTAAACCTATTCACCCAGGAACGATACTGCGCGAAGAATTATTAATTCCTCGCAACATTAGTCCTAACGAATTAGCAATCGCTTTAAAAGTTCCGAAAGAACAGATTAAATGAGTGTGTGAAGAAAGGGGAGATATTACTCCTGATTCAGCTGCCCGCTTATCTTTGTATTTTGATACTTCGGTTGAATTATGATTAAACTTGCAACGAAGTTATGAAGAAGAGTTAGCCGAAGTCAAATTAGAATTATTAAAAAAAGAAATTGTTCCTTATAAAGTAAAAAAAATTTAGAACCAATTGAGGGAACCAAAAATCATCACAGTATTAGAATTGGTGGTAAGTGACGGTGTTTTTTTATTTGGGAAGATGGTCAAGCTTGAGAAATTGAACTTAGCAAGCATGATTATAAAAAAGTACGAAGATAGAGAACTAATCATTTATGAGTTAGAAATTGTTATCCAATAGGTTAGATAGTAAAATTGCTTTATTTTTAGAGCACTTTTTAAAAAGTTAGAGTGTTTATATTAGGTTTAAAATAACTAGTGAATATTTAAGGTAATTTATTTAGGAGGGATTTCTATTTGAGTTTGAAATTTTGGTAACTCAATCAATTTGTTTAATCTAATTTCAATATCAATTAAAGAAATTCTTTTACTAGGATCTAATCTTCAGCAAACATCAATAATCTCTGCTAACTCTTTAGGAATGTCATTAGGAATAGTCTCTCTTAAATTATTACCACCTACTTGAAAAATAACTGCATTATTATTATCTAAATCTTTAAATGGTAAAGTATCTTTGGAGGCTATTTCTCACATAACCATACCTAGTGAATAAATATCACTTTGATAAGAATGCTCATCACTTCTTAGAACTTCTGGAGCTAATCAACGAATAGTTCCTGTTATTTTCTTGCCACTGGAACTATAACCAGAACTATTTAATAACTTAGCTAAACCAAAGTCGGCTAATTTAGCTACATATCCTTCAGTAATTAGAACATTGTGACTTTTCAAATCGCGATGAAGTACACTTTCGCTATGCAAATATCTTAACCCCTTAACCATTTGCTTAATAAAGTTATAGTTGATTTGTCAATCATGATCTTTATCTTTATTATCAGTGATAAATTTAGTTAGTGAACCATGTTCAGCATACTCCATAATGATATAAATATCATTTTCTTTTTGATATTCACCATAATATTGAATAGTATAACTACTACGCAAATTCTTTAATATCTTTAATTCTTTTCTTATCTTAGCAAGTTCCTTTTCATCAGCGGGGTTGGTAAAAGCTTTTTTTATTGCAGCAAACTGAGTCTTCCAAACTCCTTTATAAACCTCACCAAAAGAGCCTTCTCCTAACTTGCTAGCTTCAATGATGGGAGCTTCTTCATTAAATAAAGGTTTGAATTGTTCAAGTTCATCTTTTAGTTTGGTGTTTTCATCGATTATTTGCCTGACATTTTTTTCTAGGGCTTCGATGATTTCCGTTGTTTTTGGATCGTTAACAGGTTTGGTTTTCAAACTTTTTATCAATGATGAAATTTCTTCAAATTTTTCTTTTAATATCTTATTTTTTATTTCTAGTTTTTTATTTTCTTCTTTTAAAGATAACAATTCTCTACGATTACTTTCTTCTTCGCTAATTCCTTTTTCCTTAAGAGTTTGTTTATATTTTTTTCAGTTTTGATTATGGGATTCTAAAAGTTTAAAAAGTTTGGTTCCTTTATAAGAAAATAATTCTAAATTGTCTGGCAAATTTTCAATACCAGAAACTATTTCTTTATTACCATCAACTTCTAATTTTATTAAACTATTTAAATTTTTGGTAAACTCTAGTTCAATCAAGGAGTTATTGCGAACGTTAATTTCGCTTAATTTTGGACAGTTTTCAATGACTAATTTTTCCAATTTGCAATTCGTGATTGAACAATTTTCTAAACTAAGCAAATTTTTTAAAGTCAACTTTTCTACTTTGTTGGTATCAGCAATTTCTATTTTCGTTAAATTAGGATAATTTTCAATAATCAAACTTTCTTCAAAGTCCTCATACTCGATTTCAATATCTATGGTGGCTTTGGGAAATTTATTATTGAATCATTTTTGGTCGTTAGTCACGTTAGTCATATTTTTACTTATTTTTATGTATAATGGTTGTTAGTAGGTTGCTCAATAACTTCATTAAATTCTATACTTATTTCGTTCCCCAATCTGACTATTTCATCACAATATTTGTTAATCTGCTTAACCAATTTTTTTAAAGAATCATCTTTTTTCATCGTTCCATTAATGGCTTTCATTTTTTTTCTTAGGATTTCATTCTCTTCGTCCCTGATAAACTCCTTCCTTGCTTTAACAAATTCACTAAAAGAAAGTTTTTGAACTTCATTTAGTGATATTTTTAAAGAATCTAATTTAGATTCGAGAAGATTGATTTCGTTCTGTTTTTCTTGATTTAATTTAAGGTTTACTTCTTGTGAAATATCTTGAACTTGGTCGATTATTTTTCATCATTTACTGTTTCAACAATTCAAAGAATCATCCACTATTTCTGTACTAACAATTTGAACACTCTTATTATGCTTTTCACATTCTAGAAATTGTTTGTAAAATTCGGAATCTTTTGTGTTCCTACATTCTTCAAATCATTTAGATAGAAGAGAAGATATTTCTTGAGAATCAGGTCGAAGGGAAGCATCATTATTTCAACATCCTTCTACTAAGTCTACTAGTAATTTTGGAAAGCATAAAGGAGATAATTTTCAGTCTGGGCGATGATTAGAGAATACTATTGCTCTTTTAAACTTATCGTCCTTCCAATTTTTGTTAAAATGAGGACGCACATTTGTCAATATCTCGTAAGCAATCATAGCAAAAGCATAAATATCGCTAGCTGGCGTGAAGCAGCTGCTCTTGCTCCGCAATAACTCTGGCGCAATATAGGGGAGTACGCCAAAAATCTTTCCTTTCTTCTCTACCTCAGTATTAAACAAACTACTCAATCCGAAATCTGAAATTACACATCCGCTATCTCTACTTAAGATATTTCCTATATGAAAGTCTTTATGTATTAGTTTATTTTCGTGAATCTGATTTAAACCTTGGGAAATTTGAAACAGAAGAGCCATTTTATCCTTAAAATTAGTGAATCGTTGATTTTTAAGGTCAATTCTTAAGTTTTTTCCATCTATATATTCAAAGACCATTACATATTTTTTTAAATTCGGGTCATAGGAAAGACCGAAACAATCAACTAAGAAGAGACTTTCAGCAACAATTGTTTTCCGGTGACCAATTTCTTCTAAAACCTTGTCTGCACCGTTTTGTGAATCTTTCAAAACTTTTAAAGCTACTAAGGTATTATTATCTCTATTTCAACTTCTTTTTTGTTTATTTCAATTTCTAATTCGTCCTTCGCTTCAGTTTGCTTTGTAAACATCTCCATATCCTCCGTGACCAATTTCCTCCAAATTAGTAAATTTGTCAAAATGAATTCATTCTAAAACTGAATTTCACCTTAATACTAAAAACTGTTGATAGATTTGTAAATAGTAGTCAATTATTTCATTTCTGCTCGTTCAATTTTTAAACTCCTCTTGAAAATGTTTTTTGTTGCAAGTTTGACATCATAAAAAATGATTATTATGTTTCTTACATTCAGTACACAAGCCATATAATCCATATTTTTCTAGTGCCTTTTCATTATATCCTATTTCTTTTAAGAAATCTTTTTTTCATTCGTCTTGTCACCTACTTCAAACAAGTTCAAAGTTCTTTTTATAATTTATAAGGCATTTACTTAAATGTTCATCTGTTGAAAAAAAATAAGATTCAACTTCTTTTCATAATTTCATCTCTTCTAAGTTCTTTTCTTTATTAAGTTTTCTACGTATTAAAAAATCTGCTTCATAAGGATGAAAAAATTTACGAAGTGGCACTTTAACTTTTTCATACCCATAATTATTTTCCCATCACTTGACTCGGCCAAAATCATAAATGCTAAATCCTAATCATATTCATCTCTCTGTATTCTCATAATTAAACCCTGCTTCTTCTCATTCTTCCTGTAACTCTTCTTCGAAATCTTCATGAATATCCGTTCAATTTCTTTTGTATCAATTAGTTTTTTTGTTAAAGATATTGCAAGTGTTTAATTGCTCAGATAGTTTTTTAACTTTGCTATTTGGCTTCTCGTCAAATGAGCAATAAATGTTTTCAATATTTTTTGATAAGTATTCTCATCCTGATTCAATGTCGGTGTTATTAATATTTAAAACTATTAGTTTAGTCAAAGGTTGTAAAGGCTTTAAGGAACCAGTAAAGCGGTTAAAGGTATTTTTAACTAATTTTTCTTGATCGCCATTACCAATGTATAATATATTTAGATTAACAAACCTACTAAAAACTGATAGATTTTGTTCTTGTAGATCATTATCACTAATATTAAAATAATTTAATTGTTGTGGATTAAATATAAAATAATCAAAGTTTTTTAAATTGTTATCATTACAGCCAATTCATTTTAATTTATTCAAACCAAAGAGATCACAAGTAGTTATCTTATTGAGAGAAAAATCTAAAAATTCACAGTTAATAAAATCTTTTAAATCTAGATGACCTTCTAGTTTTTTTCAGTCTGCTTTTTCTTTTCTGTTTGCAAAATCTCAACCACTAAGATTTAAAACTTTTATCTCCTTTCTTTGTTCTTTTGGATAATTCTCATCCAATCATTCTTGGGTCTGAACCATAATACTAAGTTTTAGTATTTTTTTCTTTCTTAGTAGTAAAACCACAACAATCACTCTAACAACTAAAACACTTCCTCCAATAATATAACCCTACTTATGATAAATGCCCTCTTGGACAGCCCATTTTCAAAATCTAGAAAAGCCAAGGTCGGCATCTCATTTCTCATTAATTAATTTTACTAAGTCATCTTCTAAACATTTTTTAAAGTATTTGGTTAAGTCTTCTTTGTTTAATCTTTTCATCTCTTTGTCAACTGCTTCTTTTAATTGCTTGGGAGTTCAAGCTCGTGCCTTTTCAATGTTGTGCCTAATCGTGTTAAAGAGTAATTCCACAGGATTTAGTTGAGGAGAACGAGAAGGTAAATAAGTTAGTTCTGCATTTCTAGGATTTAGTTGTTCCTCGATAGTTGGCAAGCCTAACTGCTTTCTCTTTTTAGGAGCTCGGTGAATAGAGGCATTATCTAAAAGAAGATAACTCTTTTCCTCAAAATTAACATTAGCACTAGTTAAGAAATCATGAAAAACTTTGACATCAACTCTTTCTTCAACTAACTCATAATGAACTACTCCTTGCTCTTGCTTACTTTGAACTCAAAGAATTAAGGAATAACTTTTGCCTTTATCACCTGGCTTAGGAGAAATGGCTCTTTTTCCTTTCAGAGCATAACCATAACGAGGAGCTTCATTTAAGTGAAAATTACACTCATCAATAACTGAGAATTGACTTAATGACAAATCTTTAATTTTTTCTCTAAAATTGCGTTTTTTTTTTTTTTTTTGCTAAAATATATTAATAAAAATATATGGAGGAAAGCGAAACGATAATAAGAGAAACTAGTAATTTATAACCAAATGATTACTACGATTACTAGTATTCTTAAAAATAAATTTAGTAGTAATCGTTCAGTAGTTTCTGACAAAAAACTAAAAATGGGATAGATGGAGATAGAGGTTACAGAGTGAAATTTGATTTATTAAAGAGTTGGTAAGTATTTAGATAATAGAACATTAGAGTTAGAAGTGTTAGAAAAAGTTAATAAACAGTGATTAAGAGTTTGAAAGGCAAGTTAGTTAAAAGAGTTTGAGAAAGGAACCCATCAAAACAATTATTAACCATTTGAGAAATTGCTTATGATGGTTTAAGTTTATTACATTCGATAACTGACTTACGACAATTAGAGAGAGTTCCAGGTTTACGATTACACAAACTAAAAGGTGATCGCCAAAAACAACGAGTTTTTTGAGTTGGTAAAACTAAATATCGCATCTGTTTTGAGTGAAAAGATGGTAATGCTTTTAATGTAGAATTAATTGACTATCATGACTAAAAACGAAAAATTAGCCCCTATTCATCCTGGTAAAACCTTAGAAAGACAATTCTTTCAACCTTTACAATTAACAAGGAAACAATTAGCCCAAGATTTACATTTACCCCTTTATCAATTAGAAAATCTAATTAACGAAAAAGAAAAAATAACTCCTGAAATTGCTTATCGTTTAAGTTGTTATTTTCAAATTGAAGCCGAGGTATTTCTCAATCTCCAACAACATTACGATTTAGAAGTTTGGAAAGATAGACAAGAAATTTATATTAGAGGACAGATTAAACCTTATGAAACTATTCACGGTAAGGAGAAATAATTAAATATTTCGTCTCTCTCTCTCTCTCTCTCTCTCTCTCTCTCTCTCTCTCTCTCTCTCTTATTAATAAACTTATAATATAAATAATTAACTCCTATGGTAGTAAAAAAAATAAATGACCCTGATATTAACCCAATTAATTCAATTCAACAAGCCAAAGAATATAAGTGAAATGGCAAAGATTTAAATGATAGTGAAAAAGCAATTTTTGATAACGATATTTTAAAGAAAGTGAAAACGGATGGTAGCCTCGATACAGATCCTGATTCCACTAAACTTAAAGGAGCCTTAGTTCTTTTACTAAATGTCAAGGCTAGCCAAGAAAAAGTAAAAACAGAAACCATGGGTTTAAGTTCGGATGGACAAGCACTAATGATTTCTCTATTAACCGAACAAAAAGGTAATTCAGCTCCTTATCAAGCCGTTAATCAAATGGGGAATGATAAACCGGTTGACAAAGTTATTCGTCAATTTGAAGATGTTTTATTTGCGGAATCTGAACCTGAATTTGATCAAAAAATTGAAGTTGCCCTTCTTAAAATCAAAGATTTAGATGAAAAAGGAGAAAAAGTTGACAAAGAAATCACTAAATTACGAAAAAAATATAATCAAGAATTATTTGCTGAACAAACTGAATTAGAAAAAAATGTTGCTAAGGCAGTTACTGCTTTAAAAGCTGATTTAGCAACTGGTCAAATTGGTCATAAGATTTTGAAACAAATTATCCAATTTAATAAAGTAGTTGCACAAATAAATTATACATCAACTGTAACGGCTTCGTCCGATGTTTTAGGATCAGTCATCCAAACTGGTTATAATGGGAATAATAGACCTTATACTCATCCAATGTATTTAGGCGGCGATTTACCGGGGCAAATTCTTACCATTTTAAAAGATATAAATAAAACTAAACTTTTTGATTATATTTCTTCTTCGGCTTGTAATTGAAATGCTGATAAAAAGAAAAAATTTAAAACTACATTTGAGAGAGTTGTAGGTTGAGAATTTGAGTATAGTAGTAGTGATGAAAATGAAATAAAATCGTTAATTCCTGTTTATAGTGATGAAGAAATGGAAACAATGAGCGAAGATGAATTAATTAAAAAAAACAACATCTATATTAGTGACATTTTCTACATCATGCATGCTCTCTTTCCCAAAGATAGCAATTATAAAGATAGTCCTTTCTTAAAAACTGGTAACAGTTGTTTACAATTTGAGAATAATAAGAGTTTAGATTCTGAATATGCTTTTTATTGACGAGGAGCTGATGCCAGTGTTAAAAACAAAAAATATTCTTCTGTTAGTTCCCTTGTGTCTAGACTTGGCTCTATTTTTATTGCAGAAAAAAAACAGTTAACTTGAAAGGATGGTAAAATACCTGAATTCTTTTGGCAAGTTTATAATAATAATGATGCTATTGATTTTACTGCCGATTATAAAGTGTTAAATAAAGATGGAAACCCAGAAGAATTAGTTAGAGAAGAAATTTCTGTTTATGAGAAGAAATTGAAAGCGGGGCGAAAGTTTCTTTTCCATATTATGGGAAGTTCTTATCGAGAACACATTATTGAAGTTATTGAAAGTATAAAAGATGCTTCTGATAATTCTTTGATTGATCCAATTGAGCTTGAAAATGAGTGGGAAGATATTTTTTTAGATATAATATCACGGATAGGAAATACTTTTAATCTTTTTAGGCAGCGAGCGGCAGGACTGAGTTTTGATCAACTTTTAGCTAAAATCAAGGGCGAATTACCTAATGATAATGTTGAGAAGTGACTCATTGAAGTTGAAAATGATGCTATCGACAATGCCTTGATTGACCTATGAGACCAATGAAATATTGATACTAAAGCCAAAAGAAAAGTTTTAGAAAGCAATGAAAAATTATTAGGTGATAAATTAATTGAAAGAAGTGAGATTAATGCTAAACGAAAAGAAACGGTAGATGAGTGTAATAATGCTAAAAAATTAGAAAAAATCGCCAAACAAGGAGGAATGAAAGCTTTGAAAGACACCTTTAATGCCATCAATGCCAAAACTAAAAAGAGTTACCGAGAATTGCTTTTTTTAAGAAGTATTTTAGCACTAGTAGAAAAATGGCAAAATGATTATCCTACTCTATACCCCGCTGACTCCGCCTTTGATGTAACTACCTTAACCCAAGCATTAAATGATGAAGAAAAGGCTCGCGGAGGTGTTCTGGCTCCTTACACGATTTGAGAAAGACTGGGTGATAATTTTGCTGAAAGATTAAAAAATTGAAAAGCCAATGATGGTAAATTTTATAGTAAAGAAGTGGAGAGAAGTTATCTTACTCGGATTAAAGAAGTTTTAGAGTTATTTGATACTAATCAGTTAAGTAAGACAGAAAAAAATGAATTAGATCAAATTAATAATCATCTAAATGAAGTGCCGGTACCAACCGAAAAAAGAATTACTCCGAGTGAACTTAAAGGTGCTTTTGGCATGAGTATTAATATTTTTAGTGATACCACCCAAGAATGAATCGATTTCCCTAGTTCAATTAAGTTTAAAGAGGATGCTAATGAAATTAAAAAATTAGCCGATAAAGTTAATAGTGGTAAAATTAAAAAACCGGACTTTGTCAAGTACTTAAAAGAAAATTTAGCTACTAATCCAGCTTTACCAGAATTCCCCGACACAGGTAGTGAACGACAAAAACTAGATTGATTCTTTTATTTGAGTCCAAAAATAGTGATTGAAACCATTGCTACCCAAGAACTAGTTGCCGATAGTACCCTCAAAGATACTATCGTTAAGGAAATGAAAGATTATAAAGAAGGAGACAAGACCCTAGACAGTGCTAAGTATCCAAAAGATGACCAAGGAGCCTTTACAGTAGAGGCCATTAATACTTATTATTATGAAAAATTAGCGGGTCAAAGTCATTCTACTAAACAGGAGATTCCGGATAAGAGAGATGAGAATGGTAAAAAAGAAAGTTTCTGAAATTCAAGTAATCCCTATGCTTACATAGCAGGAGGAAGTCTTGCCTTGGCTGCTATCTTAATTGTTTTAGGTATTGTTTATTGAGAAAAATTAGTGGCTTGATGAAATGGTCCGGCTGAGACCGAAGGTGATCAAACTGAGGAAAAAGATGATGAATAATACTTGATTATCTAACCTGATTATGTATGTTAACTGATAGTCTAGATAATGTTATTTGAGTGGGAGTAAATTTTATTCCCGCTTGAATATTTTATAGTTTATTTAAAACAGAAAATATTTATTTGCCTATGGTCAAAATATTAGGGAATATCTGATAAGAACAAAAACAAAATCAATCACTGCTTATTAGATATAATTGCTTAATTGCTTTTTTAGTGATTGTAAAAAATATTTAAACAATAATAAACAACATAAATTTAAAAAAACATGCCAGGAAATAATGTATATTGCGACCAATGCAAAAAATATATAGAAAATGACGAATTAGCTTTTTTTAGTGATGCAGAAAAAAATTTAGATTTTTGTTCTGAAGATTGCTATTTAAAATGAATTAATGATCATAATACTCAAGTTTGATTAGATAAAAATTATCCCCAAGCAGAAAGAGAAAATATCACAGAATTATACATTAGTAAAGAATTAGAAGGCGAGTTAGATTTATCTGAATTTACTAATTTGAAAAAAATATTTATTTCTTATAGTATAGATGAAGAAAAGTTAGAAATAAAGGATAAAGCAAATTATAAAAATAAAATAGTTAAGTTAGTAAATGCCCAGGAGTATTTAGAAAAATATTTAGAAAAGAATTATTTAGGGAAAGAAAAAAGGGAGATCGGAAGGTTAAATTTTGACAATGCAAATTTAGAAGGTGAATTAAATTTATCAGGTTTCACTAATTTAACAAGATTAGATTGTGACAATAACAAACTAAATAAATTGGATTTAAGTGACTGTTCTAACTTAGAAGTTTTTTATTGTCGAGGTAATAAACTGACCAATGTAATTTATCCCTCAAATTCTGAAAAGTTAACTGTTATAAATGTAAGAAATAATAATCTTGAGGAACAGAACTTATTAGTTTTTAATCGGTTTATCAGTTTAACTCATTTAATTATCGGCAACGATAATAGTTATGAAAAAAAGATAAACCAAGGTATTTATAACCGCTTTTGTGGCAGTTTAGAATCTTTAACATCCTTAAATAAACTAACTAGCCTTAATATTAGTAATACCGATATAGATTCAGGTTTAGAAAATTTACCAAAGAGTGTTGGAACTTTAACTTGTGAAACTATACCTAATGGCAAATTTAAGGTAAATAAAATTAGAGAAGAACTTGCCCTTTATGATAATAGTATTGAGGTTTGAAGAGAATGAAAAGAAAGAGGGTTTAATGGCGGAGAAATTAAGCAATGAAAAGAAAAAGGTCTAAAAATTAATGAGTGAATTTTCGTTACCTATTTAAAAAAACAGAAAGGTTATGATGACATTTCTAAATTTAAAGTAGAAGATATAGAAGGTTTGAGAGAGGAATTTAATAATTGAATAAAAATTGCTCAAAATTATTTAGATAATTCCTTTTCGAAAGAAAGGAAAAAAATAACTAATCTAAATATTTCTAATAAAGGTTTAGAAGGTAAGTTAGACTTGTCTGATTTTGTTAATTTAGAAAGTTTAGATTGTTCTCGTAATCAACTAGCCGAACTAAATTTGAACAAATGTCTAAAGTTAAAAGAACTTAATTGTGGTTATAATAAATTAACTAAATTAGATTTATCCGGTCTAAATGAATTAGAAAAAGTTAAGTGTCATAATAATTGTCTAGAAAGTTTCGATTACTCATCTTTAAACCCAAAAAAGTTAATTAATCTAAATATCACTGCTAATAAACTTCCTAAGAAAGATTTAACTGTTTTTAGTTCATTTATTAATTTAGAAACCTTATGAATTGGCAGTAGTGATGAAGATATTCAGCAAGGATTTTTCACTAATCACTTCTTTGGATCTTTAGAACCATTGAAAAACTTAACCAAGTTAAAAAACCTTAATATTTCCAATACTGACATTGATACGGGTATTGAACATCTACCTGATAGTTTGGAAAAAGCTTACTGTGATTTTGAAGAAAGACCCGATAGTAAGGTAAAAAATATTCAGGAAAAATTAGATTCTCTTCTTACTAAAAAAAAATTAGATAGAATGTATCCTGATAAATCTGCTAAGATATTAAATAACCTTTACTCAGAAGGATTGAAAGGTCATTTGGATTTAAGTGATTATAAGGATTTAGAAGATTTAAGATGTCATAAGAATGCTTTGACTAGCATAAACTTGAGCAAAAACACTAAACTTAAAAAGTTTTATTGTTATAATAACAAACTAAAAGAAATTAACCTTAGAAATAACATTAATTTAGAAGAGTTAAATTGTAAGGATAATAGTTTAACTAGCCTCGTAGGTATTGAAAATTGTAGTAAATTGTTTAATTTGGAGTTTTCTGGTAACTACTTTAGCGTGGAGGAAAAGAAAGTGATAGACGAGTTATTTGAAAAGTTACGTGATTTAAATAAAGCAATGGACAAGTGAAAAAAGATAGATGCTCAGAAGTGATTAGATGAGGAGTATCCTAAGGATGGACCGTGTTTAGGAAATTTTGATGTAGAAAGTAAAGGTAAAGAGAGAGAAATAATTAAAGAATTAGACATTAGTAACCAGGAATTAAATGGTAAACTAGAATTAGGGGGATTTAGTGGTCTTAAGCACTTGACTTGTCGTAACAATCAACTAACTGAAATTGATTTAAGCGATTGTCCGAAATTAGTAAGCATTGATTGTAGAAATAACAAACTAAATAAATTATCATTTGCTGAAAGTTGCAATTTGAAAGAATTACAAGCTTCTAATAATGAATTTACTAGTGTAGAGCAAATTTTTAGTAAAATAGAAGATAAAACTAAGGATAAATATTCTGCCTCAACTTTAACTCATTTCGATATTAATAAAAATAGAATTAGGGAGGGTAAATTAAGTAATTTTGCTAAATTTAAAAATTTAAAAAGTTTATATATTGGTAGTAATGATGAAAGCAAACAGAATAAATTTACTGGTTCATTAGAGGATTTAAAAAATCTGAACGAATTGCTTGAAATTGATATTTGTGGTAGTGGTATTGAAGTTGAAAATTTTTTAAGGGGAAAGATAAAAAAAATAAACCGAGAGCCGTTATTAGAGAAACAAAAAAGTAAAGAAACCAAATTAGAAAAAATTTATTATGTTGATAGCAAAGACAATAAGAGAGATGTTAAAGAATCGGTAAAAACAGAAATAGAAGAATGCTACGATAAAGAAGGAAATTTTTATGATGTGAAGAAATTAAAGAGTGGAAAAATATCGTTCCATGAAACCGCTGGTGTAAAGTCAATGGTGAAAACTCCTTTGTTAGAAATAAAGCAAAAAGAACAAGACAAAAAAATAAAACAAAACCAGGAAGAAGATTATTTTAGTCAAGGTAAATTAATTTATCCATCAGAAAAAGAAACGGGGTTTGTTTGGGAAGCTGGCGAGCCATTATTACTAAGTAATTTACCGCGCAGGCTTTGCGAAATAAACGATTATAAGAAAATTGAAATAAAAAAAAGAATTGAATGTGAAGATGCTAAACATTATGCTATCTTATCTTATACTTGAGATACTGGTGTAATCGATACAAATGAGAAAAAACAATGAAGTGATGAAGTCCCTGAAGATGCTACAAGTGATTTAAGTGCTGGTGGGATAAAATCTTTAAACAAAGCTCTTAAAACTCTCAAAGTTCTTAATGATTTTCACTTGTTCAGGAAAAGGTGTAAAATTAAATACCTTTGAATGGATCAGTTGTGTATTAACCAAAATGATCCTAATGAAAAACAACATGAAGTTCCAAAAATGAGGGAGTACTACGGTAATGCTACTGTAACTTTGGTAGCAATACATGAAACTGTTGGAGAAGAAACTATGAAAAAATTATTGAATTCTTTTGAAAAAGGAGAAAGTGGGCTTATCTATCCTAATGAAATAGTCAAAAATTCCTTACCAATATTAAAAAAAATAATTAGTTCTCATTGATTTTCTCGCTCTTGAACTTTTCAGGAAGGATTTTTATCTAAACAAACTATTTTTATGTTTGATGACTTTTTAGTCGATGGTAGATTTATGGCTCTAATTTGAAAACTTAGTCAATTTACTGATGCTCATTATGAAGAGTGCAGAAGTGTGAAAAAGTTGTGTGAGAACAAGATTGCAACTCCGGTAGGTTGAGTATATTACGAGTGAGAAGAAGGTGAAAAAAATGAAAGGGGATATAGTCTTAGCGATACAGCGTCACTCACATTAAGTGAAGCGTTATGAGCGGTGAAAGGAAGAGGAAGAACTATTGCTCTCGATGGTATCTACTCAATAATTGGACTATTGCCTTATGGAGATAAAGTGAAAGTTAATTATGAAAAAGGTCCCGAATCAGTGTTGCGAGAAGTTATGTTTATTGCCGCTAAAAATGGGTATGGTGAACCTTTAGCTTGGCATGGTTCTGGGAGTAAAAAACCAGGATTATGTTGGGTACCGGAAATAGATGCTAAAAGCGGTTCAAGTAGTGTAAAAGGAAGTATAAAGATTGACTATGATTGAAAAAAAGAGAATATTGAGTTTGAACAGGATAAAGGTATAAAAGTAAATGGTTTAGAATATATTATAGGTTGGAAAGATAGTGGTATATACAAGAAGGAAGTGGAAGAAACAGTGGATGGTAGCCTTTGACGAAGAGAGGTTTGAGTAAAAAAAGATGAGAACGGCAAAGAGGGAGAGAATTTAATCTTATCAGGAACTAAGGAAGGAATTCAAATGATAAGCAAAGAAAAAGTACTTGTAATACCTAATAGGAAAGTGTGAAAAAGTGAAAAACCGTTTGCTGTATTGGCATTAACTGTTGGTAATCCTGAAAATAACATCCGTCATCGCATAGATCTATTAAGAATAGAAGAAGGTTATGAAAATTTAGAGAAATTAGGAGTTAAAGAAAAACAATTCATAATCGGTCTAGATAATCAACAATATCAAACTCAAATTGAAGTTAATCCTTACCAAAATAAATAGTTCAAATTTTTAATTGTTCATTTCATGAAACTAGGAAAAAGAAAGTTAAACACTGAAAGAAAACAAATCTAAAGTTTCGAAGTTGAAGAATACATGCTAGGTAATATTTTCCCCCACAGGAAGAAGTTCAGTTCGCCTAAAAAAGGTCGAGTGGCGAGAAAAAAATAACGACTAGGGATATAATAAACATTATTTGATAGAATGAAAGAAAAGCAATATCTCTATGGCAATATAGACTATACTTCTTTGGTTAAAGCTCGTAATTTCTTGGCTGAAATTCTCCAAAATGCTAAAAACGATTATGAAAAGACAGGAGTGGTAAAGGCTTTTGAATTTTGTTATGAGTTGGCTTGGAGACTAATGAAAAAAATAATTAGATTTCATGGGACAGAATTAGATAGTGTTCGGGATGTTTTTCGAGAAGCTAATAAATTAAAAATTATTACGGATGCTGAAAAATGATTTTCTTACTTAGAGAAAAGAAATATCACGGCTCATACTTATCGGAAAGAAATCTTAGATGACCTATTCTTTAATACTGCCCATGATTTTTTAACTGATTTAGATTACTTATTGACTCAACTAGAAAAAAATGCTTCTAAATATGTTTCAAATAAAAAATAGTCATCAAAAATTAGTTAAGCAAATACTTTCTAAATATCCTTACCGATTTTATGCCTATGGCTCCCGGGTTAAAGGGAAAGCAAAAAAATTATCAGATCTAGATTTATGCTACCGGGAAGTAATTCCTTGGAACATTCTTAGTCATATCCGAGAAGATTTTGAGAATTCAAACTTACCTTTTAAAATAGATTTAGTTTTTTGGGAATGGATGGATCCTAGTTTCCAAAAGTTAATTACGGAAGACCTAGTTGAGTTTTAGTAACAGCAATCTATGCGTTAGACTGAAATTATTGTTATTTACTAAGTGGTTGAAATAAAAGAAACAAGTAAAATCAATACAGAAAATAATTATTTTCTAGACTAAAATTTTTTTCCTTTTTAGCCAAGAAATAAGGGTAAGAACTATTTATAAGCATTGCTAGCATTTTAATAGTATCACTTTTTTCAATAACGAGATGAAAAAGAGGTAAATTAAATGGGTTTAGTGAAAAGATTTAGCACCTTGTTCAAAAAATTCCTAAAAATAATAAAATAATATATTATGGTAAATGCACAATTTTTTTTGGATCAAAACTATTCAAAAAAAGAAAAGAAAAATATCAATAATTTAGAAATAAATGATAAAAATTTAGAAGGCAAATTAGTTATTAAAGATTTTCCTAATTTAAAAGAAATCAAATGTGGTAAAAATAAAAAACTTACTAGTATTGAACTTGTTAACTTACCACAGTTAGATTATTTTCATGCTAATACTTGTCAACTTAATAATATAAGCATTAGCAACTGTCCAAGAATTAATCATTTCAATGTAGCTAATAACTTGCTTAACCAACTTGATTTTCTCGATAGTATTAATCCAGAAAAGTTAACGGTTTTAAGTATCCACAGTAATAACTTTAAGAAGCAAAGTTTAGAACGGTTTAGCAGGTTTACTAATTTAAAAGAATTATTTTTAGACAATTGTGATCGAGAAAAGTTTCGAAAACGGATACATAATCGTTTCTATGGTTCTTTAAAACCTTTACAAAATCTGACTAAGTTAGAATTATTAAGTATTGGTAACACTGATATTAATGAAGGATTAGAATATTTACCAGCAAGCGTGCGGAAAATTGGTTTTAATACTGCATGACAAGTAGAAACTGCTTGTTCTAAAATTCGTAAAGAATTAGAGAGAGCTTCGCAAATTCCGGGTGTAACCGAAAAACTACAAATGCACGAAGGAAATGATCCAGTCTGAATTAGTAGTTATTACCGGATTGCTCCCTGACAGCAAGCACAAGGTTTATTAGAAGAAGAAGAAGCAAGGAAGAGAAAAGTTCAGCAAGAAATGCAAAAATTAATAGATGAAAGTTATTCGGAAGATGTTACTTTTCTAACCATTAATAGTCGAAATTTAGAGGGTCATTTAGATTTGAGAAAATTTATAAAATTGGAAAAATTAGATTGTCCAGATAATAAATTAACTAGTCTAGATTTGAGTAAATGCTCTAATTTAACTCATCTTTATTGTGATAATAATTCATTCACTGATTTAGATTTTCTTAATCCAGAAAGTGAAAAGGGTTTGCCTCATCCAGAGAAATTGAAAGAGTTATACATAGGAAATAACGAAAACCTCGCTAAGCAAAATTTAAGTTTTTTAATTCCTTTTACTGGATTAGAAGAACTAAACATAGATAATTGTCCTTTCGAAAGTAGTTTAGAGTACTTAAAGGGAATGAAAGTTCTGCGAAGTATTTCGATTAGTGGCACTGATATTGATTCTGGTCTAGAAGACTTACCAGCCAGTTGCCAAATAATTTACTGTAATTTTGATTACCGATCTAATAAAAGATCAATAAAAATCCTTAAGGAGATTGGTAAGTATTCAAGCGAAGAAGGGTACGATCTGACTAAGTGAAGAGAAGAAAAACATAATAGTATTGCAGCAAATATCCTTCCTCTAGAAAGACTGTTTGTCATTCGCAGCAATATTAAGAAATTTGTTAATAAATGAGGGTTAAAAGATAAAAATCCTAATAATAATGTTAGTGAATACTGACATGATAGAGCCATTAATTTAATAGCAAGTCAAGAAACAAGTAAGGTAAGCGAACTAAGCAATTTACAATCTCCCGAGCAATTTAATAAACATTGATACTGAACTCTTCCTCAATGAATCGGACGAGGTGCAGTTGGTGCCAGTGGTGTTTTATCTTTTTATGGTTATCATGTCGGAGGAGTCGCTATTGCTTCACCAGTAATTGAAACTATTACTTCTTATGCTAAGAAAAATTATTATGATGCTAAGGAAAAACAATGAGAAGAATTTACTAATGATTCAAAAGAACTTTTGGATAATTATCATGAATTAGTAGGATTGCTTAAGACAGTTAAAATTGGTAAGTATGGAGAAGTAAATAAAAAACTCGGAATTTTGAAGAAAAAAACTTATGAGTTCTTAAATCAATATGATGATGATGGTAACGGAACTATTGATATGTTCGAGTTGCAAAAGGGCAAAGAGGAACTGGCGAAGGATTTAAATAAGGAAAATACAGAAGGAGGTAGTCAATTAGGAGAAATTGTCCAAGCTTTACTAAGCCTCGAAAGAGAAATTATTGAATATCGACAAGGTTCTTCCAAAGAGACTGAAGAGGAAAATGTACAGTTAGAGGAAAAAAAAACAAGCGGAAACGAACAATTAGCAGATCAACAAACAACACTTGAAGAAACCCAACAATATCAAGCATTAATAGAAATTTCTTCCGACTAAATGTTTTTAGCATGTCATTATGTACAAAAAAATAATAATTGCCGAAAATAAAAAAGCACCTATTGAAGAAGTAAGGCAGTTTGAAGTAGTTAAGAAAGAAGAACAAAAAATAATTAAAGATGTATTGAATGAGGAGGTAAGAGAGCATAAAGAATTAGTGAAAATAAGCAAAGTAAATCCTTTTCTCGTTTTAATAACTGGCGGTGCTGCTTCTGGAAAATCCACTTTGACACAGAAAATAAAGGAGAATTTTGAGCAAATTTACCAAGAAAAGTTAATAACCCTCTCGATTGATTCTTATTATTCTTTTAGTCCGCTTCTTTTTCAATCCCGTAATCCTATTCCTCACCAAATTTTTCAGTGAGAGGAATTAAATAAAGATTTAGAAACTCTTTTATCCGGAAGTCCTGTTTATTTACCAATTTATGATAATTCAGAAGAAAAGAGATTTATTAGGTCGGATGTTTTGGTTAACAGTGCTCCAATCATTATTGTAGAAGGTATATTATCTTTTTTTAAAGAAGAAATAAGGAAAAAATCAGACTTAAAAATTTATTTAGAAGTAACTGATGAGATAAGGTTAACAAGAAGGTTAGCAAGATATAAACAAGGATTATCTGAGGGTAAATTTAGTGAACCAATCGAACATGAAATAGATAGATTTTATAAGGGTAGACCAAAAATAAATCAAGAAACTTATATTGAACCGGTTAAGCAACATGCTGATTTAGTGGTTAATAATGATAATTATGAAGGGAATGTAGAAAAGGTGGTTGAGGCAATAAGAAAAAAATTAGAAATTCGCCCATAACAACCTATTTTTACTTTTAGGCATTTTCTCCTTAACAGTTAATCCTCCAAAAACTTTGGATCACCCTTATTCTTAATCGCTCTTTTTGCTAGTTATTGAAATACTTTTTTCACACTATCATCACTAACCCTTACTAAAATTACCCTATATGCTTTATCGAATATTAATATACTATAAAAAACATAACAAAGTTGTTAGAAACTAGTTGGTTTAATCTTGTATATAATCACTTAAATTTATTCATAATATGCCAAAAGTAATTACGTTAATTCCAGCAAGAATGAAAGCAACTAGACTGCCAGGAAAACCATTATTAGATGTGGGTGGTAAATCGATTATTCAAATAGTTTGCGAAAACGCTAGAAAATACATAATGGGTGATTTGTATGTCGCAGCTGGTGATAAAGAAATTGTTGATGAATGCGAAAAAATAGGTGTAAATACAATTTTAACGGATCCAGCACTACCATCAGGAACAGATAGAATTGCTGCGGCACTTAAACAAATAGATCCAACGGGAGAAAATTATGATATAGTGGTTAACTTTCAAGGCGATGGTTTAAATGTTGATCCTCGCGTAAATTTACCACTAATAAAAATGGTTGAAAAAGGTGATTGTGATATAGCGACTTGTGGTATGATATTTAAAACAAAAGAAGATAGTGAAAATCCAGCTAATGTAAAAATAGTTATGGGTTTAAGAGAGGGAGAAACCGAAGGTAGGGCTTTGTATTTTACAAGAGCCGTGTGTCCTTTTACAAGAGATCCAGAAAAAGTTAAAAACAAAGATTTATATCACCACATAGGTGTTTATGCTTACAAAGCCGCTTCATTACAAAAAATGGTGTCTTTACCAGTTGGTGTTTTAGAAGAAAGAGAATCATTGGAACAGTTAAGAGCATTAGAAGCTGGTATGATAATTAGGGTTAGAATTATCGCCCAAGAAGAAATGAAATTAATTCAAGAAGCACCAGCCGATGTAAATACGCCAGAAGAATTGGCAGAAGCAAGGAAGTACATAAATTTAATAGAAATTCCTCCTAAATAAAAATTCAGAGAGAAAGTTAATTTAACAATAACTTCTCCCTATCTAGTAAGCACTTCAACAGAATTATTTATTAGATAATTCTTTTTCAATAAAAACCTATTCTAACCCTTAAAAACGTTCTAAAAACAAAGCAATTTTACTATCTAACTACTGAATACTTTTAAAAAGTTATTTTAACACTTCTTTATAATAATTTGTTATGCTTGTCTAGCCAGTCAGGGAATTCCAAAAACGAATCGTGTTTCTTATTCTCTGTAGTAACTATCTGAACTCGTTAAAGCGGTTTGTTCATATTCTAGACGCTTGTCATCAGAATAACCATTTCTACCATAATTTTTCAACTTAGTTTCAATAAAATTTTCGGTTACCTTTCAAGTGTCCGTTTTTTCAATTTCCTGTTTATCTTTTTCAGAAACTAGAGATTGAATGTAACACGTTTTTGTTCGTAAAGGGTTCGTAAAGGGATTTCTAAGGTGATTCACATCTTTCCCTTTTCATCCTTTTGAAACTTTGGTCTTCTAAGTTTGCTTACGATATAGGAATACTAATATTATTCATTATTCTAGAAATTATCAGTTTTCTTTGTTCGGTTGAACTATTGAATTTTTCTTTCATAGTTATATAAGTTTTTTAATAATAATTCATACTTTACCTTTAATGTAACTAATCTTTTTTTCATCAACTTCTTAATAAAATTTCTTTTTCTTTTTTATTAACCTCGACAGTAACCAAATAACCAAAACTAATAAAATACCAACAGCAATAATTTGAAAAGTTAGCTTTAATCAATCAGTTTTGTCCTCACTATTATTTTCATCACTGCCGCCTTGTTTAGAAAGCAAAATTTCTACTTCTTGTCCTCTTGTTTGCCATAGACTTTTCTCCCATCTGTTAGTAGAATTTTTTCATACATAAATTTCCCGAATAACTGAGGCTTTTTCTTCCTCACTCTGAGCATTTTTAGCACGAGTTAAAAGTTGGTCAAATTTTTTTTTACTTCTTACCTCAAAAATATTATCACCTACTTGTTCTTTGAGATTGCTTATTTCATTTGAGTCACTAAGTTCCATAAGAACTTGCCGGAAGTTATGATTATTTATTTTCAACTCAGTTATCATTACTTCTGGATCTTGCTGCAAAAGATTGTTCAGATAAGAAATTACCGATGTTCGAAGAAAGCTTAAATCTTGCTGAGCCAAATAAGTTTCTCACTGCTTAATATCATTCTCGTGTTGGGAATAAAATTCGCTACATTTCGCCTGATAACTATAGATTTGTGGCAATAATTCATTGAGAGTAGAACTATCGCTAATTTGCATAGCTTGCCGGGCTTGATTAATTAACGTTTGAAAAGCCTGTTCAGCCTTTTTTCTCTCTCTCTTGCCCTTAATTTCAGGTAGTGCTTGATTAAGAACCCTGTCAATATCAACTTTTTTTCTAGCGTTATTGATGTCACTTTTTCAGTTTTGGCTAGCACTTTCCAATTCAGAAGTTTCAATTTTAGGATCTTTCGACATTTCCTGACTAATTTGATCTATGGCATTATTTCTCAAATCAGCAAGTGGGTCAGGGGAATCGGGTTTTTCATTTTTATTTTTAAGTTCAGTTCTCACTTCCATTAGTATTTTACCCAGTCAGTTTTTTCCTTCACTTTCTCTAAAAGGATAAGCAATACCGTTCCCTTTTTTGCCATTGCCTCAAAAAGGGTCATTTGTTCCGCTGTCCTCAATTAATTCAGCATTGCCAGTTGCTAATAACATTTCTTTTAACTGCTCGTTTTGTGTAAATTTTTCTTTCACTACTCAACGCATTACCTCTACACTTATGCTTCTTCAATCTGTCCTTGCTTGGTTCTTGTATAACCCACTTTTCCCATTGGCCAAATCATAAACTTCTCTTGGAGTTGATGCTTCATAAATTTTTTTGATAATTCCCGGGTCAGTAAATTTAGCGGCTTGGAAAAGGTGTTCGCTGGTTTTTCAATTGCCGGCTAAATGAGGACTTAAACCTAAATTTTGAGGTATTTGACTAATATTAATGGGCACTCGATAAAAATTAGTGAACTGATAATAAGGTTGATTGCTATCGTAAAATGAAAATACTTTCTCTGACATATTTTTAGTATTTAAGTTTAATTATTCTTTAACGGAATTTCTTGTCATGCTTCGTATTCTTCTTTTTCCTCCCCTATTCCTAGTTCTGTTTGTAGACGGCTAATCTTATGACAGCCTTTTTTGTATTGTTTAGTCTCCTTCTGAAATTTGACTGCCTCATTTTTATTATTCATATTATATTATATATTTTATAGATTTTACAACATAATCATTTTACAAATCTACTTGTAAAAAATTATAAAAACAAATTAACAATGACTAATAACAAAGTAACTTTAACCATTACTATTCCTGAAAACACTTATAAAAAACTTAAAAAAATAGTTGCTTCTGGAAAAGTCAGTGAATTTGTCAGCAAGGCTATTGAGAGAAATATTAGCGAAAAAGAAAAGGAAATTATCGAAGCTTATCAGAAATTCAATCAAGATAAAGATTTGATTATGAAACTAAAAGGTTGAGAAATTGGCAAAGAAAGTGAAAATTAAGATATGAAAACAAATAAAGATACCTTTACTTATACTCCTTCCTGAGGAGGGTTAAGTTGGTTTGATCCCTTAGGAAATACCAAAGCAAACGAATCTAACCTAGTTTTAATTTTAAGTAATGAATTACATAATAAATATAGCGATTATATAGTAGTGGCGATAGTAGTTCTACGTAAGGAAGATGACGAAATCCGCAAACCGTTGGAAATTCCTTGCGAATACGAAGACAAGAAACTCAAAGTCTTGGTTAGCCAGATCCATACTGTTAGCAAAGCAATTCTGTTCAAACACCGCTTATTTTTAGGAAATTTGGATGAAAAAACCATGAAAAAGGTAGCGGAGAAAATTAAATTGATATTAAATTTGGATAATTAAAAATATATATTGTACAAAACACAAGATAATAATAAGCTAAGTCAAGTTTAAACAAATTAAAAATGCGAAAATTTTTCTTGCCAGGAAAATCAACGATAATTTCATTAACTCTAAAAATTTACTTCTCTTAAAAAAGCAAACGTAATATTCATATTTTTTTGAATTTTTTCTTACCTAATTAATACGAGTTTTTTATTTTTTCAAAGGAGTATTAGAAAAATTGCTTATAATATCCCTTCATAAAAGGGGGTATAAAGATAATCAGAGCGAAAATAAATAATACCACAAATAGAGCCAATAATGAATATAACTTTCAAGTAATTTTTTGGCTAAAGGTGGTATTATCGGTAAACAACGAAAAGAAAAGAGAAATGAAAAGTAACAACAATATAAAAGGGAATGCAAAAAAAGTAATGAAAATGATTAAATCAGACATAGCACTCTATTGAATTCGACATCAATCCTTAGGATAGACTTCTATTTCTTTCTTGAAATTTCTCGCTTTCAACGTTATTTTTATATTTTATATTTACTAAAGTTAAGAGATTAACATACATAAAATTTTACACGAATTAATTCTTCCTCTTTTGTCCTCCCCTTTCAATTTTAAGGAACACTATAAAAGTTAAAAGTATTTAATAAAAAATACAGAAAAGCATCAAATAAGCACTCTGTTAAACTTTAAATTGCTGTGTACTTATTAACACTGGGAATTATTTTTAATCTTTACGCATTTTTGTGTGCGGAAAGGAAAAATTATCTAAAAACTAACCTTTTTTACAAAATCACAAGTAAATTATCAAAGACGCTTTTCCATAGCGCTTTTTTCTTAAAAATTGTCCATCTCCATTTTTTCCTTCTCAAAAAATTTATTTCTCTCATAATTGATAATTAGGTCGGGAATAAAGGATATTTTTGTTTTAGGTTAGATTTATTTCTCCTATTTAATGTATGAAAAGTAGGAAATAAATACTAAAAGAGGCTAACTAAATTATCCGAATACTTAGTGGAACAAGTGCAGAAATGGTTACGGAGAATTCAAGAGTAATAAAACTCTCTAAAAATAATTTAATATCATGAGCGAAGAAATGCTGCAAAGAAACCTAAAGGAAAAAATAGGAACTTGGGATTTTTACAATATCGGCTCCACGACGATCAACCAGTTAAAAAAATGGGGAATTTTAAGAGCTGTTGACTATGAAGACATTGGCGGAAAAAAAGTAGACACCATTATAATGGAAAATAAAAGGGTTATTGCAATTATTGAGTTTAAATCTCCCAAAAATTTTAATACCCAGAATAAAAAAAACCAAGCTGTTCAGCAAGAAATTGAAGTTGCTAAGAAATTAAAATCAAGTCTGATCATAGCAACAGACAGGCAAACAACTTTATGAATTAATGTTGAAACTGGAAATAGCGTAAAAGATGAAGAGGGCAACGAACTTAAATACCCTTTTGATGAAAAAGATCCTAATTTGCAAAAATTTATAGATGAAACTTTAGTATCAATTGACGAAAAAAATGACAAGAAATTACCAAAACAACTGGTAGACCCAACTGATTTAGCCAAACAAGTATGACAAGGCATTTGAATTGCTAGTGGCAAAAGCCCCGAACTTTGTCTGTACACCTTCGTTGAATTATTTATATTTAAATACCTTAGTGACTTGGGCATCTTAGTCGGCCTTTATAGTTTTGACAATTTATTTAGCCAGTATCATAAAAACAGTTCTTCGAATGATGTATTGGACAATTACGCTAGGACTATAAGACCAAAAATAAAAGAATTATTCCCTGAAGGTTCAGATGGAACAACCATTATAAATGGAACAATCTTTGTAAACAAAAAGCAAAAAGCAGTGACTGGCTATGGTACCGTGTTTAAAAAAGTTTTAGAAAGGTTTAAGAAAAATGGAAAATTAGAAAAACAAAAAATCAATGATTTAATAATAAGTATAGGAGAAGAAAAGATTAACTCTAGTCAAAAGATTACCATAGGCGAGATTTTTGATTTATCAATTAGAACAAATGGTAGTAAATTTAATAAATCTTTTATAAGTGAATACTGAGGGGAGATACCGGTTTACGGAGCAACCAAAGATAAAAATATTGTTTATGGAAAAATAAAGGATAACCTGCCCTTTATCAAGTATTTTGAAAATTGTTTAACTTGGAATACTAACGGTTCAAGTTCAGGAAAAGTTTTTTTTCGTCAAGGGAAGTTTAGTTTATCAGTTGACGTATCTCCTTTAATTGTTAGGAATATTTATAAGGATAAATTTTTCTTGCCCTACTTAGAATATGCTGTGGAAAAAGAATTATTAAAACAAGAATTTGGCTTTTCTAACAAGGCTGGTAAGGACAAAGTAAAGGATATTGAAATTAAAATACCAACCAATCCCGAAGGCGGTTTTGATTTATTAAGGCAGGAAGAAATAGCAAAAAAGTATAAACAGATTGAAGAAATTAAAGAAAAAATAAAGGCTGAATTAGAAAAGATTGAAAATATCAAAGTTGATATTGGTATCTAGAAAATATGAAAAAATCTAAAAAACGCTTACAACAGTTACCTTCTCAACAACTTTTACAAGAAATTCAGGAGTTTATCGTTAGCAGACCAAATCATAAAAGTGAAAGAAAAAGATGATTAAATTATTGCTTATTTCTTCTCTGCTGAAAAGCAGGATTACGGGTAACTGAAGCCATTAGTTTTAATTTAGAGTTAAAACATCCCGAGCCGGAATATAGTGATTTGTATTTACTGCGCGGTAAAAGAAAAAAAGACCGCTATGTTTACATTAGCCCAGAAATAATAGAAATATTAAAAAATCATAATTGAGAACCTAATAAAACTAATCGACGAGATTTTCACGAATTTTTAAGTCGAGTTCGTTATGACCTAAATATTAGTAATCACATTGAACTAGCCCCCCATACTCTAAGACGCTGCTTTGCCACCTATAATCTTTTAGCAGGAATGCCTCTCAATATTTTACAAAAAGTTTTAGGTCATAGCCGCGTTTCTACTACTGCTTTATATATTAAAGATAGCGATATCGCTAATCTGCTAAAATTCAAGCCCATTTAAAATTGTAAAAAAAAGAAAATGAATTCCTACCTAATAACTATCGCTTATGATGGAAGTAATTTTGCTGGCTGAGCAACACAACCAAATAAGTTTACTGTCCAAGGATTTATCGAAAACATCCTAAGCAAAATTTTTCAGCAAAAAATCAACATTCTTGCCGCTAGCCGGACCGACAAAGGAGTTCACGCTCACAATCAAAAATTCACTTTAAGAATTCCTTTCAACTTTTCTAAAGAAAAATTACTCACTCTATTAAAAAAAACTCTTAAAAAATATGCGCTAGTCAAAAAGGTTAGAAAAGTAAGTAGTGAATTTCACCCTATCCGCGATGTAATTAAGAAAGAATATCGCTACTTCATTAATATTGGAAATTACAACCTTTTTCAAAAAAATTACTGCTGAGAATATAACCTACCATTAAAAACAAAAAAAATAAATGAAATTTTACAAACTTTTTTAGGAAAACATAATTTTTTTAATTACTCCCACTACCACTGAAAAGATAAAGATAAATTGGATGCCATTCGCGAAATAAACTCTTTAAGAACTTGAAAAAGAGGAAGTATTATCACCACTAGCATTATTGCCAAAAGTTTTTTACGCTACCAAATTCGAGCCATAATTGGTGAAGTCATCAATTGCTATGAGGGAAAACAAACTATCACTGACTTAAGAGACAAACTAATTCATTTCGATAAGAAAAATTACAAATATAAAAACATCGCTCCCGCCGCCGGTCTATATTTATGGAAAATCAAGTACAATTTTAAGTAGATAATCGTATAAAAAAGCAAAATATATTACCTTTCTCCTTTATTATTTTTTACTAAAACAACCATTAATCAAATTACTGCTATTATTCCACCTCCTATACATCCACCAATAATATAAGGCTTGTAGTCCATTCCTTGGTTGTCTCTCTCTCTCTCTCTCTCTCTCTCTCTCTCTCTTTATTCTTTTTTTCTAAATCTAAAAACATTCTATCATTTTTCTTTACAAGTGCTTCTCATTCTTTCTTTTCTCTGGGAGTAAGTTCTGAAACAATATTTTGATTTAAATCACTATCTCGTATTTCCTCTCATTCTCGTTTAGCTGCTTCGATACCTAATTCCTCTATTTTAGTTTTTCAAAAATTATCATTACCATCCTCGCCAGAATCATATCATCCACAAGGTAAACATGATTCTTCTAATCCTTCGGCTTGATTTTCTTTTAAATGAACTGTTTCTTGTTGACAATTACTGCAATATTTCCTTTCAGTGTAATTCATTATGAATATATTTTAGGAAATTAGGAACTTAATTCACGAACTTTTTTTTCTTCGGCCGAAATAAGTTTATCCTGATAATCTCTAACTAATTTATCACCTTGTCTCTCATAATTTCTCTTCTGATCCTGGGAAAGATTAGGGACTTTCTTTAAAGCATTTTTTATCTCCTGATGAACAAGTCGAAAGGCTTTTTTTCCTTCCTCAGTTATCACTTTTACATTTTTAATCAGCCTTTCACGAATTTCTGTAGTCATTGGTAATAAAGCAAAATAAACTTCCTCCTTAGTAGTTTTTTCAACCTTATACCCTAACTGACTATCTAAGATTGCTTTACTAATTAATGGAATTAACTTTGGATCAAAAGCACGAACAACTAATTCATGACTAGGAGACACCCGCGAACTAGCCAAAGACTTTATCATTTTTTTTTCTCCTTGATATTCTATTATCAAACTTCCGATTAATTCCACAGAAATACGATTACTACGAACTCTTTCTAACTTGTTAATAGAAACCCGCAGCTCCCTTTCAAGTTGTTCGGTTCTATTTTGCTTGATAATTTCTCAATTATTCTCCATAAATATTTTTTCACTATATTTACCAATAAAAGGGTTCGTTTTTTAATCTTCTCTTTAATTCTTTCTCTTTAACTTTTTCCTTGATTTGATATTTTCTTAAACGCTGTGCAAGGGCAATTTCCAGTTTCGCCCAACCTCTATCATTAAAAAAAAGTTTAAGCGGGATAATAACATAATTTTTAACTCTTGCCTGACCAATTATTCTTTTAATTTCTCTTTTTTTAAGTAACAATTTTCTTCTTCTTTTAGGGTCACGAGCCTGCACTAAACTAGCAGTATGAGAATATTTATAAACTGCAATATGCATGTTTAAAACATATAACTCCTGCTGCTGAGGAAAAATATAAGACTCGTCAATAGAGGATTGATAATTACGAACTGATTTTATTTCATTACCAGTCAACACTATCCCCGCTACAAACTTCTCAATAATTTTATAATCGCACAAATTTTTCTTAACTTGGGCGATTAACTTGTTCCCCATTATTTCTAACCAAAAATTAAACTAAAAAAATTTTATAACTCAACTTTAAACTTGTTAAACCTATTTTACAAACTCGTAAAAAAGAATAACAATTCTTCTAACAAATTATACAAAAATAGACCCAAGCGTTACTTGCTTTATTCAATAATTTTAGTAATGATTCCTTTGCCGACAGTTTTGCCCCCTTCACGAATAGAAAAAGTATTATTAACTTCAAGTGCTACTGGCTGAATAAGTTTAACTTTCAAACTAATATTATCACCCGGATTAACTACTTTCTTTTCTCCTGTGACTTCTTTTGGCAATTCGACAATTCCTGTTATATCAACTGTATGGAAATAAAATTGAGGGCTATACTTGTCTTCAAAAGTAGTATGTCGACCTCCTTCAGCCTTAGTCAAAACATAAACTTGAGCTTCAAATTTGCTGTGAATGTTAATAGTGCCTGGCTTAACTACTGCCATTCCTCTCGCCACTTGTTCTCGCTTAACTCCTTGTAAAAGAAGAGCAGCATCGTAGTTTGGCTTAACTACCTTTAAGATTTTCCCAAACATTTCGGCACCTATAACTTTAGTTCTAATCTTTTCTTTTCCTAGCCCTAAAATTTCTACTTCTTCGCCAGGAGGAGCAGGATTGAGCGTTCCTCTTTCCACCTTACCAGTTACCACCGTTCCCCGTCCAGTAATTGTAAAAACATCCTCAATGTACATCAAAAATGGCTTAGTTTCATCACTTGGAGGAGTAGGAATTCATTCATCAAGTTTATTAATCAGTTCTTTAATTTTACTTTGATAATGACCCATCGGTTCGCCCGGCCCTGGATTTTCTTCTAAAGCCTTTCTAGCAGAGCCAAAAATAATTGGTGAATTTTCATCAAATTTGTATTTCTTTAATAATTCTTTAATATCTTCTTTAATTATTTCCAACATTTCATTATCAGTCACCAAGTCGACTTTGTTAGCAAAAATAACTAATTTGTCTACTCCAACTTGTTTGGCAAGAAGCAGGTGCTCTTTAGTTTGCGCTTGCCCTCCTTGGCTAGCATCAACTACCAAAATTCCTCCATTAGCTTGAGCAGCACCTGTAATCATGTTTTTAATGTAATCAGCATGCCCTGGACAGTCAACTAACGCATAGTGCCGCCGGTCCGTTTCAAATTCAACATGAGCAGTTTTGATAGTAATACCGCGAGCTTTTTCTTCCGGAGCCGCATCAATTTCTTCGTATTTCCGAGATTTAGCTTTATTTTCTCTTGCTAAAACATGGGTAATAGCTGAAGTCAAAGTAGTCTTACCGTGATCTACATGCCCTAAAGTAGCAATATTTAAATGAGGTTTTGTACTTTCAAATATTTCTTTTTTTCCTGATCTCGTTTCTGCCATAAATTATTATTTTTCTATATTATTTAATTTTATTATTTTATCAAACTAATTTAATTTCTCTTCTTTCATTATCTTTTGAAACACGCTTGCAGGAAGTTCCTGATAATGAGAAAAATGCATCGAATAACTAGCACGGCCTTGAGTAAGAGAACGCAACTGTGTAGAATAACCAAACATCTCAGCTAAAGGAACTTTGGCATGTAATTCCTTAGTTTGGCCAATTTCTTCTTCTTTCTCAACTTCTCCCCTACGCCGATTTAGATCTCCTAAAACATTACCATAGTAATCATTGGGCGTACTTACTTCAACTTGCATGATTGGCTCCAATAAAACTACTCCTAATTCCTTAGCCCGCTTGGCTTTTTCCTCTACTCCATCTCCCCTAAAAGCCAAGATAGCAGCTTGCTTAAAGTCACCAGGCTTAGTATCCACTGCGTGTCTTCTTCCTCAAGTCAAAATAGCCTCCATATCAACCAAAGGATAACCGAGCAACAATCCAGATGACATCGCTTCTTCCAACCCTTCTTTTACCTCTTCAGCATCCTTATCGGACATCTCTTGACCCTTTTTGGCATCCACAAATTTAAATCCACCACCTTTATTTGGCTTAAAACTAATTCCGATCCTAGCATCATGTCCACTTCCTCCCGTCTTTTTCTTATACCACGCCTCTACATCTTTTAATTCTTTAGTAATAGTCTCGCGATAAGCAACTTTTTGCTGTTTAGTCTCAATATTTACTTCGTATTCGCTCCTCAACTTCTCCACTAGGATCTCTAAATGTAATTCGCCCATTCCCGCAATAATCATTTGACCAGTTTCTCGGTCTATTCAATACTTAAAACTAGGATCTTGAACTTTTAATTTTTCTAATCCATTTCGCAATTTATCTTTGTCTTCATTAGTTTTTGGTTCGATAGCTTGGGAAATTACTGTCTCAGGAAAATCAATTGCTTCTAGCAGCAAAATTTTATCTTCTCCACAAAGAGTGTCACCAGTAACCGTGTTTTCAAGCCCAACTGCCGCCGCAATATCTCCCGCTCCTACCTCCTTGATTTCTTCCTTTTTATCTGCATGCATTTTCACTAACCTACTGATTCGAATCTTTTTGCCAATATTAGCATTTCACACGTAAGAATTAGCGGACACTTTTCCGGCATAAACACGAAGAAAGGTTCAGCGATTATTATACTCATCAATAACTACTTTAAAAGCCAAGGCTAAACAACGTACCGGACTACCACAATTAATTATCCCTTCTTGTTTCTTACTTTGCGGAGAAAAGACTGGTATTTCACTCACTTCTAAAGGAGAAGGTAAATAATCAACTACTCCATCTAAAACCATTTTTACTCCTACGTTCCGATAGGCAGAGCCACAAAATAAAGGAAAAAAACTACCACTTAGAGTTGCCTGACGTAATAATTTTCTTATCTCTTCAACTTGCAAATCTTGAACTTCTAAGTATTTCATTGCTAAATTTTCATCAAATTCAACAATTTTTTCTATTAAATATTGTCGGTAATTTTTTGTTTTTTCTAATAAACTTTGTGGAATTTCTTTAATCTGATAATTTTCATCTTTGTCGCCTGCTTGAAAATAGTAGGCTTTTTGCTCTATAACATCAACAACCCCCTTTAAATCTTTACCAACCCCAATAGGAAATTGAACAGGCAAAGGAAGTGCATTAAGTCTTTCCCTAACACTTGCTAAGCACTCATCAAATTTTTCCTCATTATCAGCATTGTCCATTTTATTAACAAAAATCAAGCGAGGAATTTTATACTTGTTAGCTTGCTTTCAAACTGTCTCAGTTTGAGCTTGCACTCCCTTACTTCCATCCAAAACTACTACTGCTCCATCCAGTACTCGCAAAGATCTTTCCACCTCCGCCGTGAAATCAACGTGTCCTGGCGTGTCAATAAGATTAACTCGATAATTTTTTTGAAACCTTTCTCAAAAAAACTCTACTGCCGCCGAGTAAATAGTAATTCCTCTTTTTCTTTCTTGCGGATCAAAGTCAGTTATCGTATCTCCCTCATGAACCTTTCCGACTTTTCTTGTTTTTCCAGTTAAATAAAGGATACTTTCAGTAGTGGTGGTTTTACCAGCATCAATGTGAGCCACGATACCGATATTACGAATATTAGATAATTTATGTTTCTCTTCAGGCATATAACAAATTAATAATTAATTTTATTAGAAATCAACAAACAAAAATACCAATTTAATTTTCTTTTGAGTTTTTCGAATTATCGAAGAAATAAAGAAAAAGAAAAATTATTTAGAATTTCATAGAAAGCAAAAATTTGAGAAGTAACCTATTTTTTAAGAGTTTTTAACCCTATCCATACTAGTTTCCAAAGATAAATAAGAATTAACCAAGCGAGCAAACCAACCATAAAACTACCAACAAAAAAAGAGATAATGAAAGAAATTAAAAGTGTTTTTAAGGAAGAAACTCAAAAATTATTGTTTATATTTTATAAACAGATATAAGAATTAGTTTGATGAGTTATCTTTCTCTGCGACGAACAATATATTTATTAGATAATTTGTTCTTTTTACGAGTTTTTTTACCCAAAGTCTTTTTACCTCAAGGACTAAGTGGAGAAGGACGACCAATTCCTGCCTTTCCTTCACCTCCTCCATGCGGATGATCAACTGGATTCATGGCTGAACCACGCACAGTTGGACGAATGCCCATTCAACGGCTTCTTCCTGCTTTACCCAGTCTTACTAGATTAGCTTCACTATTACTTACTTTTCCAATCGTAGCCCGACAATCAGCCAAAACTTTACGAACTTCCTTAGACATTAATTTAACTAGCACATACTCATTGCCTTGTTCTTTACCAATGATTTCTCCATAAGTACCAGCACTCCGGAGCAACTGCCCACCTTTTTTTGGCTTTAATTCTAAATTATGAATTGGGGTATTAATCGGAATATAAAGCAAAGGAAGATTATTGCCTACCTTTAAAGGAACATTTTTTTTTTCTCCACTTATTATCTTATCATTTACTTTTAATCCTTCAGGAGCAATTATAAAAGCGAAACTACCATCGCGGTAACTTATCAAGGAAATAAAACAATTACGGTTAGGATCATACTCAATGGTTTTTACTATACCGTCAACATCGTCTTTATTATAACGTTTAAAATCAATTACTCTATAAATTTTCTTGTGACCACCTCCTTGGTGCCGCATAGTAATTCTTCCTTGATTATTACGTCCAGAATGGGACTTCATCACTTTAAGAAGGTTACGAGGAGTTTTTCCTTCATTAGGAACTAATTTCTCGCGATAGTCTATTAGGATAGTATTACGACGAGCATTAGTAATAGGCTTGACCGTTTTCGTCATATATGTATTTTAATGCTTTAACTATTGATTAATTATTCTTCAAAAAAATTTGGTAAATTTTGACCAGGCATCAACTGCACAAAAACTTTCTTTCGCATCGAGGTATAAATCTTGCCAGGAAATTTTTGTAAATAACGAGTTTTTTGCAAAACCGGCTTTTGTCGACTAGTACGAACTTTTTTCACCTTGATTTTAGAATCACGAAACATTGACTCTATCGCTGCTCGGATTTGAAATTTGTTGAGGGAAGGCTGAACATAAAAAGTATAAACCTTATTCTTTTGATGAAGCAACTGACTTTTACTAGTCAAAACTGGTTTTTGAATAAACATATATTAATTAATTTTTCTTTTTTTTCGAAGCAGTCAAAAGACCAAAAAACTTGAAATTGTTACACACATAATAGTTCCTCCGGCTAATCAGAGATATTTATTTTTGAATCAGTCATTATTAGAAGAGATATCAGTGGTGTTCAAACCTAATTCTGAAGCAGTCAACTCTTCTCTATTTTCCCTTTGTAAACTGCTTTCAATTAACTGGTATTCTAGACTATTGACCAATTGCCCACTACTTACAATTTCATTATTATTATTATAAGTAATTATTAATTTATCATTTTTTAAAGGAATTTTTTGGATGCCTTTTTGTTGAAAAAATTCCTTAACTACTTTGGCTTCTAAATCTGAAAGAAAAACTTTTCCTTGCTCTTTGTTTTCGTCTATTGGTCTTTCTTTTTCCTCTTCATTTGGATTCGGTTCGTGATCTAAACTTGTCAATATCCTATTTATTTCGTGGAGACTAAGACCCTTTACACTTTTATTGAAAAAATAAGTCCTTAATTTTCCTCATTCGGACAGTTGGGAACTGCTTTTTTCCTCAATGTTGCCGTTAGCATACCAAATAATATAATTATCGCCGCCACTTTTAACTATTTGCCTAATTTGATTGTCTTGGAAGTATTGACGAAGTTTTTGGAAAAATGATCTTTTTTTCTCTTTCTGCTCTACCTCCCTTCTGTATTTAAAAAACGGCAATTTTTCCAAGAAATAATATCTAATTTTTCCTTGCTGCTTTTTATTTATTTTACCATTTTTGATAAGGTCAAAACTAATTTCCTGGGCTTTTTTCCTTCCAATTTCTTGCTCAATTTGGATAACGGTGGCAGGGTTGAAAGCAATCAGTTTATTTAAAACATTAAATTGGTAAGAATTTTTTAACTTTTGCTGGCGATTGTCTACTTCATCACCACAACTATCACACAAATTAGATTCATAAATATTAACTTGTTGATTTCCTTTTTCTTGAATAAAATCGCTAGCACAGTTTAGTTTTTTTTCTCAGTATTCTTGGGCTAATTTCTCTAATTCTGGGATAATTTTTTCGGCTTCTTGGGCTTTTTGATAAGCCGCATTAAGTTTTTTCCGCAAAGCGTTAGAAATATTTTGAGAAAAAAACTTTTCAATAATTTCTTTTTGGAAAGTAATTCCCTCTCTTACTTCTCTTAATGCTTGTTCTGCATTGTCATCACCCTGATAAACATCATAATAAACAATATGAGTAGTACTTTTAGTCTGACAAGCCTCGCATAATCCTCATTTACGATTACGATGTTTTTTACAAGCAAGATAACTAGCAAACTCTCCTCAACTAATTTGTTTATCGCAACCAGTTATCCCACACTTATTTTCACAACCAAATTTAAATTTTCTTACCATGACAATATTAGTGTTTAACCTATTCTTAATATTATTTTATTAATAATAATAAATTTTTACACTTTTTCTCTCCTAACTTAATCTCTTTTCAACCTCAGTCAAAGCCAAATGAGTAAAAACAAGATAATTAGAAAGTAATAATTGGTTAGGGTTAATGGATTTACTATCACTAACATTGACGTAAGGCAGATTGCGAAAGGAACGTGTTATAAATTGCTTGTTTTCTTCATTATTAGTTAGGATCAGAAGAACTTTAGTTTTACTAATTGCTTTGGTTGGCAAAATTTTAAGGAATTTTTCCGCTTCCTTAGTTTTGTAATTATCTAACTTCACTTTATCTACAACAATTACTGCTTTATTGTAAATTTTTTCACTCAAAAGTGATTGAAAAACTTTCTCTTTAAATTTGGCATTAACTTTTAGTGAATAATTTTCTTTTCCGGTAGGACCAAAAGCTACTCCCCCACCCCGAAATTGCGGAGCATAACGATGACCATGACGAGCTCCACCAGTTCCCTTTTGTCGATAAATCTTGCGAGTACTCCCCCTTATTTCTCCTCGGGTTTTTATTTTACTCGTTGCTTGCCGCTGATTAAACAAATAATGACGATTGTAAAGGGCAAGATTATGAGGAGAAAGAGAAGCATCTCAAATCTCAGAATTAAGTTGGAAATTGCTCACCACCTCTCCTTTCTGATTAATAATATCTATCTGCTTCATATAATATTAACTTATTTTTATTAGTTTTTTTTCTTAATCCCTCTTTTTTCACCGACCAACCAAATTATACCTACTATTATTACTCCTAAACCACTAACAATTACAATTGGTAAGAGATATTTTTCTAAGAAAGATTGTTGTTCATCATTCTCTTTTTTGTAATTTAATAAATTAATAATTAAAGCATCTGTTTCTTGCTGCTTATTCTTATAAGCTTTTCTTTGATAATTGTTTTTGCTAATGAATTCTTGGATTTCATCAACTAAACTTTTGACCTCTTCTTCATGTAGGTCTCCTTGTTGAATTTTAGTTTCAATTTTTTGAAAAAGTTCAGTTAATCTGTTATCAGCGCCGTTTTGGCAAATCAACTCTTCAGCTTTTTCTTGGTTTTCTAGGTTAGGATTTATTTTCGCCTTGTTTATTGCTCGTTTAGTTTCCTCAGTGGTATTACTTTCATTTAATCCATTATATTGTTGTTGGTTGTTCAACAATTGTTCAACTATTTCTCCAACTTTCTCTGGATTCAAGTTTAGGAGTTTAACTTCTATAGCACGAACTTCTGACATTTTTTCTTGGTAAGCCACTGAAGCCCGAAATTTTTTAATATAATTGAGAATATTGAGTAAGTTAGAGTAACTATTTCAATTCTCTTCTTCGCGGGCCTGGCTTAAAAGTTTACCCAAACAATTTTTTTCTGAATTGCCAATCCTTTTATTTCGAATCTCAGCAAGAACTTTTCCTCTAATCAAGTTGATCGTGTCGGCATCCCAGGCTTCATTAATATCAGCCTCTCAATTAGGATTATCTAAATCCTCTAATCCAATTGGTGGTTCCTTGGCTAACTCCTCCTTAACTTGTTGAATAGATTCTTTAACGAGTCCATCTAACTGTGACTTTCGCTGACGAGTGTCCTGAATATCATCTAGAATCTCTTTTTTTCGACTTTTAAGTTCTTTCAAAGAAGAAGAAGATCTAATGTAAGTCTTTCAATCATGACCTTTTCTGATAATTTTAGGTTCTTTGTTTAGTTCTTCTTCTATCTCTAAGATAGTTTTTTGAATTTCAATTTGAAGATCTTTATCATCATTTTCTTCTTTATTCCCTCCCCTATTCTTATGTTTCTCTTCAGCTTGTTGCCATATGCTAAAAATTTTACTAGAAGGACTGCTGAGAATTTGTCTGATAAAGTCCTGCTTCTCACCCTTGGAGAGTTTACCTAGACCTTCTACTCTTCGGATATACTCCTTTTCCATTTCTCCGAAAACACAATCTCAACAAAATCGACAATATCACTTATCCCTGCTTCCTCCCTGCCTTCACCCAGTTGCTTTGTCGGTATTCCCACAAAACCCTTCTGGACAATTTCCACCACCTGGACGAGGAACCTTTTCACCATCCCCAGGAACCTCATGCTCATGTTCGCTTCCGCCATCCTCATCTAAATCTAAATCTAAACCAGAAGGTAGTTCAGATTCGACAGGACCGCCCTTTACTATATTGTCGGCACTAGTTAAACGAGTTTCTTCAGCTCGAGCTCGCCAATATTCCTTATCATTTTTTTCTTTTTGTTGTTTTAACTTATTAACTTCAATTCGGAAACCAGCCACCTCATCAATAACTCCATCCTTAGCCCTCTTGTAATAAGGCTCCTTGCCAGCCGCTCTTCATCTTTGGGCAACTTCTTCTTGTGCCTCTCTTGCCACTTTTTTTTGAAAATAAGGAATGTAAATTTGCTGAATAAATACCATCAAACCCTTAAATTGTGTCCTAATATCAGGTTTGTTCATCCATAACTTACTAGTCTTAGGAATGGTTTCTGGCTTTTCAAGATGCTTTCTAACAAATTTTCTAATCAAATCTTCGGCCTTATACACCGAATCTAGTAAAACTTTCAAGTTTATTTGTGAAGTATCTGCAAATGGCGATGTCATAATATATATATATATATATATTTTATATGTAGATTTTAGTTTTATGCTATATATTTTAATGGCGGAGTGAGAGAGATTCGAACTCTCGAGTTGAAACCAACTACTTCTTTAGCAGGGAAGCGCCTTCGACCACTCGGCCATCACTCCTCATTCATTTTTTCTATTAATAATTTTTAGGTTTCTAATATTTCTGAACTTTCTATTTTTCTCTTAATTCTTCGTATTTCTCGCTTCTGATTTCTTCATCAATCTCGCGAAAGAATCTTGACTATCTTTCAACCATTTCTTTCTAAAAGCATTTGACGATAATTATCAATTTCAATTTGTGTTTTTTCGCCACGAAAACTTCATCCATCACATTTGATCCCTAATATATATTTTTGACTTCGTGGACTACGAACCACTAAATCAATTCAGCGACTAACAGATCCTTTCTGAAATTCTACTTTATAACCTAATTTAATTAATTCATCATATACTACCTTTTGCAAAGGAAAGTTAGAAGATTTTTTTTTGCTTTCTTGAAAATTAAACCTGCTTAATTTTGCTATTTCCTCATTCAACAACCTTTCAACTTCTTTATTGTCGTTTTCTTGACAAGCTCACGCATACTCTAAATACAATTTAAGAAATTTTGGACCCGAGTTTTTAGCACTTTCAACACTTAGTTGTGAAGGCAAAATACTGGTTACAACTATCACTTTTTCTCGTGCTCTCGTAATTGCTACATTTAATCTCTTTTCTCCCCCTTCTCGATTAAGTGGACCAAAATTATGAATAAATTTTCCTTCTTCGTTCGGACCATAACCAACCGAAAATATAATAATATCCCGCTCATCTCCTTGCACTTCTTCCAAATTTCTAACGAACAAATTATTCACCTTCTTTTTTTGTTTTTCAATAATATCCTCTAATAAATCCCGTTGCTTAGTGTTAAAAGTAATTATTCCAATTTCTTTATCAACTGATAAACTTTTTAATAACTTCAAAACGGCTTTGGCTTCAACAAGATTTTGCTGATTTATCCAACAACCATTTACTCTGTGATAGTCAATAGGAGAATGTCTAGTCTCTCATTCTTGCCGCTTGCTAATAATTTCTAAATTTCCCCCATAAAAAGCTTGATTAGAAAATTCAATCAACTGGGGATAATTAGAACGATAATGTCAAGTTAATGTATAAGATTGAACTTGCTGAGAATATTTTTTAACATAATCTAACAAACTACTCCCTTTTCCTAAATCACTAATTTCTAAGTTAATTTCACTTTCGTCAATTTCTTTCAAATGTTCTTTTTCCTCTTTAGTTTGATTTTCTTCAATTATCCATTCTGCCTCCTCTTCTTCTCAAAAAGATTTAAAAAAATCAGTCGGTGGCAATTGCTGTTGATCACCAATAACGATAAGTTTTTTTGCTCGAGTAAAGAGAGGAACCGACTTTTCTAACGGCATTTGAGAAGCTTCGTCAAAAATTAGATAGTCAAAAAGCGGATCTTCCAAATTAGTTAAAGAAGAAATAGTTTCTGGAGTAGTTAATCAAATTGGAAAATGATCAAGTAAAGAAGGGAAAATCCTTCGCAAATTAATATTTCTTTTTTTTCTTAATTCAACACTTACATCCTTATTAGGTTGTAAATCATTTTTCTTTTCTTCTTGTTTATTTCGAATTAAATTTTGGGATATCCGAGATTTTTCTCAGTAAATTTTAAAATAATTCTTTTGAGCTTTTTCCACCTCATTAATACTCCAATCCCAAAGCCTATCTTTTTCACTTTCTTCTACCTCATTTAGTCAATTAAAATAAACAGCTTTCTCAGTAATTTTCATATAATTATCATAATTCAAAGGATAGTTTTGCTGAAAACTATTTTCTAAAAAATAAAGGATAGTTTTTTGCGTTTCCTTATCGCAGTTGTCAAACAATAAACGCAGATCGCCGAGCAAAAAAAATTCTTGATCGATAAATTCATTTATTTTATTTAAAAAACTTCTATCGAGAAAACTCTCTTGAAATCTGGTAAAGTTCTGCAGATTTAAAAAATTAAAAAAGTCACTCACTTCCTTTCTGTTGTTTAAATCAGTAACTTCTTTAATTTTTTTTCTCAAAACATCCGCGAGTAAAGAAAAGTACTTCTCATCAACTTCTCTTAACAAGCAAGAAATAACCAGTGAAGAAAGTAAAGAATGGCTAGAGTTTTTTTCTTCTAACTCCTCCAGAAATTTGCTTATTAAATTATGAAATTTATTTTTAGTTTCTAGATTAAAAACCAACCCTATATTACTACTAAGAAATAAGTGTTTTAAATGTAAACAAGTTAAGTAATTTTTTTCAAAAAGTTGATTTAATTTTTCAAAGTAACTATCTAAATTCTTCTTCAAATTTACTAACTGCTCCTCTGTCCTCACTCACTCTGTCAATTCAATAATTTCTAAGGGAATATTTTCCCGGTGCGTGTTTCTTATATAGGCCTCTGAAAGAGAAACATTATGCTGAGCATAAAAGGAATTTTCTATCTCACAATAGTCATTAATTTTTTTGAGGAATCTTTCTCGCTTTTCTTCTAATTCTTCGATTTTTTCTACCTCTAACTCTCATGCTGAACCAACAGTATTTTTTTTATTTTCTTCCAAGACGCTACTAATATGCCGAGAAATCTCTGGAACTTGGTTTAACTCGTTTATTTTAATAAAATAGGAGCCAAGTTCAATGCTATTTAAATTATTAACTATCACTTGCAAAGCCGCATTTTTCTCACAAACCACTAACATTTTCTTGCCATAAAATAATCCATTAGTTAAAAGATTTGATATTAATTGAGTTTTTCCCGTTCCTGGCGGTCCATCAATACAAAGAACCTTTTCTCAAAAATTATTAAATATCTTCTGCAAAATATCAGTTTGAGATGGATCACTAAGAAAAGGAGTGTAAATAGTTTTTTTTAACTCTTTCTCACTACTTTTAAACTCGCTATTGTAATCTTTGAAAAGGAAGCCAAAAGCAGAAGCAGCTAATTCTTTTTCCTCATCAACTTGAAATTTTCCAATAATTTTTTCAAAGTCATTAAAAAGAGACAAGTTAGTTCCCTTGTCAATAAAAAGGACGAAATTTCCGCTTAATTCTAAATAGTTTTTTTGCGAATTAATTGACCTATCAACAAGGCTAATAGGAAAAAAAGTCTCTAATAAAATTTTTCTTTCACTAGTTTTAACCTTGTAGTACTCAAATACCTTTTCCAAAGAATAATTTGTTTCTCCTAAGTAATTATTAAGAATTACAGAAAAATTAAATTGCACTTTCCCGCCCGAAAAAAGCCGACAAATTATTGGCCTTAAAGAAATTAAGAGACCCTTAAAATCATTATCATTGATCTCTTCTAACTCAGTAATAACTTGAGAAAAAATATCACTTTCTATTTCTAATTCTTTCCTTAAAAAATACAAAAAAGTATAATTAACCTTTTTACTTTTAGAAATGATAATTTCTGAAACATTTCCTTTCCGTAAATCTGCTGAAAATAAAAATAACGGGGCATTAACTACCCGGAGAAGTCTTTGTGAGTTAATAAAGTAACCCTGGAGAAACAAAAATCCTAAATAAAGGCTTTTATAACCCTTTTCAATATACAACTTGTTATTAAATCGGCGTAAATAATTCAATCTTTCTTTGCTTTTTTCTTTTTCTTCTTCATCTTCTATTAAACGAAAAACGCTACTAATGCTAATTACAATTTCTTTTTCTCTATTCTTTGCTAATAAAGAGGACAATAAAGAAGTTTCAAACTTTTCAATAAATTTTTCATTAGTTTTTGCCAACAAAGAAACTAAATCATAAGCTGCCCCCTTATACAGTCGCAAATTAATTTTCTGCTCTCTAGTGCTTAGATTTAACAAACGATCTTTTAACTTGCTTAACAACCTAATCTCTGGTTTTTCCTTATCCTTAGTTAGCACCTCCATGTAAAATTAATTTTTTATATTAAATACATTTTTAAAGTTCTTCGCCGTAAAAAAATCCCAAAGAATTAATCGAGTTTAACCATTTTACTTTAACTTAGGCATCAATCGCATTTTTCCCTTATAAAATATCGGCACAATGTTTTATAAAAGTAGTAAATTGCAGCAAAAAAGAGACTTTTGCCTTGACTAAAATCTTAATGCTTGATTAAAACATTTAGGAATTAACTACGAATAAAATTTCAATTTAAGTTTATGAACTGTTGTGAACCAGTTAAATCTGCCCATTAGATTATTTTAGGTTCTTTTGGGGTTATTCTCCTGTTAGTCGCCATGTTATTAGTTTATAACTTGAAACTTAGGTAAATGCACCGCCAAATTAGAAAAAAAGAAGTAAAAAAAATCAAGTAATGATAAAACAATCTAGTTTAAACACCACTTTACAAAAAATAATTACTGAATGTTATAAGCATGGTTGTGTTTATTTAGGAATAATCTCTTATAAAAAGGCTGTTTTTAAAGGATTTTATAATAAAAAACTTTTTCAAATAATAATTGCTAATAAGGAGATAAAAACTAATCTGCAAATAACTAATGAAAAATTATTTGCTAATTATGTTTATGATTTACCGGATGAAACTGCTGGTTCAACTTGACCGTTAAATAAAGAAAATTGAATTACTCTTAATAATTCTTACGAGGATACTGATGATTTTTAGATTCCCTTCTTCACGAAACTGCTCACGCTGTTTATTTCAATGTTAACCCCTAGCAGAGGGACATTCAGAAAAACACAGAAAACTAACTAAACATTTAATCAGTCATTTTCATAAAAACTACAATAAGAGAGAGTTGCAAAATTTCTTAGAAAATTATCATGAGAACTAATATTACCACCGAAGTTAATAAAAAACCAATTACTTTTTCTGAAATGGGAGAGTTTATTCAACTTTATAATCGCCTTGATAAACCGCAAAAAGAAAAATTGAATAAATATTGAGTCGAAATTACTCATGATTTTCCTATTACTCCCCAAAAAGTAGTTAATTTAAAAAAGAAAGATTACCAAGGAATTTTAGAATACACTCGTTTATTGTTAATTACTTATTGTCAACCTAAAAAAAAATAATTTTCTTTCTTGCTTTTTCTCTTTCAAAATACTAAAAAATAATATTAATATGAATTTAACATGAAATCAACCGAATATAGCAGAGAGAGAGAGAGAGAGAGAGCAGTAAAGTATGACTATGAATAATTGCCGGTATTGCGGCAGTTAGTGTAATAGGTTTAGGTGTTTATTTTGCTACTAAAAGTCAAAGTAGTAATAAAAGTCCTAACCCTGGTAATATTCAATATTTACCAAACCATGTAGAAGCCCAACAAAAAATAAATGAAATAAAAACTGCCAAAGGTATTGATGACCAACAAGCCACCATTGAGTTTTTAGCCCGTTATATTCCAGAAATTAAATGATGAGAAGTTAATTCTTTATCGGAATTAGACGAGAAAATAGCCTTAGTAAATAGTAAATGTGGTTTTCCATCTTTAAAGAGTGTTCCTAATAACCAACAAAGTTTAGATGATTTCAATGCTGAATGAAGAGATAATTTTCTTTATCGCACTTTTGCTTTTGTCTCTACTGTCTTACCTCGACAAAACGATAAAAGTATTGATTGAAAAGGAAAAACAAACTTTACCGAATATTTTGCGGTTGTAGAGCCAGAATTAAAAGCAAGAAAATTTAAATCCTCTTTTGCTACCCAAACTAATTATCAAGTAGTTGGTCGCAGAATCGAACAAACAATCAATCCTCGACTATCTTCCCTTTGTTCGCAATTTTCTAGCCTTTCAGATGCCAAAGGATTAAGCAAATTAATTAATAATTACTTAGGAGAAATATTAAAAGCTAACATTTATGCCGAACTTGCTCACGATGATCTAGCCAAACAGTTAAATATTTCCAGTCATCAAAAGTATGAATTACAACAAACGGGTAATAACACTACAAATACTAGTTGAAATGTTCAATTATATGGATACGGTCTGAGAAAATAAACAAATAGCATGTCAGAATTAGAAAATATTAAATCCTTAGAAAAATACGATGCTTGAAACAAAGCCAAAGCAAGCCGAAAAAGTTGAATA